GATGAGGGGGCTAAAGGGAGGACGAGGCGAGTCGAAAGGGTATATCATAGACCATATAGGTAGTCACGTAGACTGCCAACCGTTGTGAACAGGTAGCACTGGTCTAACGGGTTGTTTTGCATTATATGACAGTTTCTCAAGTTTTGCTACACTTTACGGCTTTTGCCAGGATTTACAACATGCAACAAGGTTTCACAAGTTTTACCAGGTTGACAAGGATTTTATTTTTTTTCCACAGTTTGTCAGCAGCAACAAAAGAACAGACTTGTTTCAAAACTCACATACTCTGCAGCCAGGCGTTTCAAGAGCAGAGTCAAAGTCTAGGCGAGAGAGCGTAATGACAAGAAAAGATGTACTATTTTTTTTCATTCTGGTCGACTCCTAGATCCAGATAGAATGATTGACGCATGAGGAGAAAGCATAATATCAACGTGCCAATTTCATTATTCCCTCGCCGATTGAACTTTTGGAGCCTGAATACGCTATATAAAAGATGAAAGCCACAAAGTTTTCTTTACGGGATGTTGCATAACCTTGTCTTTGATGCTGCAACTAGCTCAAAATTTGCAGAAGGTGGTAGTGTTTGGACTCATAATAGTTTAATGAATTGAGATCCGATTATGCGCCAGGTTGGGAACGTCATGTGAATAGATAGATATATGGATTTGATACGAATCATGCATCTAATCATTGTGGACAAATCGGAGCAAGCTCATGTGACACATCAATTCAAAGTCAGTGTGGATCGTCTGAGTCGGAGAAAGCAACGTGATGAAAGGGGATGACCAAAAGTTGAATATTCTTTTCAAATTTGTGACGCAAGATTCTAATATGCAAAATTAGAAAATCCATCATATGCCAAAAGAGGTACAATCATAAATATAGCACTGGCATCAAGTCAGATTAAAGTCATCCACTCGTTTACAATTGGTGTTAAACAAGTATTTACGTTACCTGTTAATATGAAACGAGGAGAATAACTCATTTAGGAAAGAATGTGTAATAGAAACAGCAAAAATGTTTGGCAGTATAATTAACCAAAACAGAAAAAAAGTGTGTGATGTTACTTAAAAATTTTGCAAAGAAAAGTATAGCATTTTTTGAAGATTTGGATGGATGTGCGGGGGCTGCAATTAGATTTAAAGCTCTTTTCCTTGCAACATCCATGCATTATATGATAATTGTGATTTGACCAAAGAATAATAAGAGTTTATCTATACGAGAGAAGGAAAATGAAAATTGTAAGATTCGTAACATAAATAGAAGTGGTAAGTGTAGTTCAAATATAATTTTCCAAATGTTACTTTAGTGATAACCTCAATTGCACTGAGTATTGAACAAATTCATAAAAAATTGAGACGTGTACAGAAATGACAACCCTAAGGACAGGGCTAGTTATACCTCATTTAGGGCTAATTAGACCTCATTCTACTCTGGCTGATGGTAGATGCAAGGTTCTAGGTTCCTCATATGAGTAGCAATCAGGGTAAGGTGTAGTATGTTCAACCAATCAGAGAATTGTTTATACCAGGGTGAAGGCTAATTAGCCCTAAGTGAGTGATAACTAGCACTCCCCCAACCCTAAATGATACAAAAGAGTGTATCAATACTATCATATTCATTCATGAATTGTCTTGATGCTTGACTGACTAGAAGATTGTTTGATTTGTGAGTGGAGCATACTACTCTTGATAAAACAGTATTGATTTTATACACTATTTTCTAGTGTAGTGGTTGCAAATAAATTTATTAACTCATAAGTTTAAATGAATGCATTCAAACCATTTTTGAGATTGCAATGTCAAGAGTTATGAATGAAGACTTAGGAATTATTCATAATTTGATCGTTTTTTTTACTTGATTTATAATCTGTAGTTTTTTTTCCTTGACAAAATTTTGAACTTTGTATTCACAATCAATGATACAATCTGTCTTTTTACATATAAATGAAATTAAAGCTGTGCTGAAAATCTCCAACTACAATTGCTACATCTCAATGTGATCGATTTTGATTTTTTGAACTTTATATCAACCTCAAATTTGCTAGAAATCTTCTAGCTTAAATTACTTATTGGTAAAACGGTTTGATAAATTGAATCAAAATTTGAAAAAAACTTATGAAACAAAGATCATTGAAGTTTAAAATTTGATGCATCAATGTTTTAAAATCAAAGGAATCACTCCTTGTAAATAAAATATTTCTTTGAACTAGAAATTTTATGAGATTGTAGAAAAAATTAAAGATTATTTGCATGATTATAAATATTTGACAGAAATCAGTCATGTAATAATTGAAATATGTGAACGTTAAAAGGCTTGAAATCTAAGTTAGAGATTTGCAAACAAGTTGTTAATGCTCGTGAAAGTTTCAACGATTGTCAACTTAATATCTTCACTAGCTTTTTTGATAGTTAAAAATCCCAAATTTGAATTCATGAGGAAGCCAAGCACTCCATCCTTGACTTTTGATAAGTGGATATGTATTTTAAAAGAATTTTTTTGAAATGAAAGTTTGAAACATGTTTGATTACTTGAAAGTGGATTCTTGTTTGTGAGAATAGTATGTTTATTGGGGTTTAATTATTTAGAATTAAAAGAAATAATCCCGAGCAATATGTCACATCAATCTTGTACTTTGTAATCTCAAAAAAGCTTGATTTGATAATTAAAAGTGATAAAAGTGAGCTTGGTGATAGTTAAGAGGGTGTATCCACCATATTGTTGTGAAACATTCATTGTATATGTCTGGAAACATCGGGGTTTTCAAACAATACTTCAGGTGAAATGGATTGCATTAAGTTGCATTGGGGTGTTTGACTCGTGGTTAGATATACAAAGAAAATGCAACTGTACCTTGTTTAGTCTATTAAAGGATTAAAATGATATATTTCAGCATTTGGATTGTCTTCCAATGGTTTGAATCATGAAAATCGATGTGACCATCTTGAAAAGTGTTGTGTCCGATACTTAAACTTTTTATCGGACACAACACTTTTCTTCAAATTACATCTCTATTAAGCTAGATGGAGTGTTTTCTGAAGGGAGTTAATAAACTACACTTGATTATACAACGGGAGTTAACTGAGTTGGGGAAAAGATTAAAACATTTCGTCCTTCAAAATTAATTTGGAATCCTCTACATGACCGAAGAGAGGTTACCAATGGGTGAGTACAGTACAGACTAGGTATTGATTGGTCTTGAGAGTATTTTCTAGGCCTGTACTCCGATGCAGATTCCGTGCGGCCTCCTGTGAGAAAGTTGAGTCTACATTTTACAATGACATTGAAAGTACAGTATTGTTAGGACTTGACAATTTTGATGGCGTGCTTTTCTCATGACTTTGAAAAGACTTGAGTTATGTCGAGAAGAACATTGCAACCAATTGAATGTTCTGCTGTTCCGATTAATGAGATCTTAGACTTTGGAACAAGGCTTTTGGAAGAAATTACCAGAAGTACAAGGACGGTGTTGACTGGGTGGGACCAGGGTTGCATATTGGATTCAATTTCAGGGAGAAAAACTGGTTCAATGTTAAAGAGCGTCCAAGGAACAAAGAAGATTTAATCATAGAAACTTTCCGTTGAAAGATTGCTCTTATTCTCATATAAGTAACTTGTCACTCCACTGCGTACCACTCAATTAAGCATGCATAAGATGCGCATGTTGGAAGGCTTTATTAGGAGCAGTCTTCCAATCAATGTGGGAGAGATTTATTCAAGAATGTCCAGGCCATGGCGGCTAACCCGGAGAGTACAAAACAAAGGTGATGTATATTACTTTGTAATTGAGATTCAGGTTGAGCCTGAGAGAGCGCGAGACCTCTGATGGTTGGAGGCTGACTGTCAGACCGGGAAGATGGCAACTACATCAGGAGCAGCTGAGAATGCAAATGCGAGACCATCCGACACCTCCACGCCTGAAGTCTAGAGGGTCACTGATGAGAGATAGAGAAGTCCGATCAAAGAGTCTGAGGTCATGTAAAGACGTGATGATTGCGAAAGTATGAATTTCTTCCCAAGTATCGTGAATGGACGTCCATTAAGGTTCTGAATCAACGAGTCTCCTGATCAGTATCAAGATCCCATTTTCTCCTCATGTGGAACAGTACATCTCCGTCCTTCCTTGGTATCATCATGAGTGCACCTTGACCACTGCATAGATATTTATTGGCTTGACACTGAGCTTGCTGATGTAAGAAGTTTTGAACTCTGCAGAGGATAGCTCTGGAGTGCCATGTGCGTGTCTTGGTGAGGATGAGACGTCGAATCTCGATCGCTCTCAGACGTCTCGCACTCCGAAAATGTAACGAGTGAGAGCAGGAGTGGTTTATACCGTACAAATGAGTGTTTTGAAACCGAGAGGCATGGCAATTTGTGGCAAAATTCAACATCGACTGGACCAATCCTAGCAGCACGCACGCAGTCACAGCATAGACAAAAATTGATTGATGATTGACGATCTAGATCAACTGGCACAGGTATTCTTACGCGTCATCAAAATCCGCTCTTGGAGACTCAGATCGCCCTGATCGTCTCCGACGAAAGAGATCATCGTTCTGGTGCACCGGCCAACACACGTGATTGGGGGGCTACATGTCAATTGTAAGACCGATATGGTTCAAATCGCAAGGACAGCAGATTCCCGAGACGTAACGATCCGACCAACACCTGCTGCAAAACGCCGTCCAGCTTCAACAAACAATGAGAAGTCAAGATTTTCCACGTGTGCTGTTGTTGTACGCTTCTGTGCCTGCAGCCAATTCGTCGCCAATTTTCCACATTTTTAACTCTAGTCATTTCAGCAGTTTTCGAAATCAACGAACCGAGAATTTGACTGCTGCGATTCTAGACCTCTCATGAAGTTCTAGAGCTCTCAAAAGGTCAGAGTACACATCATAGCTCATGTGCCGAGTTGGTGGCCTTTCTAAACTATCTGAGGCATACAAGATCGAAGAAGACGATATGATCACGAGATACAAAAACAAGATAGAAAATTTCAGCGAGGCCACGTAATGCTTATATTTCTCCACAGTCCAAAATGGAAGACGTCACGATAGAACGACAAGAACGTTCTCGTTCACCGCTCCGATCGCGGGTACATGAAAGTTGCCACGGAGCGGCGCATAAAGAAACCAAGGACGCAATTTGATGATGCACGAAGCTCGTTTCACGAATCCATCGACCATATGTCGAGTCGCTCATCAGGTAGGCCACACTCTCATCAGCTGCACCATGGTCCAATTGTCCGGCAAAAAATTGCGTGGAGTATAATATTTACACTTGCTCGAGGGCCTCAGAACACAAATCCAACAGCTGCCTCTCGCTTACACATCTTATTGACTTCATCATGCGGGCTTCGACTCGACTCATGGATTGAGTGAGTACAGGAAAAACGAAAGAAATATCACGAGACTTTTTATCCTGATTTCATCTGCCAGTGGGCTATCTAACATATCCATCGTTTCGAGCCCCTACGCAACCAACAAAGGATCATCACCTAAAGATCTTCGGAAATCGTAGAACTGACCCCGTCTAGTTCTTGGACCTCTGGACCCTCCCCAATCCCAACACCCTCTTTATCTCCACACTCCGAGTTCATGGATCCACTCGGCACATACTACTGCTACTACAGAACCGAGCGACGATGCGTGGTGGTCGAAGCAAGAAATCGGCACAAACTCGAGCACAAACTGATCCACCACTCTCCGGAAAAACTCTGGGAACTCGAATTCTGCCTGTCGCGGCACCAAGTCGACGAGTGGGTGATCGAATCTCGGCGAATTGCTCCACGCCAAGATCAGACGTGATGGCCGAGCTCGACCGGAGAGTCCCGATAGCTCTGGAAGCAGAAGTGGGCGGCCGTGAGGCCGGCGATGATGACGATGAAAATGCCTCCGTTGAACGTCATAGCCATGAGCATGAGCGCGTAGCCCGTGACAGCATTGACTGCGAACAAGCTCGTCAGCAGCAGTCGGTGCAGAAGAAAAGGCTTCTTCAATCCATTCGCTTCCTTGGACGCCAGCACCGTCTGCACCATATCAGCTCTGAATGTCGACAACCACTCGTGAAAAACCGCAATCAGGAAGATCGCCAGCAGACTGAACACATACTCCGCAACATTGTCCGTCTTCCAGCCATCGAACAGAATCTCAGCATTCTTTCCCCAGTAAAATGTCATCTGCATCATATGCACCATGTCCATGGCCGAGCTCCCGCTGCTGGTCGGGCTGCCTGTGGGTGGTGTGGCACCCATATCCATACCTCCGTGATCGTGAGACATACTTCCCTCGTTTCCCTCGTTCCCTCGATCACTCCCTTTCTCCCCTCCTCGCAGACGAGCCCGCTTCGACCTCCGACCTCCGAACTCCGACCTCCGCTGCTGCTCTCTTCGTGAAGAACGCGGAGTCCCGATGCCAGAATCAAATTCAGTCTCTTCTGAATCTGTGCAAACCTCGAACTCTTTGAATCCGACGACCGTACAAGAGAGAGAGAGAGAGAGAGCGAAATTCGTGCAGTACCGTTTCCCGCACAGCACTGCTGGAATTCTCAGACCTCGAGGTACCGCGCACTAGTGGACATGACAGTAAACGCTAGCTTTCGATTGCGTGCGGGCTCTGGGGCTCGACTCGCGCTATAGCTGCCTCGTAATAGTATACTGTAACACTCAATAGCCGGCGGCGGCCAATTGTACTACACTCCCTCCCTCCCTCCCTCTCTCTCTCTCTCTCTCTCTCTGCGTCTGTACTATCGATCGGCCATCGACGACTGACTGCGGACAATTCTCGCTCTCGTCGTCGTTGTCGTCCTTCCGGGGACACGGCCTCCGACGGGACTCGCAGTCTGGTACGGGTCAGAGCGCAGGCAGAGGTCCCAGAGCTCCATCGCTGTTCCACGTGCCGGGGACCCGTCCCACGGGCCGACCCGACCTGACCCGACCCGCTACGGGGCTTATCGTGTCCCCAATCGCCGCTAGTTTACCGGCTGCCGCCAACTGCAGAGGGCCAGCAGCGGCCGAGCTTCGGTCGACGGTGCGTGTATGTGTGAGTCTGTTGTTGGGCGATCTGCGCCGCAGATGTGATTTGTGATTTGTGATTCGCTGTCTCGTGGTCGTACGCATTGTAGTACCACCGATGGAATAGGTCACTCAGTGGCCGAAAGGCGATGGTACTACTGCTACAATGACATGACAGAAAGTCGGACATTTCTAACTATTTGTGAGTTCTCCCCCCCTATTTCTCGGTCTCTCCTCGATTCGTGCAGTTGCGATCTGAACCTTTAATATCCAGGTCTTTTCCGTAGACATGATACTTCTGAACACCTTCGCTTACACGCCATCCGAAAGCTTGAATCCATCAATCACAATCCAAGTCGCAGAACCAGTAAGATAACCTGCAGATGCAAGAAAAAGTGGGCGCATACTGTTCGTGACGGGTCTTACATCAGAAAAGGATCCTATAATGTTTCGACCGTTGACGTCACAAAGTGAGGCGTTGACCATGAATTATGAAACCTAGAGAATCGACCTTCATTATCTTGATGTGATCCTTGACGAGAAGCAGCTTTGAACTGGAGTTTTTTTGTTGTGGTTGTTGTTGTTGCTGCTTGTTTTACCAAAAATATATTCATAGAGGTAAAAAGCCTAACAGGGACACATCAACTTGAAGATCGTAGTCATACACGGATCATAATCATAGACATGATTATGCTCCTCTATCCATTCAAAAGTCCAAGTCATTTTGATATCTTATCTTACTACATGGTTCAGATCAAACCTTACCCTGGGTCCGTTTGCTCTTATAAGCATTGCATCCCCTGGTTGGAGAGTATTTCCCAGACAACTCACACACCACCGTGATGGATGCCTTAAGTTCACCGTTTTCTTTCCTTTGCAACTCTAGCATGTTGGGTTACTTCATTATGATAAGGGAACATAAGGTGGAACATGATCTACATTACACACAGTTGATAGGAGTGATATCTCCTTGACTCGTACGACGGCAATAAACCTTCATCGTGCAGCAGTTGTATCATCCGCTGCCATATTCCATTGCGTAATAACATTGACGTAAAATCTAAGAAGTTAACTTGTTAAGCTCGTACCCTCGACGAGGTAATACTCACTCAAACTGGGAGCACGAATTGCACATATGTTCCTTCGGATACAGCTAGCTTACAGTGTGGTCCTCGGTGGAGTTTCAGATAGGAGACCTGCAATTCGAGATGTGAGTCACTTCGCAGCAACAAGGTGAGTCGAGTCGTACACAGAATAGTAATGAGCTGCGAAACCGACCAGTCTGCAGTACACTCACAAAGAGTAGAAAAGCATGGTCTGGAAACGGACCACTGGAAGTACACAATGGAACAGTAAGACTTGTCCTCATGAGGATCGCTCAACGGAAATAGAATAACGAAAAGGATGGGAAGACCGCATCGAGTCGTCGTACAAGGATCACTCAAACCCGACGTTGACCTTTATCACGTCGATGGTCGTACACTGCCTCAGTACACCACTTTTCTCGGGTCGTTTTCAATGTACAAGGCATAGTAGCAACTTCAGTACGCAGCTCTCCAGTACAACCCAGACGTAAGAGGACAGTCCACCAACAGTTTCATGATCTACAGCCGCACAAACGATAAAAGCGTTGTCGCGATCTGGACCCTAGCCATGAATAGAACACCGGCTCGCGTGCTCGGAAGGTGTCCAGCAATGTTCTCTCGACGCCCTCAGGAAACAAATCCGCGAATATGGCGTACTTCCAGTGCCATTGTCTTCTACAATGATCGACGCCGGGACACACCGAAAGAATAACAAAGTCATTGACCGTACCATCTTCTAGAGTACAATGAAAAGCCGCACCGATTTCCAAAAGTGAGATACTCCTTGTCCAGAAGAAAACAAAGAGAGTCAAGTCAACCTTCATGAGGATAAGTCACAGATGGTAGTGGAGTGTCTAGGACAAGCATGCCCTTTCGATCCAATATAAGGTTCCATCTCAATATCTTATGTCCAGTGTGTTCCATCTCTTCTATCATGGAATAGATGTCAACTAGGGCCACTTCTTCTGCGACATCTGCATCTTCTTCTTTCCTCGGCTTGTAGCCATTTTTGCGGCTTCGATTCTCTCGATACGAGAATGAGATGTTTGCTCATCACCCACCAGCTTGAAGTGCTAGAATGTGGGCCATGTATTAATGACGAACTTCAAGTGGTCGATCGGTCCTTTGGCTTTGGAGCAAGTGCTGCAGAGCTAGCGGCGACGGGAGTTCACCCCTGCCGAAGCATCGTCGGCTGCGGCTGAGAAGTCTGATGCGAGGTAGGACCTCTGAACCTGTGCCAGTTGATTGTCGCTGGAGTGAATGATCCCATTGATCCTCATTGCGCCTGTAGGGATTCTCAGAAAAGGAGCTCAACTGGACATGAGTTCTGGTGGATGGTGATTCAGGCTTGAGGTTTGTGAAGATCTCGCTGGGGCCATTCAAGAGTTGACGGCGAAGAGAATGTGACTTTTTTGTGCTTGACGCTTCTGGTGTCCGAGAGCTCAATGTTTCGATTTGTATCGTGTGTGTTGAATTTCGAAACGCTGCCCGGCGATAGCGAAAAACGTAATATGGCGGTTTTGTAATCTGGGAAGTTTTTTCTTATTTATCTGTCCAGAAAAGCCCACCCTGCAATGCCGTCTATTCTTATTCGTGGTACTTTCTTCTCGTTTTGCTTTCTTCGTCAAAAAGTTTCGTCCAAGGTTGCAAGGAAGAGATAGCTTGGACTCGCCATCCGCATCAAATCATATGGCATCAAATCAAAGCAGGTCGATCTCGTATCGCCTTGGTCTCTGTTTCAATACTCGAATACGTTTTTTAATCATTTGCAATATAATAATCAATTTTCTCTCGTATAGAACTAATGGGTATAATTATGATAAAGGAAGTAAATAAATTATAGAAAGTAAAGCTCTGTTCTCAAAAATAATTTAACAAAAAATGAAAACGATGTGTTCAATACAGATGAAAAAATCTAATACATGCATCGATTTATCATAAAGCTAGGTTCAAAAAAGATTTCGTAATACAAATTATTTCATTCAGAAATAATTCAAATTGACATGAAAATAATATCATCCTGCATGATATTAATTAAAAAAATCATTAAGAGAAATCATATGTTATGTTCAATTCAAGTCAGCACCGGGTGTCGGCATATGTTGCCTAGTTGGGCCAGATGTGAAAACTCCAAGCGGTTAAGAGGAACGTCAAGATTCGAACTTTTTCAAAGTGAGTTTCTTCAAAGCTATTTATGGTAAGTCTTGGTTTTTTCCAACCTTTTATTCTTTGTTTTGATTTGATTGAGTTGTAATTTAGTTCATAAACATCGAAATAATAAACAAATATTTTATCAAGACAGTATATTGATTCAATAAGAGCACAGTCAACTAACTATCTTAATTAGTGGTGAATTGCAAAGCATATATTGTTATAAAATATATCAATATTATCATAATAAATTATAATTTTGTATTTTAACTAAGATCAATGTGGAAAATCAATATACCTTTCATACTTACAGAATGGTGCACAGTCTTTAAAGATTTATCATGAACAACAGTGGTATTTAGATTTTAGCATGAATTTATGTTTCTTCCAAAAACATTCATTTTTTTGAGATTTTGTGATTTTAGTTCTTGAAGTGACTTTTTTACTACAAATTCTCAAATTCATAATTTTTTTGGATGCAATGAAAATATTTTTTAACCATATATTCTTTTTTCATGAAAAAATGTTTAAAAAGTTATATTTTGAATTAAAATATTTTTATATATTCAGCTCAAATTTAATAAGTTCTCTATCATCAAAAAACTTTCAAATAAAATTTCATCAACATTTTTTTCATTTATCTTTTTTAAATAAATTTCAAGTTACAATTATATTTTAATGTGTCTGTTATTAATTTAATATTTTTAATTTGTATCAAATTCATTAAAAAGTAGAATATTCTTTGCCTGATATCAAATTATTTCTTTTAAGATTTGCAGTAAAAGATGCAGTAAAATTAAAAAAATAAGAATAGATATATTCATAATAGTTAAATTCTAACATTATTATATTGAACTTGTATAAAAATCATAGAGTTATATTAAAATTCTAAATAGCATAAAAAATAATTTTTCACATTTATCATTGCTTAATTGATTTGGATTTTCTTCTGTAACAATCTTTTAAATGTCTATGTAGAGATTAAAATTTGTATCAATTCTAATAGCATACTTGAGGATTTTTCATATATAATTTCAAAATAGCTGATTATGATCATATTTTTTTCATCTTTGAATTTTTTATACCTTTCGTTTTCATGAAAACATACAAGACAAAAGGTCTATTGAAATTTTTTTTATATAATGATAATAATTTGAAAAACTAACATGATTTAGATTTGATTAAAATATCCATTAAAATTATATAAAATTCCATATCTATTTTCTCAGTTTTCATCATATTATTCAACTTGAAGATCATGTAACTTTACAATTAAATTTTTGTTGAATGAAACAAACAAATTTTTGAATCAAATGAACTCAATACTCAATATTTGAAAATTTTCAAAAAATTATCAAATGAAAATTTAAAATTTCATGAAGATTAAAAATTTTATTTTTTTTCACAACCTAATTCTTAGAAATTTAAAACACTTCAACTATGAATCTTTAAAAATACCAATGTGATATTATATTGATCAAATGGCATGAACTAAATTTCTTTTCCAATACTGAAATTAAGTTTTATATATTTTTATCGTGATAAAAATATATAATTTTTATCACGAATTTTCATTTTAATTTCCTTTTATTTCAAGTAAATTTGAAAATTTTATTACATAACTTTTAACTACTACAAAATTTATTTTACTTGTTCAGTAACAACTGCTTATAAATTTTGAGTATAAAATTAAATATGAGTAATTTTTTGACAAGATATTCATTTTTTCAATATATGTATAATATTAATTTTTTTACATACAATTTGGATCATCTTATTTTCAGTATTTTATTTAATTGATGAGATGAAAAGTTTTAACTTTTGTATTTTTATGATTCATAGTTGTAAGCATAAATCTTCATTGAATCAAATTGTTTTGAATATACTGGATGAATTTTGATGCATTCATATTTATCAAAATATTGAAAAATATAATTTTTTGTGTAATAGGTATACAATAAAAATTATACATAAAATAAAGATAAGATAACATCATGAATGAAAATTTTATAATGGAAAAATATCATATTAATTTTGTTGTTAGTAAAATGTGAATGCACATGACATATTGTGAATAATTCTGTTGACTTTCTTTGTTTGATCATTCGTTTGAAGAAGATAGAGGATTCATTTTATCAATGTTAAGATAAAAATACGAAATTAAATTTATCAAAATAAATCAAAGAAAAGAATATTTATTCAACGATTAATATTTTCCTTTAATCATGATTTGATAAAACTTAATCTAGATGCAATTGAACAAGTTGTGTCATCTATTATATTTTTTGTGATTGCGTTGATATAAATTAAATTAATTTGTTTGTTCATATTAACTACCATTGTATCATTTCATAATAATATTTTTGATAATTCATATAAAAGATACATGATGACATATTTTCTGAATATTAAGGATTAAATAAATATTGCATTAAACTATTTGATTTTTGAATACTAAACTTGTTATGCCGACAAGTAACACAACTTTGAATATAAATGTTTCATATATTCATGTGGTTTGAATATAAGCAACTTCATATTTGGATTGAAGATAAAGTACAAACATATGAATACAAACAACATAAGGAGTAATTCTTTTGATTTTGTTTTAAAAATGTTGTTAAGTATCACAAGTTTTTGAGAGAAAAAATCAATTGGATGTCATACATGATGTTCTTATTGTTAAGCTATGGCATCGGTTGTTATATCAAAGATATTAATAGCCAACCTGATGGATCAATTCGTTACATACCATTTGAGTATAAATACATGTAACAAAATATTTTTAAATGTTTCAAAAGTTTAACTTTCAAGTTATGTCTCATCTTTAATTTTTAACTATTATTTGATTTAGATGTTAATACTAAAAAGAATCTAGATAGAAACGTGAATTACAAATAAAAAAATTCAAGACAGTTTTTTGACTAAATTTGATCATTTTGACTATCTAATGATGACTTTTTGGTTTTATCTGTTATGAACATGAGATTGATGAATAATATTTTTCTCCTTATCTAGAACAAATTCTTCTCTTATTCTCTTTTGGAATGATTCAACTGTATATTTGTAATTTGAACTTCATAGTCATCATTTACAAATAGAATTTTAAATTCATAAAATAAATAAATTTTATGTTAAAACTTCAAAATGTAAGTTTAACAACTAAAAAAATCCTTACATCATACAATCAGAGCAAACAAAATCTAATATGATATGAGACATTGAGAATTGTTTATACTAGTAGTATCAAACTCAAGTAAGTTTTTTTTAGGTCTTATCAATTTTTCTGAAATATATGGGATTTGGGATTTTGCTCTTTAATTCAAGCTTTGACATCTATGCTAAATAAAGATAAAAAATATAGAGATACAAAACAGATCAAGAATTACATTTTCAACCATTAAATGATGTTTGATTGAAATGACATCAAATTTCAAAATTTGATGAAAAATTTTGATTTATTACAAATATAATAGATTTTAAGATAAAAATGAAAATAAAGTGAATTTATGATGAATAATCTATAGTTTTCATGTCAGAAATCAATATGTTTGGTAGATAAAAATAAATATGTTTGTTAAAAGTTTAATTTTTGATATATCTGCCAGGTCATTAATTCAATGAAATTGAAACAGATAATGAAATGTGATTTAATCTAGTTGCTCATGTTCAAATTATTTTATATAATGATGATAAAATAAATTTGAATTGTCTTCAGAGTTTAGATTTTCTCCTTGAATGAACTTCTTACTTAATTTCTATTGTTACCATAATTGATGTTAAAATTTTAAATTCCAAGACATAAGAAATGAAAAAGAGTTGTAATTAAAGAGAACTTTTAGATTGAATTCTTATCAAAGAAAACTTAGTCTAGATAAGAATATACAAGAGATGATTCATTTAAAGATCTCTTGAAAGACTATGATGGCTACCAAAACATGCTTAATTATCATTTTAATACTTTGAGTACATACATTTGGGAATACTAATCCAAAAAGAAGGTAAAATGGGTTGAAATGTAGAGGGGGTTAATCATACATAATGTAGAAAAATACATTTCACATGCATTTTATGTGTGTAGTTTATTGTTGCAATAGATGTAGAATATGAAATTGATGATATGAATGACATTTGTCGCAGATGTTATTGAGTTGATTTTCATTCACTTGATTGGATGAGTTTTGCATGTACTTTCCTCTATGAAACTTACTCCCAGAAGTAAAAAGTAAAGTTTGTGTAAAGAATACAAGTTGATGACATTTGGATTGCTCTAAGAAAAAGGTTTAGACAAAAAAGTTGAGAGTTCAAACACAAATTGCAAGTAATTGATTAAGATTCAAATTTTGTTACTTGCAATAACTTTTTCATTTTCTATGGGATAAACGGATGGTTTCTACAAAGCCATCCGTTTCTTAACTACTTAATGTAATACTACCTCACATTTACTATGAATTTGTTTAATCTTTAATTAATAAAAGCTAACTATGTCATTAAAAATGAGAAATTTGTCATAACACAAACTTTGATATGTCTTGTAACTCAACTGAAGATTTAGACCTGATTATAAAAATCAATTACTTGCACTGATTACAAGGTAAGAAAAGGATGAACTATTTGTTCACTCTTTGTGAATCTAGATTGGAGCCATGAAATTGACTTGAAGTCAAGATACGAGCCCAAATTGAACAGGCTATATACTATTTAAGTCATTGTGCATACATCGGTTTCGACAGTAATTCAACGTGTAGAGTAAAGATCTCATTATGGGAAGATGATTCATGAGTCAAAGTGTAGAATAAAGATCTGATTATGAGACGATGATTCATAATTGAGCGTGTAGAATAAAGATCTCATTATGGGACGATGAATCATATCCTATTGTAGAATTTCGAAGATTTAATCTAGCTAGATAATTAACACATGTTGGGTTCAAGAGTACATATTTCCCATTGCGATGCTTTGGATTCCCAAAGCATCAAATCTCGTGTTACTACTCCTTTCATAAATAGATAAAATTCTAAATAGGTCTTCTCTTAATTGTTGTATATGATTCGGGAACCATTCGATGAGGGTACAGAATCCATTTTCTACAGGAACAACATTGATTTATGCAGCTCTGCCCGCAGCCTGCATGGCACCGAACCTGCGAAGCACCAGTGTCCTACAATCGCTGGAAACGATCCAATCGCGCAATTACTACTGCTGAGATTCCAAGGTTTCGTCAGATTGTCACAGCATTCACATCAGACATCGAATGGCAGAACTTTCCTTCACACGAATGCGCTGGTCGGTTGATGAATGTCACATTCATCAAATCGCACATTCAGAATGTGACCAATTTACAACTCGAATCGGATCTGGATCAGATGTGACATTGATGACTGACGCGGGCACACGCGAACATTTGCCTAAACGAATCCCGATCGGACTCGTCGGCGCAACTATGAATCTCTCTGCAAAAATTGGGGGTAGAATTTGAGAAGGAGAAGAGAAAACTAGATGGCGACGATGGGGTGCGCGATTTCCAGCTCGTCACGAGGAGGAGCTTCCTCCCAGAGTTGCTGTTTGTCCAGGCCGAGCTTTTGCAGTTCCAGCAATCCCTTCTCCACATCTACCGTATCGCGGAATGTCGGCGGCTGGTGTCGCCTCTGCGTCCAGTAGAGAACGCGCTCGTCGGCCAGATCTCGTTCCAGTCCCAGCCATTTGGCTCGACTCCAGAAGTACAGAAGCCATGCTTGCTTGAATTGGACGTCCTCGGCCTCGTCGACGCTCAGCCCGACGCGCATCATGGCGGGATGGCGGTGGTCAGTCATGGCGAGCAGCACGGCCTCTTCCACTCGGAGCATGGCCATCTCCCGCAGGGCCTTGTCCACCGCGAGCATGCTGCCGGCGTCTTCCTCGCTGGCGATGATCTCGCCCATCGTCTTCAGATGCCGATGAGGCCTCTTGCTCGTGCTCGGTCGCAGCTCGCGGCTCGTCGCCAGCGCCGGCGCCTCCAGAGCTTTCTCAGCCGCTGCGACGACGAACTCGAATGGCGACGGGGCCAGCGATGCCCACAAGCTGTGCTTCCCGTGGGCGATGTCGGCGTAGACGCCGAGCCGAGCAGCCAGCCCCCAGTAGCGTGACAACCAGCAGCGCTTGAGGAGAAGCTCCTCCGCTTCCGGCTGATCGAGATTCATGCGTCCTTCTCCTTCTCCTTCTCCGAGCTTCTCAGGATTGTTTCGATGCTCGTGCTAGCGCATTTTCCCTCTCGAGCCAGTGACCCGATTGCAGTTCCAGCGGAGTCGTTCGAATTATTCTTCGACTATGGCGATGCTTCAGTCCTCGGGCATGGTAGCCGACTGCGCAATCGTCATCGATCCCCAATTTGTCAAACTGAGTTCGCGTTTGGCTCTCACGCGAGTGTCTGCGGAGCTGTTTCTGACTCCGAGATTGTGTCCCGTGAAATCTCTGCACCAAGCGGCGCAAGTGAGAATGCTCGAGTTGCTGTTTCAGGACCTCAGCACATGATCGTCCCTCATTTGTTCTCCTGAAGTGGTCGAGCATTCCCACTGAAATCTCACTACCTGCACTGGATCCATCGCGTTCGGCAGGCCTTCATTCTAGGCTGGAAGGCGTTAGCGCATGCGACGTCGGCATGAAGATCACTCGCACTTCGAAAGATCTCGTTTCTATCTGTCGACGGAGGCTGAAGGTTGTACGCTAGTTTGGAAACCATTAGAATGCGAAAGTTCGCAGTAAGGAATTCGAAGAAGCCCGTCAGAATTTCGATCAGTGGATTCGAATTTGCGAAAATTGAGCGTCGTTCGGTGAAAATATTTTTCAGGACTGACGATCTGACTTCCGCAGCGACTCGCGTTCTTGTATATCAGGCGATATGTTCGAACGACGGTTCATCGTCATGTCTCTGGTGCCTAATTTCTTCGGCGTAGATTCCGAAGTCACCCGATCGCCAATGCGCCATACGAAAATGAGAGAAGACGAGACTCCTTCTTCCTCCCGCGTGTGAAAATCCCCTGGATTCGCACGGGGAGTGAGTGACATTGCCGTCAGTGAGTCGGACATCAAAACTTCGGCGATTTGGAGAAATCGAGATTTTCCTTCCGAGCGGGAAGGCGACGGTTACAATTCCGAATTGAAATCTCCTTCGATCCACTTGCCGCCAATCTTTCCCGAAAACGGGGGCCGGACGGACGCCACATTCGTTAACGTAAGCATGCATCGATGGAGTGGTCTGCGTGCTCAACCTCTGAGTAGTAGGCCTGGACACCATGTCACGCCATGCTCGAACTTTAGTCCTGTCCGATCGAAGAGATGAGATGAGATGAGATGTCCTGAGACCGTCGGAGGAAACCTCCAAGAAAGTCCAACTCCAGAACAGGAAGCTCCTCTGAGCTCACAAGTTCAAAGCACAACCGCTGAAGGTGGATTTCTGCAGCACCCGCTCGGCAGATTGCCCTCGTCACGTCGACTTGTCATCAGTCCAGAGAGAACGGCAGCACATGGTCGTCCGTTTCTTCCTTCATTCAGATTCGTGAAGAGCTTTTGTGGCACCCATCCATACAGAGCACTCAAACCTTCACAAGCCCACGAATCTTTTTCTGGAACAGATCGATCATTCCGCTCATGGCCAGCTCGATTGAACCTTGGCTTGGTAATATAATCCGAGCGCTCACTGTGAGCTGACGACTTCGATCTCAGCTACATGGCCTCGGGCTTTTCGACCGGAACGAAGAGGTCGCAGTTCCAGCACAGTGCACTATCATCAGGATTTTCTGTGGCGTGTCTGGACAAAGTGAAGCCTGGGGACATGAAAGACCCTGAATTCATAGATTCTTGCCACCTCCGTCCTCGGCATCCATGAAATCCGGATGAACACAGTCAGAAAAGCCCGATTCAGTCTCGAAGCAGGAGCTGGGGAGCCTGTTCAGTTCTAACCCGGCTCGAAGCGAATTTGTGAGACTGGTGTAATTAAGTCAACGCACACCAAATACTAAACGAGAATTGGCGTCTCAGGATTTGGAAATTTGGATTAATGATATAAACATTGTTTCGACGTGAATAAGAATTGTCTCTGCTGGAATGTCAGCCTACCGTAGGAAAATGCGATGCCTCTGAAGCTCGAAGGAATGGGGTGGACGGCCTAAGAGTCAACTTCCAGGATTCTCGTTTGCTCCGTTCATCGACATTGGGACGAGTCTGACTACGAACCGTACGGATGTGATCTGTACCTGAAGATACTCATATGTCGATCGAGCTGATTGCCTACAGCCTGATTCCAGCTCCACACACACATGCACTGGTTACAGAGATTCTGAGTAAGGCTTCAGATTTACAATCTTGAATTGAATTAAATTAGTGTTTGTTTATTTGTACGTTTATAGGGTATATTTATTATACTGGATATATAACAAATATAATTCTGAAATACTTTTTAAAAATAATTCTGTAGAGGATTAACATTTTCATGATGAAATGTTTGTTAATCCAGATAATGATGATGGAATTGTATCAAATTTACTTTTATAATTTTTTTGCATAAATATTTAGATAGTAACATCTGACTAACTAGTATGGTAATTGCAACATAGAATTGAAATTGAACCAATATTATTGTTTATACTTTCAGACATAATTCAACTATATTTTTACACTAGAACATTTTATATATAACTGAAATGTAACTAGACTAAGTATTAGCGCACGCCTCGTTAGGAGCCGAATTGTTTGAAACTGAGGGACATATTAAATGTTACTGGGTGATATCTCACTGGAAGCCTCGAACGAGATTCAATGTTCGGGAAATGGGAGAAACACATGTCCAATCACGTAGCTTAAAACTATTCGAGCAACGAAAGCTTTCACCTCTCTGTTGATGATGACTTTTTCTGTAAATAGAAATCCGAACTCAGAGATGAGATCGGCACAACTCGTATTTCCCCAGCTGTGAGTGGACATGGAGGGAATGGTTTCAGCCATGATTCCAGCTAAACCTGCTTACAAAGATTGTCTGAATACAACAGACCTTGCTTGAAGAACACTTGAGCACAGGGCTGCTCCGCATTGTCATGAGTCGTGCCTCCGAGCTCAATGCGAGATCTTCTCAGCACCAAAGGCGTACTTTGACATTGAGCACACTGAGAGAGTCTTGACTGAAATTGACATATATACCTCGTCTCACTACCACACCTATTCTTCGCCCGGAAATATCAATTACTCTCGGGCTTGCAATTCTTCACTCCAGCTTCTCCTCAAATCAGATGTCCAAGACCGTCGTGACTTGAATGTTCGAGTCGAATTGACGGAGCCGTGCGTTTGCCATGTCTGTCAATCACAGAGCCAACTCCGTCCAGCCCTCTGTTTCCAGCCATTCTCGGTAGTGGAGAATGGCTGGAATGGAAAGGAAGAATGATGTACGTCCGCTTATCTCACCTCTTTCCCATCCTTGTACTATCCCATTGCTCAGATCACCGACGTAAAATTATTACCCCGGACCGGCTCGTTGCAAGTGAAAAAATTACACGTCGTTTTGACAGCACTAAGCGAGACTGAATCGTCGTTTTTTAACACTGTGGGGTTTACGGAATCTACCGTGAACAGGGAAAAGGCATCTCTACGCTCCAGCACAACGATTGCTGTCGGACCGTAAGGGATTGGAACCTTCATTACGAAGAATGAACGACTCAATGAACCCGGCTGTCAGTGCGAGGACGGTGTTTATTCTCTAGTTCTCACGATTTTGGTGTTGTACGTGATTTGGTGCGGGTATAATTACACTATTTATCCTTGTTATAATTTATGGAAAGAGCGTGTGGATTGAAGTGATTCATTCATTGTTCGAACTTTCCATACAGCAGACAGATCTGAAATCATACACGTCTAGAATCACCGTCTGAACCAAAAGCATCACACACGTCAGTCATGGTATAAGAATAATTTCGCAGAATGACCTCTGTCCAACTCGATGTTTACATTCTATCTACATGCAAGATAGGTTTATGTTCCGACACCAGACATCGGACATTGGACCCTTTTAAGTCCAAGATGAATGCAATGCACTTTCGATTGCTGCAGTTCGTGAATTTGCAGATGTCTAATGGTATGGATCTATGTTTTCCTCTTTCTTCATGATATATATCTCTCTCTCGTTCCACGTTGCGTGGAAATTCCTTCTCTTCAAAATTAATTGTGAAACAAACTTGAGCTTTACAAAATATATTTTCTCCGTCCCATCGGAGAAATGGGTGTGGATAGGCAAATACATGAGTTGACAGGTACACCCTTCCAAAACTAGTAATCACATTGGTCTGATGAATTCACATCCTTCTAACCGCTGATTGGTTCGAAGCCACCAACTTACAAAAGGATTGACGGGACAGCGTTCAAGGCTGGAACTTGTCGTGCAAAAGCAAGCTTTTCTGCGAATTAAATTTCATGGCACTCTAGCTTCCCCTAAAGAACGTACCTCTGAAAGCTATGAGATGCAACCAGGTCATCATATAACTGGCGAAAAATCGATGTGAAAAGAGAACTCATTTGGTTCTCCACAGAATTCCGTTGTGACATTTAGGGCTCAAAAACTCAGTCTCAGATCGTTTCGTTTTATATAATAAAATTGGGTAAACTAAATTTACAAAAATGGCTCAATTTCTAGCTCCATGGCGGAACATGGATCTGGGATATCAAAGCGTTGTAAAACCTGCACGAATAAGTCAACGTTCAGCCAACAAATACGTTGAACTTGTCTTGGACGTCAGAGTTTGCGGAGGTTTCGCATGTCTTCTTTCATTGCTAAATGTATTTTGACATTCATACCAATCATTACATACTTTAAGATAAGGGCAAAATGCAGGAAACACTCCAAGAATACGTACCTCGGGATGAACGATTCCAAAAGTTCCAATCGAGAATCCTTGGTAAAATATATTAGCTTGCCTTCCTGTGAAGTATTCCGGTTCCTGCGTAACAAAGGGGAACTGCTCAATGAAAGATAATTCTACCTCGTCATATGCAGAACGTTGAAAGGTACATCTCCCTCGCAAGGGGATGAGTTCATTCAGTCCCATGATGCCTCAGTAACCTCATTCTTTGTGTCTCTCCTTTAAAAAACTCAATAGGAATATTCTTTTGAAAAGTGCAAAACGAGGTTTACCAGTAACAATCCCCATTAAAGTACATCAACAAGGGAGGAAAAAAAAAAGTATAGTAAAACATATATACCACAACGACAGTCTTATTCATAAGCTTTCACTGTTAAGGCATCATCCTTACTTGAGAGGGTTTAATGTAGTAACCCGTTGTCTGCCCCACAGGACACCTTGAGATACCTACAATTTCCATGACCCTGTCGACTAAACCATGAATAACCTGCACACAACATGACCGCAGTTTATGCGCAGAGTGAGATTCTTGAAATACATCGATCTGAATCCATGACTAGAAGGAAGGCAAGATACCCAGAAAAGACCAGATATATCCGTGTTTAGACACCTCGTACATGATAATCATGTGTAAGACACAGATAAAAGTATGAGAACACAAATTTATACTTTCGAAGTGCACTGAGAGCAAGAAGAAGCAGAGATAAATCAGAATATGGAAAAAACTAAAGGGAGTCATATTGAAAAAGATGGTAGACTCGCGTGCTGTTCTGACTGAAGCATAACTAAATTCAAACTGTATGTTCGTATGTTCAATGCTCCAAGACAAAACATTGGGATATAAAGCACGAACCTCGAAACCAGATGTTTGGTCACAATACAGAGCAGCAAGACGCCGGCGGTTGCCAGCACCGACATCCTTTGAGCTATCTAGAAGGACGACATCAGAAACCTCGAAAAGCTGCTTATGACATTCACATAAACAAGGTCAAACGTCATAATGTGAAGTACTAGGCCATCAGTCTTATCTTTAAAATAGATTGAATGCGAGTAAATATCCAGTCGACAGCGTACTCCACAGGGCAGGGTTTTGTTTCAAGAAGGCCTCACACAATAGAAAAACACACCACTACGAGATCTCCAGAGAATGTGATGCCTATTATACAAGGCTGGATCTTGCTAATGAGAGAAGTAATTTGCCCACAAGCATGGCTACCTGACCAGAATCAAGTCTAGTTACCTTTACAGGACGTGGGGTTTTCTTGTTGTGTGCCAGAGTCTTCAACATTCCCGGAAGGAGGCTTGTACGTACAACCTGGTAGAAGACATTGATAAAAATCAATACGTAAGAAAGTGAGAAAATGAATTTCATGAACGCCCTTGTCCTCAAATGCTCTACTACCGTCAGTCTGGAACATTTACAAGTGGAGTGATAGTAACACCCGCAAAGCCACTGATCCACGATCGATACATACTCATTGACCATTCATTACATAGTCACAATGCTGCACGAAACTCGTTCTTTCATGTGGGGCAGAACTACTGTCTTCAGGAGACAATACAGCAAGAGTTTTCATAGAATCCTCCTCACTTGATACGTCCTGGAAAAAAATGAATTCCCTGTGCACCTAACCTGCTAAGTGCGATCGAATTCAGTGGAGGAAAGAGAACATATGATGCAAACCTCGAAATCAGAAGTGCGTGGATTGCCAATTTGAACAGATTTCTTCTTGTCATCTTCTCGATTCACCATGGTAAAATTTTCCATATTGGAACCCAAAATCCATGTCAAAACTTCCGTGAAACCCGCCAAGGCTATCTGCAACAAAATTGACGGCAACTCAAACTCCGGAAAAAAGGGGCAATTTTGCTAAGGAGATAACTCTTTCATTTTTGTGAAGAACTAAATCAATTTTAGTGCATACAATATGCATTATATTCCGATATCAAGAACGGTCAAGGTTAGAGGATTCATTCGCGTTGCCATCTACTTGAGGGTATGAAGACACCCTACTGTCCTGATCGAACAAAGGAATAACATGTAGACTCACCAATATCACTCAAATCACTCAAAAGTCAACAACACATGTTCCAGTGGAGTGCTCAAGAAGCCTTTAAATTATCTTTCCGCTGTTCTCATGGATGGTGTAGTACTGCCTTGCAATTAGGTTTGGCGAACTAGGCGTGAGGAATCTTGCAGATTAAACTACGGCAAAAAATACATACGAACCTGTATAAAATCAAGGTTCATCCAAGACCCCTACGATTACAGCGACAAAGATACAAACACTAAATGCTTGTACTATAGAGTACAATGCAAACGAAACTAAAACGTAATTTCTGCAGAAACAAAAAGGTCATCCTGACGAGTCCCTTACGTCCTACAAACCAACAGTAATTACCTGTTCTCTCAGCAGGTCTGAGAAATGATTCAACGTCTGTTCTTTCCCCTGTGTGTGCGACTTTGGTACTGTCTTCTCAATCCTATTGAAGCCAAATGCAATTGCAACATCCTGCATGACAATGTAGACATGTTAAAATCATGAAAAATTTCGAAACAACTTCGTACACGGTGATTTCGTAAACTTGACATCTAAACATAACTCTTGGTTCTCTTTGCACTTAAAAGAATGGTGTATTGTTCTAAATGCAATTCCCAGATATCGGTTTCGAGATCTCAATGTCAGTCAAAAAATCCAGCAAACCACATGAATCCAGAGACTTGCACCTATGCCTTCGATTGCCAAAATCCAGAAAGCAGCTTTACTCACTTCCATCACATCACAGGGATGAAGCACATCACTTCTTGTAGGAGGAGCTGTCACCCTGATCTTGGTCGTGTCACCAGATTTTATAACCTTCGCTGGTAGCTGCATCTTATACAAGTAGCCAACAATCTGTGGTGCACAGATTCAGATAAAAGACTCAACGTAAGTGCTCCGTCTCCAGACTGTAAACTCTCTCCGGACAAATTCAACTTCCAAACCAGCATTTACGGGAATAATGATTCACTCAAGGGCCTCGGCAACAGAAGACTATGAGCTTAATCTGATCAATTTATAACACATCAAATTGGTCATAATTCAGAACAAGATAAATCTTCGAGGGCCCATACATGCAGACACAGAAGACAAAGCGGAAATACCCTTGATAACACTAACCTCCATGGGTTTCAGCTGGACCCCGATGGTTTCATTTATATAAGAGACATCCACTTCAAACGTTCGACAGGATAGATCAGGGTAAACGTTTGACTTGCCATCTGTGATCACTTCCACGGGCTCCACCTCGAACTTTTGGTCGCAATATTGTGAAAACATTGTAACCTGTCCACAACGAAAGTGTCAGGCATCATGAAATGTATGAAGGTCATATCTCCTTGCTCTATTGTGAAGAGGGTTTCCATGACTGCACTTAATAATAGCCAGTGCCATCACTTATGGATGGAAGGTAAGAGATGCCTTGGGTAAGAGATGCCTCTCTTCTCATCTCTCTTCACCAGATGGCTAATAGGACTTTTGACTTGACCGTACACATGCAAGAACATTGTACAGACTGCTCGACCTTCAGATTACATCGACTCGTTTCAATATCGTATAGACGTGAGGTCATCGGCATATCAAGGAACAGAGGTTTACGCACCATGGTGTTCAGCACGATTTTGGCCTTCGTGAGGTCGGTGGCAGTGCACTCAATGAACACGTTCTTAGTCTTCAGTGTAATGGCAGAATGAGCGCCATTAATGATTGGGGGTAACGAAAGCACTCTCCTGCAGAATATTTCCGGCTAAAATAAGATACTACACCTCGGATGACGATTATGATTGTGATAAATATAAGGAGTGCATTCAGCTTGAAGAAAATGGTCCCGCTAGACAAATGAATCTTACCTCTTGCTGTCGTAGATGACAGGGTAAACCGGCGAGCTCTCGATTATGTGTAAAAATTTCTTCAGCTTCATATCAGACTGAAGATGACAAAGGGAATGAGTTAGTAAGAAAGAAGAAGCAACTCGCGGGATCATATTCTGAGCAAGCTATTACTAGCACATGGTTACTTGCTATACTGATATCATGTGATTGTGCTCGGCGTGCTGACATTGCAAAACATAAGGTCCCATTTCAAAAATACCTTACGATACAGTAGCATTTACAAATACAAGCGTGCACAGGTGACTACTAAAATTTCATTCACTTGAAGGTTTTATCACGAACCTTGTAAAACTCCATCAGCTCTTGGGCACTGAATTCTTTGGTCTGCGACAACATCCCACGATAAATAAACTTTGCTGAATATTAAAATATTTGGAACAAATGGAACAGAAAGTGACAAAATTTTCCTGTTTTAACTATGACACCTTGCTTATAACTATGAAGCATTCGTATGAAACAAACGCTGATTGTTTCAGATCAATGCCAATCTGTAACTGCATAAACATATATCATTTTACGTCTTTGTTCAAAATACCTGCTTCAAAGGAACAAACTTTATTTCTGATGGAGGGAGCGCCTGCAAGTAAGAAGCAAGTGTACATATATCAAAATTACTTCAATTCTAACTGACCATCAACATCACTTATGGAAACAAACGTCCAGTTTACCCTAGCAAAATTCATGCCATCTCCACTCTTTGACTGTCAAATCTGTGATCTTTTATTACTGAAATGTGGTTAGGTTTGGTTGTTGACATACATTCACAAACAGATGACCATCCTCCCATGGATGATCGCCAAGACTTCATAATTAGGAGCAGAAAGAATCAAGCAAACTGTATGGTGGCTTCTCAGTTGCACCGAGTAAACAGGAACCAGACTCAGCACAGGTATTAGTGGTTAATACCTCATAGGTGAAGGGTCCTTCTAGCGTATCGAGGTCATGAGTACCAATAGCAACCAACGTTCTCTTCCTGCAGTTGCAGAGCAGTGCATCAGTAAATTACAATTTCAGGGAAAGACTTAACCTAATCAGGCCTCAATAAACCCTAGACTGCAAATTTCCATTCACCTGTACATCACCGTCTTATTAGCAGGCAATAGTTGTGGATTTTCGAACCCAGCATTTGCCAATAATAGCTTCTTGAACTTACCTGCACAAGTTTTGATGCAGCTTGTCTTGTAGATCGATGAAGCTGTTATACCGCGCTTGAGTGAAGGTAATGCCTCTTAGTACAGCGCATACCACAAATGGCCTAATCAAGGAAGTCTGCCAAATTTTCAGATGGAAAAAAACTTCATTAACATAAATCTCCTACACACCTGTAGAACCTGTAGACGTGAATTCTAGGAAATTTGAAGGAAAGGAGCCTTTGAACACCAGTGTAGCCTCTTGTAGAAATGAATATGCACATGACAGTATCTTGCACATCCTACCTCGGGCTTCACAGTCATTTTGAGCATTGCCCGGCTTGACATGTCTGCAAGACTGTAAGTCGGGACCTCCTCCTTGCCAGTAAAGACGCGTAACCCTCGTGCAAGCCCTTCCAGGCACAGAAGATCATATCTGGGCATACAGGACGGGCATCAAACAACGCCCGGATTCAATTCAGCGTCACGAGACCGAGCTCTATGCGCCATTCGAACGTGGTCACTCAAATGACTTGGATTGCGCGAGTAGAGCACAGACCTGTTGGCAGGGACCTCAATTTTATAGATCCACTCTTCATCGCCTTCAGTGGCTGCATCTTCCTCCAGGTGCTTCTCCTTCCTGATGATTTTACCCTCTGTCGTCTGTATCGCAAAGCAGACTCATGAAATCGATCTATTGAAATTTTTTTAATTTTCTGATTTTCTGATATATGGGATTTGGAATCGTGATTTATGAAATATCAATAACAATGTGGTTTGCACACGTACCACTTCATCAAGTTCGATACCAAAGTCGAAGCAAAGTTCATCAAATTCCTCATCAGCTGCATTGCCAACAATCTATCGCTGTCAGTTAAGCACGAATCCAAAATCGAGCTGGAGAAATGGCTCTGCGAGCTAAGAGCCGAGCCCTGACGTCAGTCTACATGATCTCAACCACGCAGCCCATTCACCAGAGCTAGTCGAAAATCCCCGTCACGATTCAACACTTGGAGAGAAAGATCCAAGTCGTAGGGCGACAGACTCTGCCCATTTGGGATCGAGAAGATTTCACAATTCGAGTCGATTCACAATTACGACGTGGACCTCAAGTCACGCACGCCCAAAAAAAAACACAAGGAAAAATCGATGAGAGGGATTCGGATGCGACGCACTGAAAGACTGCTCCAACGCCGCGAACAAGAGATCTCGCCCGACGCTGACGGTCGGCATTGCAAGGCGTTGGTTCTCGCGGACCTGCTCAGCTGCCTTCGAAATACTTTCGACTGTCCTCAGAAACTCGAATTAGGGGTTACGAAGCGCTGTGTCGCAGCACAACGAAGTTCCCGGGACCCCGGCAGCATATACGGCAGGATCTCCCGCACGGAAACACGATTCGGTACGCTCACCAGCTCGTAAGACCGCAGGGCCCATTCTCCGGCCGGCAGTCCAGCAGTTCTGCTCTCCCGTCGAGCGTTACCTTCACGTTCAAATGCCGGATCCCGGCAGCACATACGGCAGGATCTGCCGCACGGTGAGAGGGTCCAGTACTCTACAGCACCTGGATCGCGTCGACTGCAGGGCCCATTCTCCGGCCGGGCGGCAGGCAGTGCAGCATTCTCCCTGTTTCATAACGCAGCCTGTCCTGTCAAGCGTGACCTTCACGACCAAATGCAGGCGAAATGAGCTTGAAATCCGCTTCAAATGTGGAGACATTGCATCTGAATGTCTCGCGTCGCAGGGAGTTGCATCACGAGCAGCAGCAGGCAGTCTATGTAAGACAGAGAGTCTGAACACGGAGGAAGCCATACGAGAGCTTCGCAGCAGTGGATCGTATCAGCGATGAACGGAGATCCGATGGATGATGTATACTCGCCCGAGGAGATGACAAATCAGTTCATGGTCTCGTTCTCTCCTGCTGGTGGTTTGTGAGCGATGAGACTTTTCTTTGAGCAGGACGGTAGGGCAAGCGAAGGCTGTCGACGATTTATTTATTCGGATGGTTGGATTCTCTGTGAGAGTGGAACCAGGGTAGCTTTCTTTGCCTTACCCATTATGTCCATGCTAGATTCGTTGCGCCAATTTGAGTTGTTGCAAATGCCTTTCCTCGTCTGGATTCTGTGCCATGAAATTGCTGTGTTTCTCTATCTGATTCCTCTTCGCAGCTCTGAGATCGACATGAATCCAGTTGCGCCTTCATAGTTGTTTACATACATACACCCCTCTTGTTCTTCGTCTATGGGGCAAAACAGCTCGGATAATTTTCTTAACGACTACCGAGAGACTGCAAATTGTGTCGGCAGCTAGCGAATGACGAATTGGTGTTACAGAAGGCCAGTCTCCAATTGAGAGTCTCTATTTTTTCAGCTGATGGTTTGAGGGTCCACTCAGATTAGGCCCGCACTTTTCGGTGTATAGGTTTGCGTTTCGAGAATGCTGGAGACATCCGAGAACTGCCAGAATAGTATTCTGGCAGTTCTAAAAGTCTGTATTCTGAGAAAGCAGACTTTCATCGAGCCCTATTCCAGACTTCTGTATCACTCCAAGCAGATGTGGATTTTGCAAAGGTGGGTTCAACATGGAATTAATCTCGTGTTCCATAACTAGTACTTGGAGCATGTTCTTTCCACATCAAGTGGCAAGAGTTTGCAGGTCAGTGTTTTGGATACTCGTTAAACTTACATCTTCTAAATGATTCAAGTTTGCTCATAGTGAAAACATGATTCAAAGGGGAAGACAAACAACGTTCTGAATAGTGTGATGGTGTACTCGAAGGTACTTGTGGGCTACTCTCTTTGATGATGCTGAGGAGTAGAAATCTGCCAAATGCAAACACATCATATTGTAAATCTATTACTGGCAAGAAGGCCATGCATGGAATAACCAGAGACTTGCATTGATAGATACTGATAATTATAAATCCTTCACTATTTTAACCAAAAAATAATCATTATTCAGTATGTACTGGATCATTCTTATCTAAAGCAGGAAAATAAAATGTTTATAGTAATCAGTATGCACTAGAAATATAGAATTACTCACTTTTGTTGACAATCAAGCTATAGAAGGCTTTCGGTTTCCTGATCCTCCTTCTAGGCCGTTATGTTGCGAGTGAAAGACGCAAGTGCAACGGCTTACCCTTGCAGGCCAGCTGGAAAATTGTGCGACACCACCCTTGTAAAATGCAGTGTTAAATCATGCTTAGCATCGGGTGAAATGTTATCACGAGTATTTGGTCACTATTCGATGTAAGACTTCAAATGAAATACTCTTGGTTCCTGAACAGCCAAAGCACAAGACTCATTTTCTCCGAAGATAGGAAAATTCTCATGCAGCTTAATACCATCCACCCTTGGAATGACCCCCTCGCTAAGTTGCACAAACTTATACAAATTGCCCTACTCTAACGTGTCAGGAATCCGAGTTTCTTTCTCGTCTTTCTTTCTCACTTCATTCTTCCTTCGTTCAGCCTAAGACTCCAACAGTAGTCCCAGCCTCTCCACCGGTTTTTATCTCGGTCGTGGGGTTTTTTCTCGGCCAACCTGACTTTCCGACCACCAAGAAGGCATTGTGCACGGTATCATTGTAGAGATCGCAAAGTAGAATCTCAACGGTTGAACTATCTTTATATATACATTAGGTTACTTATGACTAGTGGTCGGCTCCGCGGGAGCTGTTAGTACATGGAGCCGACTCAGCTCGGAGCCGATCGCCATGACAAAAGCCGGCTTCCCAGCCATTTCGACAATAGCTTCCAAAGTGGGCTGAAACTTTCAGTAATAGATCAGTGCTGAGTGTTGTAGTTATTGGGCTTTCATGTCTCAGCGGCCATTGTTAAGGATGAATCTTCGTCGGTGCCAACTTCGCCTTCGGACGAGCCCTGACGATTGTGATTGTCGTTCAATATATACTCGATGATCGAATCTTCGTCAGTAGACTCCTTAAGATTGATCTCGTTCAAGTCATTCAACTGCTTGTACGCAATGTTCCAGTTGCACGTCAACGTCGAGCGATCGCAGCGTTTTCAACCATAAGCTATAGCAAATCTTGGTCTTGAAATCGTTTCATGTAACGTCTCACGATCCTGAAAGATGCGCTTTGCCGGCGAATTGGCACGCTCCGTCGTAACTGAGGATGCAAGCGCGCCAAGGTAATCCATTGCAATAACAAAAAGCACTGGATAATCAACACGATGCGCGAGCCATCACGCAAACACATCGGTATTATCCGAAACAATCGGTTATTAGAAGTATCGATTAATTTCCGTTTTCTTGAGCAACGTATGCTCTGCAGTATCTTCATTAGTTTCTGCTCGACGTTGCGGAAACGTTAGCGAAAATATAAATCACCAAATAGAAGCTTTACTTTTTTATGTATATATATATATATAATTTTTTTAAAGATTATATTTGCTTTTTTCACATTGAATATTGTAAGAAAAATCCTTTAAGATTCGTTAGCTGAAAAATGTAAAACGTAAAACAAATGTATAAATGTATAATGATTTTTGCATAAAAGTACTTAAGATAGTACAATGTTTCTTAGAAATAACTAGTTTCTTCACATCTTCAAATTCAAATATGTCAACAAGTAAAAATTTCATTAAAAATAAAAATCAATTGAAAGGTAAATATAGTATCATCAATCAAGATTCATATATAATTTTTGTAAACATATTTTAAATACTCACAATCAATTTTAATTTCTCATGTATTTATTTACATACGAATGAAAATGAGATAATTAAAATTAATTTTTTTTTCTACCATTATTATGAAAAAAAAATCTTTAATGTCAATTTGATTGTTCATAGATTATTTAAAAAAAAAATATAATTAATCTTTATTTCTAAAAAAATCTCATCTTCATACAAGAGATTTGTTCGATTTAAACTGTTTTCTTTTCTTTACTGAGGTAAACATGTGATGATCACATTTCAATGATTGATGGAACTTAAATAGTAAAGTTATAATACGTTCACAATCATTAGAAATTCTAAAAGGAATCCCTTGTGAAAATCAAAATAGGAGAAAAAACCTTCAAAACTAACGAATACAAATATGCAAATGAATATTTTGTTATGGCCGTGACAATATTACGTGCCGCAAGTCGAGTTGTCTACTGTGAAACATCGAAAGTACGATCATAAAAAATAGCTGGACAGTGTCTGCTTTGCGTGAAGTCGAATCCGGAGACTGCTCTGTTCAAATACAACTTGATAGATACGATAAGTAATGTATCTCAATTTTAGGAATGAACTTTAGAAAGCCACTCTCACACATGCAACGCGAGGTTGTTGCACTGTGACGATTCACCAAGAGCAGATGGCGGAATGTCTCAATTTCGTGACATGTAACACCTAATTGTTCCAGCTTTAGTTGGCAGCTGTTGAAAACACATGCATGAAGTAAGGATTGAGTCTCCTCAAATACAGGAGCACGACTTGCTCCGCCATCGTATCTCAAAACTTACCCTACATAATTCGGCCATAGCTGGATCTTCTCAATTCAGCTATAGCCAATTAATGTACGTGAATTTCGCTGCATTTGAACTACTCATTGGAAAAGCATGCGCCGCTTGTTTGCCTTGATAGGTGACTGGGTGGGTCTCAGTTTGTCATAAGTCAATGTTGATGTCTTCAATTGTGACTTTTCATCATAACAAGGATAAATCTTTTAATCTACAGAAAGCAGCAACGAAAACATGTATCTCAAAATCGGCATAGAACTGTCCCCGCTGTCAAGTGTGAAGCTGGTACTGATGGCGTGAAGATCATCAGCATCACGAGATGCGAGAGCAAGTGCTCTACAATTCTTCGAGTGATCATGTGACAACTGATGTTGCTGGGAACAAGCACCTACCCGAGACGAGATGTACTGGTTCAGGTAACCGGTTGCACAAAAATTGGACAATGCAAGTCATGTGTGATGAACTAAAACGCTGTGAGGATTTCAAGGCGAATTTTGAGGATGGGCGACTGAGTAATAATCACATCTAGAGCATCATGCACATGACTTGGTCAAGGCGGCGGTAAACGTAATCTCTTGCTTGACAGACTGAGTGACTGACCGGGGATGTGCACGAGACTACGGCCAGCTCATGAGTGACAGTTCACCTCTGGTAAACTATGGACATCTGACTCTTGGATGTCCATATAAAAGCTCCAGTGCTTAAGCAAAGAGGAAAAACAATCTCAAGCCCTCGCAAGAGCTTGATTATTCAGTAGTATGCACAAGAGCTGCATAGGTTCAGACTGATTCGACCAAAACTCTGAGTTCTTTCTGTTCCGAGGATACGTAAGAGGTCTCTTGAAAATTCTTTGATTCAAGATGGTGAAGAGAGCTGTGCTGGTCGGTTGCAATTATCCTGGATCGCGGTGCCCCCTCCGAGGATGCGTCAACGATGTTACGAACATGAATAAGCTTCTCATCGACGTCTACGGGTTTGAAAAGAAAAACATTATGTTCATGGTAGACACGGATGAAAAGTCAGTCAAGCCCACTGGAAAGAATATCGTGCACTATCTCGGAAAGGCTATCCAGGTCTCAAAATCAGGCGATGTGCTTTATTTCCATTTCAGCGGCCATGGAGGGCAGATTCCAGCAGAGAGTGGAGACCAAGAAGATGATGGAGAAGATGAGTGCATCTACCCAGCAGATTTGAATCCTATGACGGGTAGGCCTCTAGCTCTCTCCGACCATTCTTCTGTGCTTCTTAATGACCAGTTTTATGCTCGTCTGCATTCACACAATTGGTGCCTGTCTCATGCTCCTTGTTGCTTAAGCTTGAGATCTTTATTTAGGAGCACCCTTTTGGAATGTCATCTTACTGTGAACTTAGTGAAACGGGTCGTGGATTCTTAGCTGTACCAAGTGGCAAAGAATTCCTACCCTTCCAATTCACGAGTTCTTTCTTTCATTGGGACTGGGAACTGACGTTCTGTAAACGTGACTAATCTCGAACTGCACGGGTCAATAATCACGACTGGCATTACTCCTGTAAGATGGTTGTTTCCTTCACAGCAAGCCTTCGGTTCAAAATTTTGTGCAACCATACATCCGGCATCGAATTATGAGTCATGGGGTATGGGCCTCAGAGTGTTCTGCATCTTCACCAGGTTGAATCCACCTCAAAAGGAAGAGAATAAAATTTCCATCTGGAGCAATGAATAAACATCTGAAACACACGGGAAAACGTCAAATTCAATGCATAACTGCTCAACTCATTGTTAAGAGTACATGGCTTCATTGTTCTTCAGAGTTCCGTCGTCGTGACTCATCCCTGGCTTGTGCAGATGATACTTTCAGACTTCTTCTGGCGGATCTCAATCCAGGCGTGAATTTTACTTTTGTCTCCGACTCTTGTCACAGTGGTGGATTACTAGATTCCCAAGATCTGCAGGTTGGGATGGGCGAGCTAGGACAAGTAGGAAAGGAGACCGAGGCGACGAGCGGAGAGGCTTCCATGAGAGAAGAGCAAAAGGCAGACAGGCGCTTACCGACCGAGATTCTCATTCAAGAATTAGCTGATGCAAGTGGGCGCGAAGTGAAGCTGGGAACCATACGATCCACACTTTACCAGCTCTTCAGAGAAGATACGAGTCCGACCGTGAAGGTGTTCGTGAAGAACATGGCAGGCCGTTTGGAGGACGGGCCTCCTCCGGAGGACTGGGAGAGCTCGTACAACGAGGTCGGAGTCGCAGCCCTGACGCATCTCAAGGAAATCTGGGACGACGAGACGATCGACAACGATGAGTACTTCCGCAGCGCTCGAGCGGTCGACGGCCCTCTGAACTTCAATGGTCACGCCAACGCCAAGCCCGATGGGCAACGCCTTCCTCCTTCCACCGGCACGCTCGTCAGCGGATGCCAGTCGAATCAGACGTCGGCTGATGTGCCCGGCTGGGGCGGCGCTTACGGAGCTCTGAGCAACGCGATCCTCAAGCTCGTCAAGCACCACTCGGGGAAGATCACCAACAAGCAGCTGGTGAATGGATGTCGTGAAATCATGGTTGAAACCCAGCTGGATCAAAGGCCTTGTTTGTACTGCACGAAAGAAAAGGTAAATGCCAATTTCATCTGCGATCTCAAATGAGCGAGAGCACGGATTGCTTCCAAAACTTTCGAACGAGATCATGAGACTTGACGAAACTAGACACATTTCTTGTACAAAAACAATCATCATGAAGGTTTCGGAATGTCAGTTTAGAGATTCCTGAGGCGTTCACGATCGCAACCTCTTGCATTGTTCACATGCTCCTATCGTTACTAAGAGAAGCCTGAGCAATTATATACTTTGAAATAAAAATAAGACCTTTCTGGCAACGAGGACGTTTCGAGAAAAGCCTCCAAATGGTGCCATACATTTCATTCAGTACACACTACATGAATGACCGTGTATATGTGATCTAATGAAGCTTGTCCCCATAAGCAGTGCTAGGAATGTCGCACAACTTTCATGCTGCTGATTGTCCATGTCAAACGGCTACGGGCAGAACGCACTGCCACACGGTTCCTTCGAGAAATGTATTAGAACGAATTAAATAGCCAGCGTGCATGAAGATAGGGAATATGGCATGGTCTCTCTATATTCTCGACGGGAAAATTTGCCTTTGATGAGGCGTCTGTTAGTCTTACATTAAAATAGACAGATAAATCTTTCGTCAAATATTCTGATAGTTTAATCTAAGATTCAGACTAGCCGCGTCAATATATCATCGGTCTACATGCTGTTGTCCTCCAAGTTCCAATTTCAATTCTCGGTCCGTGAGCTTTTTGGTAGTACATATACTTAAATGCACTCTCCTTTCTTTACAAAGAACACAAGCTTGTGTTGTTTTGGGTCTATGTTCAACGCTAGGTCTGAACTTGGGCTGAAAGATAATGCGATCATACCTGAACAACGGGTGTTTTGAAATTTGTATCCGATCTTATGACATCAAATAAATCAGCTTTAAGTCTGTCTCAGATGCAATCGAGTTCCCCACTGATCCTGAAAGAAACAGGAGGGAGTTGAATCAGATCTCAGATTCTTGAAGAACCAGTTTATAACAGCAGACTAACAGACGGGAAAATTTGCCGGGAATCAGCAGTAACCACCAATAAATTTCCAGATTCACAAGTTTTTCCAATTCATGATGCTACATTCGTCACTTTGTCAACCGTTTTTCAACATGGATGCTAAATAATGTTGCACTCTGCAACTGCCTATAGATCTTCGCGTTCATCCTGATCTTGTTCATGTCGGGAAAATTCGTTCGAAGAGCAGATTCAAACACTATGATGTTATTGAGTTCTGTAAAAATCACTGAGCACAAGTCTTACTTCAAGCTTTCGCTATTTCGGGCCCACAGGACAACTAACTGTTGTCTAAAATGACGTCATCATATAGTTTTTACTCCTCCAGTAATGACCAGCGGCTCATTAAAGGATATCAATCTATAGGATCGACTGATTCTATTAAATTCCTATACAAGCTTCAGCCATAGTGGCATAGCTCTACTTCGGTCTGCCGGGGCTCGAATTCTCCTCGAAAGAAGAGAACCTTCGCAACCAAATCTGAAACCTCCATCACTTGTTACTCGACCATTCTGATCTTCGGTTTGTCGTTCTAGTAGGCAGTTAGTATCAGCTCTGGCGCTTGCGCGTCTTGCAAAGCATGGCCCAGTTGGAATTCGCGTGGACTTTGTTCATTCTTTCAACTACTTGAACTCTTATTCACCATTCGGTTCACACCAGGTAGGTTTCATGCTTCGCATTGAGAGGAGTATGCGCACTTGATTTCTGTTTATTGTTATCATGTCAATGCTTTACACCAATCGTCAATTCCAACGACTTGCGCCCGATTGGGCCTGATGCTGACTAGGTTATATAATAACACTTTGGTGAGGTATCCCCGGTATTGGGCTTATAAGGATCCGAGGCTGCAAATACAAGAACTTTCCGAGTTATTGAAATCTCGTTGCTCTATCACGTTCATGCACTGTATTTATGCAACTTCGTTGATATTACAGTTGCTTGCAAGTGAATGTTGCAACCACCATAATTATTGTGGAAACTCAATCTGCAGCACTTGATTCAGGCTTGTCGAATACGTATGCATGAACATTATGCCCATTGTAAATGAAAAGCTTGCGATTGAACTGAATATTTCTAGCGGTACAAAATAAGCTTCACGTCAGACCTGCTGTGCATTCCAAGGAATCCAACCCTAGGAAAGGTAAACGGAACTATCTCCGTATCTGAGGTGCGTACTCCTCTCAATGCGTGTCGGGAAATCTGACAAAGTCGAAAAGTATGTGATTTTCTTTCTTAAGGATTCTCACGTGAATGACAAGAAGCACGTTTTTTGAAGATAGTATGTTGATGATATGAGGAGTACAGGATTCAAACCAAGTATGACGAGTAGAAGCAGGAGGAGAGATGAAAAAATTGTGGTGGCATTCCCTGTCGAAACATAGCTTTCAAACATTCTCCTTCTGCTTGTGGATTTTATTCAAGTGTCCTTGTTTCCTGATAGTAACTAGTCAAACCTAAGCACTTGGCGGGAGACGTTAAAAAATTCCTCCACTGTCCTCATGCCTTATGTAGCTCCTCATCGTGGCTACTTCAGTTCACCACTTTTCGGTTCTATGAATGGAATAGCTAACAAATTTGTCACGTGTATTGTCTATACGAAACCTCGCATATTAAGCTGAGTACCCGACGAGTCTGTCATAAGGTAAAAGGCTGTCGCTCAGATCTCGATGACTTTACAGTCCACTTTCAAACCAAAGACGTCCATCTGACAGATCAAAGATGAGAGGCCTGATATGTCCGATGACTACGACTGTGCAGTCACATAGTCAGTCGAAGCGAAGTCAGCAGGTTGGAATGAAAAAGAGATATACGTCTTACATTTCTTCGAGGCAAGTGGTTCTAAGAACTCTAATTGGGATCACATCAAGTCTTCATATGATCGACTGGGTATAAATGAGATATGACTAATTCCGAGATTTATCGCTGAAGCTCATTAACTAAGAGGAACATGATAGTGAACTAGACCTCATTGGAAACCTTAAATCCAGTGAGTGACCAAAATTCTGTGTGTTAATGTTTTCGTGTCTTTACAGCTGCTAATCAGCTGCCCCTCAAGAGATTGAAATGTAGAGCAGCTAACTCAATGTAGAGCAGGTATGAAACATACCTGCTCTACATATCTGTGGCACAATCACTCTCAGTATTTGCGTGTACCTTGAGATAAATTCATTCATAGAGAACGTGATGCGTGCTCTGATTTCTACTAGTTCATTGCACGGCATTTCGTAACAGATCTGCCTGAGCGCGGGGCGATTCACTAAATCCGCGAGCAATCCCTTCAATTTATAAGACAAGTTGGGTCCTATTTATTTCCTTTCAAAATTCCAATGTTCACTGATCTCTCATGCTATATGTTGATCTAACTGTAGTCGAGGACATTGAACTCATGATCAGATCTGACCTATAACCTACCAACAAAAGTTGGATTTAAAAGCAGTGTCCCCGTAAGGGATCTGGCTGGAAAGATAGATATGCGACCTTTGGGTCACAAGAGATCTTCTTATGAACATATATGGAACCTCCAATCTGCAGGTTTCATAGTTGAGATATTAAGAATTGTCAAACCTTTCCAAAATCTTGAAACTTCTTGCAGATTTGTTGGACTGGATCCTATTCTACTATTGGTTTCAGATTACTAATTTAGTAATGTGTATCATTAAAGCCAAAGAAACAAATCGAAGTCATGAATTTCTGCGAAATTTCTGGCCGTCCTTATATAGAGAAAAATATACTCATCGTTTCATGAAGATGAAAGCGCCGAATGCATGAACGTGCTGCTTCCGGACAAGACATGTAGCTTCTGCCTATAGGGCTGATTGCAAGAAACTCGATGACTTGAAGAAAAGAGATTGTACCTGTTAGCTCTCCTAGATTCAATTTGAATTGAGCTGAATTGAATTGACTCGGATTTCCTGAAAGATATCTGCAGCCCACAGCAGACACTCAGCTTACACGAGTATTTGTCGACCCGACAAGGAAATCATTTGAGATTTCGCATGCCGTTACCGTCGAATTCGCTCTGGGGATTGGCCATCTGGCCAGTTTTTCATAATTTCTTGGGCGCTACAACGTCAAAGTCTTCGGTACTCTGCGGGAATAAAACGTGAAGACCGTAAGCCAGTCATTGAGATTCTCCGAGCCCGAAACGACGTGACCTTTCAAACATTGATTGATTTGTAGGATGCGAATATTGTGTAGAGTTTCGGAAGGAGGAGCAGAGCAGCTCCAGATATTGCACAAAATGCGCTCCGCTTCGAAGGAGCCAAGCGATCTCAATTCTCGTGTAAAAACTCGAGTTCTTTGTAGGCTGAGAAACTTCTCACTTTTTAAAGAGGACGGCTCAGCTCTTCGACTGCACACACACGTCGAAGATTTGGACTCGATTAGCTTCCTCCTTGTAAGTGAAATTTGAGCATTGCTTGTCCCTATGACTTGCAAAAGAGATTGCGTCAGCAATTACACCTCGGTCTCCGGCTAGGCTGTATAAATCCCAACAATGGAAGACTGAGATGATTGAAATTAAGGACCATTCCGGATAGATGCCTGCTGATTGAAAGTCCCTGCGGCAACGTTGGACGTTGTTGATGGTCAGTTTGGCATGTTTAGTAGAACGTAGATCATGAACAGAATGCTACGGCAAAATCTTTCTCAGGAGCTGTGGCAATGATACTAAGAGATTGTAGTTGCAGTACGGGACCTGTCGAAGGAATGTCGAGACAGACATCTCTTACTCTTCAGCATACTCTCTTGCTGCTCAGAATCCATCGACGTTGACAGCTGCGTATTTTTCTTCTGGTCCGTAAGCTACTACTTGTCAAAAAAGGGGGAAGATTTATTTCGTCGAGAAAATAGTGCGCTCGGAAAGGAGCACTCTGATCCCAACTGGAGCCAACAAGAGGCACATGTGTAGGATCAGATTGTGATCTGATCCCTCGAATGTTGATGTCAGGACACAGCAGTGTTGGAGGTCCAATTTTCGTGACTCGAGCGCAACTGCGTAACTGGTAGGAACCAGTGCGTGGAATGCGAATGCTCCATGTAAAATATTCATAAGCAAGCCAGTGGCAGAAGGAGGAACGACGTGTTGGTAGTATCCCTGACACATTTTTCTGGTCTGGAAGATCGAGGCGAATGCGGTATGCTTTGTATCCTGAGGTAATTCGCCCTTAATGTCTTCTCGACTACAAGGTATGCCCACCTACCTCTCCTTCCTTTACTGCTTGTTGCCAGTGATTGATTCCAGGGAGAAATTCCCCTTCCCGTTCTCACATTATTGCGGACACGACCGTGATCTGTGGATTTTAATTTTGACGAGTGAGGCAGAATTCTGTACACTGGGAGCTCTCCTCTTCAACCTTGTAAATGAGGGAATAGATGGTGGTAATTAAATATAAAGCTGACAATTCATGTTTTGAATCAACAGGTCAATAAGTGCGATATGGCTTTCACATTAGGACTCATTTGCAGGCTCATGAGGCCGTGATCTTGGTTTGCAGATGTCAGTGGATTCGTTGTCGTCGGGGGATCGGCAGATTGCTCGTAAAGTCTTTCAGGAATTTGTTCCAATGAGCGATACACGCTTGTAATTGGACCGATCTAGAATGGGGATAGCATAGCTGATTTCTGGAGGTACTCGAAGTCGATGACAGATCTCAGACGTTTCCTGCATTCAAAAGCTAATTTGCAACAAAAAGCCCACCCAGAAACTGGTCGATATCTATCCACCATAGAACCACTCTCAAACTTTTCGCGGATCATCATTAGGTCTCTTAGATTCAAGTTAATTTCCGCAGACTCTTGCATGTCAATGATTGAAGCTCTTGGAGCAAACAACAGTTGATTCTCCAGAGTCTTCATCCACTTTTCAAGATTCTACCCACCTGCGTTTCCTTTCCGCTGTATGAATTCGCTCGATGGATGTTCCTGTTTTCTGACTTTCCAGACATTTGAATGCTTGGCCCGTTTCTAAATCCAGTATACTCAGTACAGGAAGCTTATCAAAAGTATTTCAACCAAGGGATAAGCACAAGTAGGATTAGCAGAAGATGCACGAAGTCGGACGAGAAGCTGGCTCATTAGACTCGATGGCAAGAGAATAAACACATGTAACAAAACACAAGCGACATCAGATCCAGGATGTCGTCGAAGAAGCGAAAGGACCGTGGGGAGGATGAGGGACAAGGGCAGGCAGATGCACCTGCACCAGCAGGCTCTGGGGCGAGTGGCGGTGGCCGGAGTCCAGCTCGTGCCACCGGATCTCCGAAATCCGGCGGCCCGTCCGGTCGGAGTCCGAGTAGATCACCGAAAGCCGTCGATTCTGCCGGGCAGCCGCAGCCTGCGAGTCCAGGAAAAAGTGCTCCCGGCAAATCTAAGAACGCGGGTCAGGGTTCGAGTGCGTCCGGAGGTTCATCACCCGCGTCCAGGAGCGCGGGTCCTAGTTCTGGCAGGACCTCGGGTCAGTCCACACCACGAGCTGGAGATGTAGATCCTGGAGATGGCTCACAACCTCCACCGAAGAAGAAGCAGAATTCAGGGCGGAGTTCAGGCCAAGCCACACCTCGAGCTGGTAGCCCTGGGCAAGCACAAGCGAGGTGACTATTTCTCACTGCGCTCACTTCTCAGGAACTTGTCTGCTTGCGACAAGGCCCCGTGTCTTACAGATCGAAGCGGGACTGGTTATGTACTGAGGTCTACAAAATGGTGTTGATTTCTTTTTTCTGCTGGGTTTATTATGAATCTGAAGATACGTTCTCTTAATTCTTAATTCTTAAGAACGGAAGTCAAGCGCATTACTCTCAAGCGCATTAGTGTCTCTGAGGTTCTCAACAGAACGAATCCCCCGTCGCACACAAATTGCTGTCCGTGGCCTCTGTAACGTTTGTCAAAGATAGGATTTTAAAGACCCCATAGCCTGGTGCGGATTCCCCAAGCCTGCTTCCGCCACTTCCATGTTCCCTGATCTGTAATAGTCTAGCTAAATGCTTATTACTAGGAGCCAGGCCAAGGACTACTTTCAATATTAGAACCAAGAGCATTGTCACCTTGGACTGGATTCAGACATATTCTGGTGGCTTGCACGTCTCTGATTTTTTGAAAATTTCCTCTCGTGTCTAGGATTCTGTATGGACTTCATTATTCTAACTCATAATGTTAACGGTTCCATTCTGAAAACGGCCGTTTGGTGCCATCGTCACACGTAACTTCGAGCTTCAATCTTTTGAAACGTAATCCCGCAATAACTCTGAGTTGACATGGTTCAAGTAGATGCAGTGTCCTCTTGAGTACGAGGTGTTGCAGCAGACAGAGGTGTAGTTTTTAATCAGAGAGTTTCCACCTTTTCCCTCGACGAAGGTTATCGTGTCTTATTATCCTGAAATGATCGTATCAGATTCTCAGGATACTTACGTAGGTGAAGCCTTCAGGCTTTTTGACCTGCACTCTAGACTTTATACTTATGTAAGAAGTCAAAGAAAATTTTATAAATAACAGTTGCATGGAAGTAAGACAAGAGGTCGTTTCGAAACACAATCACAAGATTTGACGATATCCGACTTCATTGCAGTGGTTCCGATCAGCCATCGCAAACACAGATGTCTGCGGGAGGGGCAGCAAACCCAAACCCTGATGCTGGGCTCATTCCAGCACTTCAGACTGCGTCAATAAACCCTGGCTCTGACCCCCAGGCCTTCCAAAGCTTCCGGCTGACCGAGCAAGAAGTACGTCGTGCCATTGAATGTGCTACAGTTCAAAACCTGGCGACAGGAGTTCCTCAGGCGATACCAAGCGTTGCAGGTGTACCTCAATCAGCCAATTGGCTTGAACAAGCCTTGATTAACGCTCCCAATAAACCGCTCGACGAGGATCTTGGCGGGCCTCCAGAACTGGGAGAAGAAGATGCCGATTGGCTTGGAGACTTGTTGTCCGATGACGATGAAAAGAAAAAGAGACAAGATGGCGGATCTCCTCCTCAATTATTTGTCCCTACAAGAGTTCTTCCACCAGAAGGCCAAGAATCAGAAGATGATCTCATGAACTTGAATGAGATATTGAATCAGCGCCCAGACCTTGAAAATCCCGGAGAAGATACCCTCAAATTTCTTGAACTGAATGACTTACCCAAGCCTGGAGATCCAACTTGGGAGGAATTTTTGGAATCTCGACGTCCAGCTCCAATCAGAACACCAGACCGTATTAACACGGATCAGCCTGCACAAGATGGAGTTAGACAGCTGACTGTCGACGAGATTCTTGCTCTTCGTACACCGTTTAATCGATCGGGGGATTCTCCTGATGCGCAATCTGCAGACACGTTACATCCCACAGACGCCCATAAACTTCGGTTATTGGACTGGATGCGGTACCTCGTCGCAGCGCAGCGTAGACCCAGATATTTGGACCGACCTGAGCAAGGAGAAAGATTACTGAAAGTTTTCGAAGAATTCGATAAGTCCTTCACGGATGCCAGTCAACAGCTGAACGTACTACCAACTGTCGAACACCAGGAGAGCTCGAATTCCATTCGCCTTAAGATCTGGAAGGAACAGCGACAGAGAACGCCTGCCAGACAACTACGCCCACTACCTTTGACTCATTATGAAGGGCAGATTAGTGAATGGGCAAAATATCTGGAGACAATGAGAGATACTCCTCTACAATTCGAAAGCAGGGAGAGCAGAAATTCGTTCGCCAGTATACTGCGAGGACTGAGGATGGAACTTCTGAACACCATCAAAACAGTGTTCGCCGATTATATTAAGCCACCCGATCCTCCCGCCGCTCCTCCCGCCGCTCCTCCCGCTGCTTCCGATCCCGCCGCTCCTCCCGCTGATCCCTTCGCTCGCCCTCGTCGCGGTCGTAAGGCTCGTCCCGAAGCCCCTGCACCCGCCAATCCTTCACCTGGTCCTCCCGCTGTTCCTCGGGGTCCTCCCTGGTCCCCTCCTCCGGGGCTGTTTGTGGTAAATCCAGCGGGTAGTCCTGGTCAGGGGGATGCTGCAGCACAGCAAGCAGGCTCGGTCCAAGGGTCAGAAAATCCAGCGGGTAGTCCTGGTCAGGGGGATGCTGCAGCACAGCAAGCAGGCTCGGTCCAAGGGTCAGAAAACCCAGCGGGTAGTCCTGGTCAGGGGGATGCTGCAGCACAGCAAGCAGGCTCGGTCCAAGGGTCAGAAAACCCAGCGGGTAGTCCTGGTCAGGGGGATGCTGCAGCACAGCAAGCAGGCTCGGTCCAAGGGTCAGAAAACCCAGCGGGTAGTCCTGGTCAGGAGGATGCTGCAGCCCAGCAAGCAGCCTCGATCCAAGGGTCAGAGCTCGGGATGAAGATTGTGGACTGGTCGTTGTACATCTGTGCAATGAGGTTTACATGGCAAAGGCTGTCGGGCAGAATCCAGCCGGCCTATGCCCGAGACTACTACTCTGCATTCACAGAGCTGCACAACCACCTGAGGCCTGTGATGAGCAGAACTCTGACTCAGCAAGAGTCCAGCACGACTCTGGAAGCAATGGGATTGAACGGGTACCGCATAGACTATCGACGTCGACTGCGATCGTCTACGCGGTTGATAGCTCTCCTGCACGCAGAGCACGACTTGATGCTGCTGCAGAAGGCTGACATGTGGTATTTCTCCTCCTGGATCCAGTACTTGGCCTCGCTGGCCTTAGACAGCCCGGTTGTCGTTCCCGGCAACCGGATACAGTTCCTGATCGTATACCACTCTTTCTACGACGAAATGTACGACACCGCCTGCGCACTCCTGGGGAGACCCCTGGGTAGACTTCTGGATGTGGAGCCCATACGTCACGGCTTGGACTGGCAGGGAAAACGGCGGGTTGTGGATCAAGCTCCGGCCGGTGCCGCACCGATGGAGGTCCGCCAGTCGTCGCCAGCCGATTCGCAGTCCGAGTCGGACGGACCGCCAGGGACCGTAGGTCCGATTTTCAATCCTGTATTTGGGAGAATGAGGATGCCAGACAGGAAGCGACGATTAGAGGCTGAGAAAATTGCTAAACTAGCTGCTGAGAACGATCCCAGATCCTTGAATCACCCCGCCGTGGAGGCCCGAGTAGCGCCGGAGTACCGAGAGACGACTGTGGTGACACTCTTCGAAACTGTGGAACATCGAACCAAAAACTTCAGGGCAATGGGGGACGCACGAGCACGAGCACGAGCAAATAATGAGGAGGAGGCACAAATAGGTGTTCCCCGATATTTGACTGCAGAACAGGTGGCTGACCAGCAGGAGTATCACAATCTGTTCCTCCGAGAACTGAAGAGATTGGAGATGGACGTTTCGCTTGCCGTCTTGGGAATAGCCAAGTATCAGCATATGCCTCTCCCCCTGCAGAATGACCTCAGATTTTACATCATCGCCTACCACGTGAGTGACCACCGTGATGCAAATCTCTTCACCGCATCTTACCTGACCGACGAGCTGCACTCTCAGTGCAACATAATGAGATTCAGATTCCATCACTTGTCCATAAGTTTGAAATGTGACGATAAACTCTTATATGCATCAGTGGTAGCACTAGCATCTAAAGTGAACATGGACACTTTAGTAGTTTGGACATGTTGGGATGTGTTTTCAACTATCGAACTATCAAATGGTCACTGGTGTGTTTTCATGTTACAGAAATTCATAAAAGGTGAAGTGGATCATTGTCACCACCTATGTCCTCAAACTCTACCCGCGGCAACCTGCAACTGCTATTCTACAAAGTTGGGCCCTTTAAATGCTTTCATAGATCGCCAACTTTTGCACAAAAAAGCATTGGACATGTATGTAAGAGTAAGTTCTTTCTTTTAACCTCTCATCAGGAGTGAAAGAGACATGGATCTCAAAAAGCAAGACAGATTCAATAGATATTTGTATATACTCGATCTGATTCAGGTTTCATTCCAAATGTTGGATTTTTTTTCAAGGAAAGATATCTAACTTGTAATAGGAATTAAATTGAACTACAGGACGTGAGTAAACTACTTTTTGATTGGTGTCATGCAAATAATGTTAAAACACTTCGTGTTCCAAAATATGTGGAAGAAGCTTTCAGGTGAGATGAAGCATTCTATATCTTTTACGCTTCAGTCTAAAGTTAATTGGAGTGTTTTAAGCCCTTCATAGTATATATATATAGTCACAAAGCTTAATAACATTCCAAAATAATATCTCGATGGATAGTAGAGTTTTAAATATTTAATTGAAATTTATTCGCAAAGATTACTTATTATTATCATATAGTTATGGAATTTAACATTGAAAATCTACAGAGAATGGAATGAAGTTCATCGTAAAAGGACAAACGCTTCACTCCAAGAATGGCAAGAGCTTAGTAGGAAGACTGGAATCCCAATGAAACAGGTGTCTTTTGTTCCGAAATTCCTTACATTTTAATTGAAAATATATGGTTGAATATAAACCAGTTCAAACATCTACATGCTTTTATCTGTTAATAAAATATGTAATATGACTTAGAAAGACGTTTATGTTGCCAAATGAATAAAATTGCATAATGAGGTTAACGTTATGTGAGCAGATTAAAGTTTCAGTACGAGGCTTTAAAAGAATGATTGCCGGTGAAAGAAGAACAGATCCAGTAACAGGTCTTAGCGTCCAAGCACAACAAGCAAATGAACCAGAACAGCCCCAACAAGCTGCACAACCAGAACGAATTGCACCACGACAGCCTCCTTGGGTTCAGGAAGTTGGAACTCAAGTGTACAATTTTTTAAAGTAATTCTCGCTTTCTACTTCATTTGAACGATTAAAGATACATTATTTTATTATGATGAGAATATTCAATAAACTCATAAAATAATGTCTTAAGTCTTTCATCATATTACATGATATTTCTAAAATAATTGAAATTTTCATATATCTATTTCTTTCAGATCTTGGGCAGACGAACATCGAGAATATGCGTTTCCGATTGACATTGAAATGGACCAATTGACGAAATATACAGGAATGACTAAGAGTCAAGTAAGTATGATGATATTCTGTTATTGAAGATATAATTGCTTTCAACAAATGACTTTGGAAAAAGTATAATTTTTTTGACTTTCATTTTTCTAAAAATTTAAAATTAGATGAAAATATGATTCTATGGTTGAAGTAAGTTTTCGAATATTATCAACTTTGCAGGTTGGCAGATGGCTGAAGGACTATCGAGTTGTTAATAATTATTTCAGTGTTTTTTCTTGTTCTATCCAGGCCAAATTGAATAGGTATGTACAGTCCAAAAATTCAAAATATATTTTTGATTTACGAATTTTTTAATTTATTACTAAAAATATAAATCGGTTTAAAGTAAATTTATTTATTATCATCTCTAGAAATCATTTTGAACATGACTATTAGATGTTGACATTGCATGTTAAATTTTCAAGATGATTAAAATTTTCATGTCTTTTAAATCAAGTTTGAAATGATTAGAAAAAAAAATTTCAAATTTTTCTGTTTTCTTTATTTCACCCCTCTAAATTTTATTGGTTTTGTTAAAATAAAAAATTTCACATTGATATTGCTAATATTTTGACTTCTAAATATATAATTCTAATCTCGTATTTTTACCAATAAGAAGAACATGAAATTGATTGAATATAAAAATCTGTCATGATTTTCAAATGTGCAGTTTTTTGGGTTTAGAGTCAATACAAAATAAATTTTTAATTGTGGAATATGACTTCTAAAATTCGATTGGGTTGTTATTAAAGGCAAGGTAACGGAGAAGGAATGGGCCCAAGGTATGCATTAGTAGGTGCTCCAATTCAGAATCCTCAGATAAATTTTTCTCGTAATCGGAGGAACAACAATGGGAATCGTAATAATGAGGCGGAAAGAAAGGCAAAGTCAGATGAAGATGTGGTCATGGCAGATCCAGCCGGTCCAGCCGGTCCAGCCGATGCCCCATTGCAGCCTGTAGAGGATGTGGTCATGGCAGATCAAGTCGATCCAGGCGATGCTCCATTGCAGCCGGTAGAGGATGTGGATTTGGATATGGCAGAGTGGCAGGGTTTTATAGAAAATAATCTCAAAGAGAACGAGGAAAGATTCCGGAACGATGCTGCGTACCTGGACCAACAGGCGATCCCTCAGAGGAATTATGTCATCAACGAGGATGGACAAATAGTTCCAGTCGATGCAGGCGTCGCGCAGCAAATTCAACCCTTGGTCCAGTGAGTCATCATCATCTAGACCCCAAATCACCCATTTTTTTTGCCGCATAGGATAACCAATTAATAAAAAATGAACACATTCCAACCAGTTCCCCAAAAAATTAAACTTGTATTTTATTAGGACCGAGGACTGATCCGAACATAGGGGCGCCAATTGAGATTGTTTGAATCATCTTTTAGCTCGGGCTAATTGGTTTTGAGTATTCCATCTCACCTCTAGAACGACAGGAAGTTGTGGTCCAGTGGATCCGGTGTATGTACGCTGGGGAAAAGCTGTGTCTCACTTGTACGTGGATTTCCCTCTGCAGACCAGGACAAGCGTCCCAACCAGGCTCACCGGCACGAGGAGGCGGACCCGCGGGTGCCGTCGATCCCATACTGCCGGACATTCAACCGCGCCCACTGGGAGACGGGGGCGGACCCGCGGGCGCAGTCGATCCCATACTGCCGGACATTCAACATAGCCCACTGAGAGACGGGAGCGGACCTGTGGGCGCAGTCGATCCCATACTGCCGGGCAATCAACCGCGCCCACTGGGAGACGGGGGCGGACCCGCGGGCGCAGTCGATCCCAGACCAGCGGATCCCGAGCAAAACCCTCTGGATGGCGCGCGCGGTGAGATCCAAGCCTTGAACCAACAGGGCCAGCTGCCGCCGGCCGTTGCCGCGGAAGCGGTGGCCAATATCGACAACCAGGGGGCCGCAGGCCGCAGGGCGGACGACGATGGGGAGAATCTCGCGGAACTCGCGAATGGCGCGATTATCGACCTAAACGCTCGAGAACGCATATTGACAAACAAATGGGAGCCCCTTCTCGCCCACGAGACGGACCTCCGCTTGCGCTATACGTCGCTGATCAATTACGCAATTTTCAAAAGCCACGCAAAAAATTTTCTGCGCGAACGGAGCAACGAATTGAACAAGCTCGTCGTATCTCACTTGGCAAGTGTCTTCAACTCTGTGCATGGGCTGGGCATTCGCCTTTCGTTTTCGTCTCGAGGTTGTTCTCGCACGATGTGAGATCGGGATGCTGTCTGCGTATAGAATCAGTTTTAAAGTCTCCGATGGACCTCAGAAACTTCTGTTTGATAAGAGCAGGCGGGATCATGACGTTTGGCGCCTTCTCGCTTTGATAGTTTCTGCATCCTTTGTAAATCAGCCGCTATGTTCTCGAATGTCGAGAGCCTAATTGGGAGCCTAAGTCCACTCTAGTTAAGTATCCTAGAAAACTGGCAGAAAACATAATTACTAGCGGTCTGCGAGGGTATTGCCATCATTATAATGACATGACGAATTGGTCTCCAACTTACATGCTTTTGATGAATGCTTGCAAGCGGGACGTAAGGTAATGAAACTCTCAGTCTATGAGATGAGGTTCTAACACTCAAAGGACTGGATGAAATTTTCGGACAGTTTTGAGAGATATAGTGATTTTGATGGACATTTGACGTGTTTTGATCGACCCAGAATATCCTATTTCAATTCATGGATCTGTGAAATTTGAAGCGCCATAGGGTCTTATTAATAAATTTCCCTTGCAGGCCTTTTCAAAGCGTACTCCTGTTCATACGTTCGTGGATTGTGTGGATGCAAACGAAGTGCGTGCGTGTTGTTACGATAAAAGATATGGTGACATAGATATCATTCAAGGGGAGAAGGAACGACTGGACGCTAGCTTCCAGAGATTTGATGCGGTAGGCACCTTATAATCATCTTCGATGTATGAGCCAGATTTTTGAGCCTTGCCTGAAAGAGAGCAAAATTGATAACACAAATTGAAAATTCAATGCAATTCAGATTTCAAAACATAGAAATATGATTATTCTGGGTTGAGAGCATTTTCACCATTATATCATTCATCCTGCAATTGCAGGTTTTAACCTCGGGAATGTCAGTGTTTTTCCTCCATGCTCAGGCCAAGCTGTCTTGCTTGATAATTAACACACCTATGAACTCCATATTAATTATTCTAAACAGTTAACTACATCTGGAAGTTAAGTCAGATCGGCTAGCCATTTAAAAGTATTTTTCAGACATTTCGACATCTGGACGCTCCAGAAATCTTTTCTTTAGGCAATCTCGACTGTGACATTTCTTATTGGTGCATATATGCTGTCCCTTATTGATGTGGGCTTAAAGTATTGTCTTCTTGATAAAGAGCTTTATTTAATCTCTACTGGTGTCGCGATTCTTTAAAGTCATCGAACGGGAGGCCACGTAAATATCAAAAAAGGGTGAATACTTTATTTTTCAGCCTCAGTTTTTTCTCGAAGAGGAAAAACGCATGTTCTAACAATTTTGTTATGATAAACCTGGCATTTCATACTATGCAGATGATTATCAGATGGGTGTCAATTTATTGCAATACTATTGACAAAAGATCCAGAGTTACGTTACCAGGGTTTGTCGTCCGCTATCTAGAGTAAGTATTGATGCAAGTCTTACTACAAAACGCGTAATGAACATTTATCAATATATGAACTATCCGTATTTTTCCCTCGAGCCTTTATATTTTTACTCCCATCTTTTATAGTGTTGAGACCTCTGCACTCTTATCTGTGATATGCAGTCTCGCAATTATGCATATATTCGGTCTTCTAAAATCTAGTACATCAATCGCTCAATGACACCCACTGTAGTGGTCTTCTAATCAAAACCAACTCTCGTTAAATGAGTTGATAGCGATATACACATTCAACACATATTTTGTTTTCTTCCTCCAGTTCATACACGTTCTATTGTGTTTTTTCTTTAGTAAGTTCTATCTCTCAAAGATGTTCATTAAAGATCCAAAATGTACCAGACGAAGAGATAAGCAAAACCACCTACTGAACCCCTCTTGTTTTCTGCTTTGACAGCGCCTGGTGCATCCAGCATCCAGAAGTTGGCGTTGTAACCCACGAAGACTACACTCGTTTTGAAAGTGAGGTCGGCGTACAACTCAGACAGGTACAATACGAACTTCTTGAGACTAGACCTGTACGTGTTTCACACACATTATAGGTTCTTCACTCCGTTCAGGAGGTTTGTACATTATTTCCGCTTTTGTCATCGAAAAATAATGCAATCAGAAATTCAATGCTTATCTCATAGAGACTGCAAAAACCCAGCGCAGTAGAACGGACAAGCACTGATGGAATCATATCACAATTTTTGGAACAGGTCCTGAAATTTGAGTGAGTGAATATATTATGTGCTTCCTCGGGTTTCCTCAAAGAGATTGTCCTCCCATGCTATTATGATGTATATCTAGATTAAATTTTCATCCTCTTTGTGTATATGGAGACTCACATTTTAGAGCTGTAAACGTTAACATTGTAAGTAAGTTTATTTCGCAACAAATGTTCTAGATATTTTCAATCGGAAGAATTTTATGCCCATGATACTCAGGAACTAACTCCCTTCGTATTTCCATTACATGTTAAAGGGATCGAGTTTTTTAAGGTTTTGGAGACAACAATGCGTGAAAAACAAACGAGCAAAAGCAGCAGGGGCTAAGAGGGAGATACAAGTATTTCAAACCAATTGGATGAAGTAAGTTTCTAAATAAAATTTAAGTTCATATAATACAATTAAATAATTAATCAAACATTGATTGCATTGCAAGCGATACTTAGCTCCAGATTTTTTCAATGGGAATTATTTTGATATCCTCACAAATATATAAATAAGCAATTAAGAGCCACGGAGACGCATCAAATCTTGTAACTCATGACCAACGAAAGCTTTGTACCAGCTTATTTTCAACTTACTAAAACTCACGCCAAGATTTAAGCTCTGCTGCATGTTTTGAGTGCATAGAATGCTGATTTGAGAACCCAATTCATTTCAACAGAGAATGGTTTGAACAAAATTTGAATCGAGCATACATTACCGTTGATAATTTACGAGAGTTGACGCAGAACACGGGTTTGACTAGATCACAGGTGTGTTAATCTCCAGACTTTCCAGATGTGAAGAAAATAAAAAGGAAAAAGTCAAAAGATATATATATATATATATATATGGTTTTTCGTTTATATTTGTAAACTTGACTTTCGATATGATGGCGTTGATATTTAGGAAGCCGGAAAGATTCCAAGATGCAAATTTCACTAAATCTAATAAAAAAAATTGGTCCTGAATAAAGAAGACTAATTACTTAGTAGTAAAACCTGCACACTGTGGCCCATATCAAGTACTTAGCCATATAAATGACTGTGACGCTTTATGCACAAACTTTTAGCACAAAACTAGTATCCTTTACTGAAGGTTTGTTACTTAGCCATATAAATGACTGTGACGCTTTATGCACAAACTTTCAGCACAAAACTAGTACTTTTACTGAAGGTTTGTTTCTTCAGTCAAATGTTGTGGCTTTTTACTTTGAATTTGCAGCCAACGTGCAAACATAAAGCATGCTGGTTTGAGCCGACTGCAACTTTAGATAAAAACGATGGGATATCTCGATGGAACAGCCATTTCGAACACACCATTCAGTAGCATGTGTTTTAAAAATTGAAGCACTACAGGGTTTAAATTAGTCAAGCTATGTGACCTGCAGGTAATAAGATGGCTTAAAAATAAGAGATTTATCAACAAATTTAGAAGAATTGAACGAAATGGGATTTATTGGAGATTCCGACCTTGGCAGCCTGGTGACGAACTTAAGGAGAATTTAGCTTATAACACGAACCTGGGGAATCCAGGAGATGACGAAGATCCTCAAGAAGATGTCCTTGCTGCTGGCTAGTTTTACGATTTTCACTTCTTAAATCATCTTTAAAAATATTTAATCTCTGAAACCAAAAAAAACTGGAGGTGTTTTAATCTTTTCATTTTATTTGACAACAAAAATTTTACATGAATTTGTAAATTTTTTTGTTCGCTTCTTTGTATAGACTCGTATTTCATTGATTTTGTAAAGCTGATCTTATATGCTTCTATAAATCGAATAATTTTGCGACTCAAATGTGTCAAGATGTGTATATGAAATAAAATTAATTCTCTTACAACGACTTCTAGTTACACTCTGGATCACTTCGTACATGTAATGGATATAAATTTCCTGTAGCTGCAAATGGTGCCCGGCCCCGAGGATATGGGGACCGGACACGAACCTTAGAGGGCAATGTATCCTTTCCGTAATGGAGATAAAAACTCACACCAAGTTGATCTTAAACGAAGAAATGCTGCAATCTTTAAACTATCAGTATTGAAGGGTTGACGTGAAGTTAGGATTCTAAAAAGGTTGATTGATTGCAAATCAAAGAATATTAATATCTACTATTTATGAAATCTTACAGTAGAATATTTGCATTAGAAAGTTCATGTTTGATGATTAGCTGACTGAAATTATTGTCAATGTTTTAGCACATTCTCTTGTCCAGAGAATCTTCTTAATGAAGATTTCTTTTTTCTCTTGATTTCTTGTTGATTTGTAAGATCAAAATTTAATAATTTGTGAAATGTTTATATCGTATCCTTCCTTAATTCTCAATTTCGTTCTTTAATTTTTCTGAATTTTATATTTGGTCTCACCAAAGTTTATATGTAATCTTTGCTAAAATTGATTTTGTAGCTGAAAGAAGTTCAAAAGAATAATTCAAAAATTGAAAATATTTCTTTTCCGAATTTCAAATATTACCCCTAAAATTTTTTATGGTCTTTAAATCAAGATGCATTATAAATTTCACCCTTCATAACCGCAAAATCTTTTCATTTTTGTTTCGTTTGAAATACTTATGTTTGACCGAAACTTCTCTCCCATGTTTTTCTTTGTCTTGATCGCCAAAGTGAACACTTCTTTCAAACCCATAACATTACGATATTTTTTAATTGAATATTGTATCAAATTCTTACTTTGATTATAGTAAAAATCTTCATAAAATATTCTTACTTTGATTCCAATGTCCTAATTCTGTAAGGAATTCAAATCTGTATTCTATTTAATTTTAAACGTCGATTAGCTTTTTTTACTGTGCGCACAGAGGATTACTTAGAGTGATTGGTTTATAATTATTTGCATTGATTTTACTATCAATGTTGGTCTTAAAATTTATTTATCCTTAGATAAGTATCATATTACTAATACTAATCTAATACTAAATCCACAAATGGCCAGATATATGCAACTGAGCAAAAATATTTGTATCATTTTGTTTTTGTCCAACACATGTTGTACAAGAGCACAGCGTCAATTGTATTTGAGAACTTTTGCTTTGTTGATGAAGATTTTGAGAAAAGAATTTCAAAAATTTCGTAAGATAGAAACTTGAAAACTCAAAGGTAAAAAGTTAAAGATGTTTTCAGAAAACCTTAAATTGTATTCAACTTGAAAGGTTTTTGTTTGAGGTACAAGAACAAAACATGCAAGAACTGTTAAAGCTATTCCATGTAGCAATTAGAAGAATAAGATTTTCCAGCATATTTTTTCAAATTCTTTTTGAAATATTTTTTAGTAGATAAATAAAAAAAATCTTTGATTATCATATTCTCAATTGATATAGTGTGAGACGTGTGTTAACACAGAAAGATGTTATATTTCGGGTTGTTTTATTAAATAGATTAATATTTTATCTAGAGCTCAGTTATTACTTTTTGATAATTAATTTTTGTTCTTTTAGATTTAAAAATTTAAAAATTCAAATAATTGAAATGAAAGGATTAAAATTTTTAATTAAAATTATTTCTGCAAATTAAAGTCGTATATTATTGGCTGATAAATTTCAATAAAATGTCAAATTTTATGACACACGTTTTCATTCCATTCAATTTGAAATAAATAAAATAAAAAATATATATTTACATATAAAAAAATATAAGAGAATAAATTTGATTCAATTTTTTTTGCATCAATCTTTTTTATAAAGTTCAGCCAAAAAGATCATGAAAAATAATTTTATATAAATAAATGATATTATATAAATGAAAAAATCATGATCATGACTAAATATTATGTTAATTTTTAGTTTTATCCCCTATTTAAATCTTTTCATTTTTTTTGGGAAATTTTCTTAATTAAGGAAATTTTCGAAAGAACCAAAAACTCAACTAATTCAGTTTTTTTCTTTCGATCATGACACATACCATGATTTTATTCAAAAAATTACAAAGAATATCTCGTATTCTGGCTTCAGTTTTGAGAAATTACTATGTTTTATACTTTTATATCAATTAATTTTTACTTTGAATTTCAATTATCATTACTGTTGAATGGTTAGAATACATTTTGTTGAACTTTGAGTTATGAAATGAATATATTTGAGGTTATAAAATAATTCTGTTACATCTCAGTTTTTAAAACTACAATTTAAAAATTAGATAGAATTACGTTATTGAAGAATCTAAAGTGAAAATGGTTGCATTTTTGCTGTAATTCTAATCCATAAACTGAAATATATCTAATATCTTTAAATCAACTATAGACAATTTATATAACCACAACGTTGAGGTATTTTTCATATTTATTTTTTGTCATGGTGTGTTTGAATCTGTTTTGAAAATCTACGTTTCTATGACTTTTTTTCGAGGTTTTTCTATGTAAGTCGTCTACAATTTCTATTTAAATTTGATTTCATGTTTTACTTGTGTAAATTGATTCTTGAAAACTAAGTTTGGTATTAAAGTAGTGATGAATTGCCAATATTGTTTACTAAAATTTTTTCTTACAAGAATTGTTTTCATTTTAGTTCAGGAATGAAACCACGGATCCCACCAGTCGTCAACTGAAGGTATATCATAGTAGGAGCTAACCCGAATTCTGGAGATTTCCACCGATCAATCACCTTATTTTCCGTGCTAGCAGTTGTATAGTTTGGTTTTGTCTTGTTAATAAAATTACCTTCTTCTAACTCTGGTGCAACCCACGTTATATATTTCCTTCATCACTTTGCTTGGTGAAGCTTTGAATATACATCTCACTTGACTGTGAATTAGTGTTACAGGCCTCATTTCTCTCATCAAATGATCTATGTCAATCCTGACAAAGAGTATCAAAATCATCCATAATAATATCACCTCCCTTTGTAGATCTGCAACGGAGCTCTCTCAGAACAAGATTTTACTGGATATGGAATGTTTCTGAATGAGAAAACATAACTGCCACTAAAGTGCACATGTACATCAATTTTGCATAGAGGCAAACTCTAGATGCCTCAAACGATGGCACATGAATTTTAGTCGTCTTTTTGCAAGACTTAAGTATTGAGTTCGCTGCAAAAGAATGTTGTAAGAACCCAGCTGACATCGACATCCTACGCACCATAGAGACAAGATTGAAATATCGTGTGAAAGAATATCGAACTCTATCTTAGTCCTGAGTAACATGGCATTGAAGACGCTTACGATAGGTGCAGTAAATGGACCGAAGGATTATGATGCCGATGATCGAACAATATTGTCCGATTCATGATTCTCCTTTGGTTGTGGATTTATGACTACGTCTCGAACTCATGACCTCTGTCTGAGAACGGCTATGAGCTTGCTGCGCCGTCCCGGCTTTGAGCTTTCCGCCACAAGTGCAGAGCATCTAGCGCCAAGCGGAAGTCCAATGCACAGGCGTGCCTTCGTCTGATGTCAATCCGAGACTCGGTTCGCAAACATCGGCGATCGGGAGCATAGTTGTGACGAATTGGGAATCGGCCTCGTCCAAAGACTAGATCAAAGTAGCTGCGAGAAATCCATGAAGTGACTTGAGGCGGAGACGGCCGGGCCAGCAAGGACACATGCTTCTTCCGTATCGTGTGAGCGTCGGAGGTTGTAACAAAATGTTAAAATTTGTCACAAACTCCGAGGATTCTCCGGTTTTGGGTAGAAGCACATAAACAACGATCGACGCTTTTTCTTCAAGGTCCAGATTCCATCACTAGATCCACATGACTGGTCCATCTCATGTCTCCAGTAATCGATTCGAATGATGTTGTGGTCGCCCAGTGCAACTTTCGCAGGTACCGTCAGGATGTCAGCAGAGTTGTCAATTTATAAGAAGAAGCGACGCGTCTCTTCAAGAAACATCGGAGTGTTGAGGTTTTGATTAAAAATCACGACTCGAAAGATAAGCATTGGGTGCAATGTCAACATCAGATCTGGAAAGAAGACGACCCTGCAAAGTTACCGAACTTGCATGGGATTGAATGCTCTTCACAATGAATTCGGACAATTATCTGACAGCTTCGGGAGACAAGGTCTAGATCTAGGTCTATGTCTTTGTCAAGACATAATCTACATCAAGAGCAACTCACATGCCCGAATGGACAGAACCGTATTGATGGAAATTCCGAAGCTCCGTTACAACAGCGGATTCGGACCCGAAATGTGGAATGTCAATGTCATCAAACTCACTAACATTCAGACAATATGGAACGCGCTCTTGCAGGCATGCCACGTCGCATTACTGACTGTCCACATGATAGTATACTTCAGGAGGCACGGTTTATATTAAAAAATGAATCTTACACGAATCAGAATCTGTCACCGTCGCTGTTTGTCAAGGACCTGGTACGTTCAAACAATGATCGATGTTTTAGATCAGCACAGTTCATGAAATCCGATCGTCGAGCATGAAACTATACTACACGTTACCGACTGCGTCACGTTCAATCTCCTGGTTACCAACTGAGGACCGTTTCAAAGGAGAAATTCCGCAATTTGCAGCCGCCCATACATTGAGAACGCTAGCCGGTAAGGCAGAGCCAACAATCAATTGTGGTGGGCACCCTCGATTTCGGTAATGTACAGTCATCGGTAACGATGTGAAATCAGATTCGGCTTTGCTGTTTATTACGTTGCAAATGTAATATCTTCAGAAACTCTCTCCTTGGTACACAGAACAAGGGCTTCTTGTACTAATCAGGTCCGTGAACGGAATTATTCAGCAAGATGAGCAAAAGACGTAAAGAAGGCCATCATTAGAACATGAACAATCATGACGCTGCTCTGATACGAGTCCGAGAGCGGACGATTTTATGAAATCTTGACAAATTTACGAGGATCGTCCATTGAGATTTCCTTCCTTTAAAGTAGCAAGTCTGACCACCGTTATCATTTAAGCTTGTGGGAGGGGCAGAACTTCCTGAATCCAAATAGGTTTGATGACGAAGCATTCACCGGTAAACAACAGACTAGGATCAGTTACTAACAGTTACTGGATTCTACTAACATATTTCTCTCAAGAGGATATTGGAATTACTAAGTAAAAAAGGATCAGGACTTATGCCATGGATCCTAACGATGAGGAAGAAGCTCAGCGTATAGCGAAAATCCTGACTGGAAAATCACCTGTGTTCTTAAAAAGAGTTCTCAAGTTAAGGTACGAGATACTGATTCGAGTTTGTAACTCCATTCCAAAGATGATTCATTTCACTAACTTCTGAAACCGATCTTCTCCTGTAAATGCTGTCATTACGTGCACGTGCACATCAACATGCTCTTCCGGAGTGAGTATTCAACCTTACCGCAGTTATGCAATCGGTATTTACATGATGAAGCCTCATTTAGCCTAGTCTGGTCACATATATCATGGATTTCATCCTCCTTGTGAGACAATGCTGAATGAATGCTTCAAGTACGGTGACATGTTCGCGTTTGGGAAGCGTGCGAATTGATTTAGCGTGCGTGACAGTGAGGTTTGAGGAAATGAAAATCAGTTGGGGCCTTTTGGAGTTTGAGGAAAGGAAATCGAGGGTGACATGGTTCATTTCAAAGACATTCTACAAAAATTCCAAATTACCTCTCATCTCATAACACATAATTGGAATGTATGTATTATGCGTTCCAGTGGCCGGGATGATCTCGCTCGACTCGTGGAACCTGGCCAACAAGATCGACGTAGAGACGAGATGGCCCAGAAACTCGGTGCCCTTAAGAAACAGACAGCTAGTCTTGCCGACCAACTCAGAAACTCACAAGAACAAGCAGCGAATCTCGCCCAGTTGTTGGACCTGTTATCTCAGAATCAGGGGAGTCCGGCTGCTGCACCAACAAGTTCAGGAGGTGGGCGTGTTCCAAGTCCAGTAGGTGGATCACCAGGTGGGCGTGTTCCAAGTCCAGTAGGTGGATCACCAGGACGATCTGTTCCAAGTCCAGTAGGTGGATCACCAGGACGATCTGTTCCAAGCCCAGTAGGTGGATCACCAGCACGACCTGCTCCAGAGTCTGCAATTGAAGATTCGAGTCCAGGTTCAATTCCTCGACCCGATCCCAAGCGACGGAGACTCAACGACTCAGAGCCGCCAGGAGCAACTGGTACAGCTGCTCCTTCTAGGCAACAATCACCTCCAGCTCCAGCTCCAGCTCCAGCAGCTGGATTAGCACAGACTGAATGGCGCGATCCGCTATATTATAAGCCTTCCGCTCAAGACGATCCAGATGGATTTCGGGCAGGTTCTCCAATTCCTTCCGATATTTCTAGAGTCCAGATTGTGGTTGAGCAGGCCCAACCAGTTCCACCTGCAACTGCAGTGGTCGTGGATGAGCCAATCTTTCCTCCTTCTCCCAGAAACAGCACTGCTCCAGAATTGAGAAAGCTGGTTCTGACTCCAGTGTCATGGCTAGACGACGACTTTGATCCCAAGTTGCTAGCAGAGGCCCGTGCCCGAAACTATGCGAAGGAAAGAGGTATACAACGACCCGAAGTAAATGTAAATGATCCCCGCGTACAATTACTGACGCTGAGGGCCGAGACGAGGATTGCCTACTTATCGCAGATACAGGAGGAATTCATATCCACGATGTGGCACGACTCACGGACAGTTGAACGGAAAACTCAGATGATCCGGGAAGTGTTGCATACCGTGAACGTGTACAAGGTGAGCAAGACTGATAGCAAAGATAAATTGTTAAAATCTTCTTTCTTTATAAGGTAAGAGACTTAGAGGTTGAGGGTTGAGAGTTCCTCCGTTGTTTCATGCAAAGTACGAAATCCAGTCTTCCATATTTTCTCTTTTATTGAAAGTACATTCTCTTTTACGTGCTCAATTTGTACTCGTACAGAACTTCGAAATTGTTCAGGATACGATATACTCACTACTTATCAAACATCCAGAGCTGCCTTAAAGTAGTGTAAATCGGACTATGAAGCATGCAATATTATAAGTAATTAATTATTTTGCAACATTATTTATAACAAGTGTCACACTGACAAAAAAGACAATCATTGTTCGTACGTTCACCAGTGAGCAACTATCTGATCGACCCAACGGAATTTCCAATCATAGACCTGAATTAAATGGTAGATATATTGTCAGGTCCAATGTTCGATAGTCCCGAACAAAATGCACCAGCTCCCCGATCCTAAACTTCGATCCTTAGAAACTAAAAAAAATACAATCCGAGGATTGAATGCTCAAATATAGATTGTCGCTTGCTCAGAGTCAATGTGCGTACCAGGATAAGATACGGCGATAGATCGGCGGCTTGTACCCATCAGTAATATACATTATCTAACATGCAATTTCGTTTGATCTCATGCTATTTGTATATTCTGTGAATTCATGGCTCTATATATTCCAAATTTACTGTAAAATCTCCAACGAGCAGTTAAGTATCTGATACCATTTTTGCAGTCAGCGTTGGTACGAGAAGCGAGACACTGCTCCTTGATGTGCTTTGGAAATCACGACGATCCTCTCGGCTGCTGCTGGCTCGAAAAATTCGACTCCGTCAGTCAACAGGCTCCAGGCACCAGATGGGTTAGAGCGCTGCAAGTGTACCAACGGGTGAGAGTACTAGTTGTTTCTCTCGGCAGAATCTTTCAATCTTTTCACCAGTGGTCTTGTGTGCACATATACCTCTCACACAATACGCTGCGCTCGCTGCAGATGGGCCCGCCCTTTGAATTTGCTGCTCGTAGCCGAGATGTGTTTACCCCGGGGCTAGAAGTCGTTCCAACTGTAAACGCGGCTGGACCGATCTTAAAGCATCACTGTCATTGATTTCGATGTAGCAGTCAAAGAAAAGTTCTTCATTTTATCATGACGACGTGCAGGATATTACATGCATCATCGTCAACCATATAATTGACGACCCGACTGTAAGGGGAGTGAAGCGATATCCGAAATTTATCATAGACATCATGGAGTAAGTACTTAGGCTACGGCCGAAGTTTGTGCCTTGACCCCTCTTAAATTTCTTGCATTGCACCGAAGTCCACAACCGAAGAGCTGTCCTTTGTTTCTCAGGCCGTGTACCTTCGTGCTCATAGGATCGACTTTGAATAATATCTAGTTGATATCCGAGTTCGTTCGAGCATCGATTTGTGTCACATGTATATTTGACGAACGGTGGATGAAAATTCTTCTCATTCAGAGAATGGCAAAAACTTCACCGGGATAATCCAAATCCAGATGGAGCAGAGCTTCAGGAGCTCCAAAGTAGAACAGGACTCCCACCAAAAAGGGTGCTGCACACAGACTGCCTTGTTTCCAGTTAATCAGGGTCAGCTGTAGAATGAGAATCTAATGAACATAGAAGATCACAGAAGTCAATTTCCAGCTGAGGAATATGAAAGAAAGGATAAGAACATCTTTCTCTCATGACAAACAAAGGCCACGATTTAGTGCGTGAGCTTGTGTAGTACGTGTGTAGTTTTCGTGAGGCTATTAATCATTAAGATCAAGTATTCTAATTAGTCTGAATATTAAATGCCTAGAATAATGTGCGTCATCACTATGCGCAATGTGATGTCTCGTACACGCTGTCCATGGAAGACATAAAAAAATTGAAAGAAAGGAATCACTACTGCTTCTTTTTACTGAATGACTTTGCTGATTTCAGATCCAAATATACCTGCAAAGATATCGTTGGGAGAAATTGCATCCCATTTTGCATGACGATGTACCACTTCCGCCCCCCGGAGAACGAATACCACTCCAATATCAATTGGTGTAAGAAGTCATTCACCTTCATTATCAATTGGTGTCGAATTGATTGTTAGCAACCATTTCCAATCCGTAATTGTGATACTCATATATATATATATATATACCTACCGTTCCAAAGAACATTCTAATTGCTACATTCTTCAAAGGGAGATGATGATTCTTCCAGCATTATAGTACAAGGTACGAAATAACGTAAATAACATTAAAATAACGTAAACATAAAATTAACGTAATTTATTGACGTAGAAAAGTATGAAAAGACGATGTGTCAAATGGTACAGCCGATGTTAAAATGGTGCAATATAAATGTGGACAAGAGCTGAACGCTACGCAGATTCTTATCTGCTCTAAATCTCATCCTCCAAACCTTTTGATTAAAGAAACCACAGTTCTGACTCATTAACAACTTCACATCGATGCCTGCATTCTGGTCCTCTTAAATAAGTCGATCATGTACTACAAAATGTCCTGCTGAAAGGCCTCGGTAGCCACTACACTAAATCGAGTCAGAAGCAAACAGCTAGCTGTTAGGTTACAGTTTTCATCTTCTGGTCAAACGTCAAACCACACTTGCACAGATTCCTTCTATCAGTGAGAAGGAATCTACGATCGTCCAGTTTCGGATCAAGGATGAAAACAGTTTTCCAGTAGGCTGAATTACTGACCTACCCAGCTAAAATACAAGCAGAGATTTGGTTTTCGAGAATGAAAAGCCCAAATAATTCAAAACATATTTCGTTCCGTATTAGACGGTCGAGGATGCACTTATCGAAGATGGGAAGTATGAGCTTGGGTCGGTGAACAGCACTGTGTATTCTATCTTCAAGCCGGAATATCTTGGCTCTTACAATGTACAGCACAAAAAATCAATTGATTTTCTTGGACCGCAACTTTTTTTGGTGTGCAGGAGATTGGCAGCCAGCAGTAGGAAAAAGCCCTGGGTTTCAAAACCCAATGCAGCATATATTGGCAAGTCGATAGGCTGTACGGGCGCGCAGGTACCTTCCCCCAGAATTTATGCAAGTTTTGTACCATCAGATCATTCATCATTTAGATCATTGTAGGTTCATAAATGTCTCTTTTTTACCACAAGGTCACTCTATTGGATTCAGGTCTACAGCTCGTTTCTACAGATTAGTCTGAGGGTTGGTATTTGCATCGTGCTGGAGGTGTATTTTGCCTGACCTCTCACGCTTGGAAACATTGCATCATGTTCTTATTAACTATAAATTTCACGGATCAGGTTGTGCGCTGGCATCAAATCTTTCGACAGAGAAACCCAGGTCTCGTAAAAGATAGACGTACAGTGACGAGAGCGGAAGTAGTGGAGGCAGTGAACAACACCATGGAAGGGTTGATGAGGTAAGAGCAAGAATATGCTGTTTATGGCCTCAGGTTCTCGCATTGCTGGTCGCACATCATGTCAACTAAACACACGAAATAATAATATCGCACGGTGACCTATGTGTTGTCGGATCCCCCCGCCGAGTTTAGATTGAAATGCATGCAATTAATTCCCCGCTTTACTCTTCTGCATCAGTGCTGAAGAATACGATCGACGTCGGAGAGCTTATGTTGCAGCTCAACAGCAACACGAGGAGGACCATCCGGAGCTTTCAGAAGCCCAAGACGAATCCAAGTTCGAAAAAGAATTGGAAGACATGTTGGAGGCTGAGAAGGATCTCACAGGAGGCAACGTTACACCAGAGCGGGAGCCAGAGGCAGATCCAGAGGCAGATCCAGGGCCGGAGCTAGATGTAGCCGAAGATCAGACTGGAGGAGCACTCATGCTGTCTGATGGAGAAGAGATGGAGCTTGCACCAGTAGATGGTTCAACCGAAGATCAGACTGGAGGAGCACTCACGCTGTCGCCTGGAGGACAAGTGCAGCTTCCACCAGTAGATGGTTCAACCGAAGATCAGACTGGAGGAGCACTCACGCTGCCTCCGGGAGGACAAGTGCAGCTTCCACCAGTAGATGGTTCAACCGATGGAGAGACTTCCTCACGCGCAAGAGAAGATCAGAAAATGCGGGATCTAGAGGCCGAGCTATATGAAGATATTCGCAATGTGGGCGAAGATGCTGCTTCAATTGATTATCTGAAACAATGCCTAACTGAGGCGGCAGCCATTCCAGAAATCGAGCTGCCACCATTTTTAGATGCAAGTCCGGGAAGTGGGTCCAAGTCCGTGTATGTGGCAGAAGAACTTTATGGAGGCTCTGCAGTTGAGGCAACAGCTCCACCTCAAGCGCAATCTGAAAGAGTACCGACTCGGGCGGAGGCGGGAACTCCCGGACTTGGAGGACCGGATTCTTCAGCACTAACACCGGCAGGACCGTCGGATTCTCTCGGAACGGGGCGACCGGCGTCTCCCCAACCTAGAAGCCCAGCGGCTCGACCAGGATCCAGCCCCTCCGGAGCCGGACAACCGGCGTCTCCCCAGCCTAGAACTCCAGCGGATGAAGCAGAAGTCCTGCTTGACTGGCTCCTGTCTACTCCTGAAGGACCGGATTCTCCTCCGGGCTTCCTACTAGCACCAACACCGGCAGAACTGTCAGGCTCTCCCGGAACGGGGCGACCGGCGTCTCCCCAACCTAGAAGCCCAGCGGCTCGAGCAGGATCCAGCCCCTCCGGAGCCGGACGACCGGCGTCTCCCCAGCCTAGAAGCCCAGCGGCTCGAGCAGGATCCAGCCCCTCCGGAGCCGGACGACCGGCGTCTCCCCAGCCTAGAAGCCCAGCGGCTCGAGCAGGATCCAGCCCCTCCAAAGCCGGACGACCGGCGTCTCCCCAGCCTGGAAGTCCAGGGGGTGAAGCAGCAGTCATGCTTGACTGGCTCCTGGCTACTCCTGAAGGACCGGATTCTCCACCGGGCTTCCCACCATCACCAACACCGGCAGGACCGTCAGGCTCTCCCGGAACGGGGCAACCGGCGTCTCCCCAACCTAGAAGCCCCGCGGCTCCAGCAGGATCCAGCCCCTCCGGAGCCGGACGACCGGCGTCTCCCCAGCCTAGAAGCCCAGCGGCTCAAGCAGGATCCAGCCCCTCCGGAGCCCTACGACCGGCGTCTCCCCAGCCTAGAAGCCCAGCGGCTCAAGCAGGACCCAGCACCTCCGGAACGGGACAACCAGCTCCGGCGCCAAGACAGTTGCCGGCACCGCCGGCGTGGCCGAGGACCAAAGCGCAAGCTCGTGGGTCGAAATCGGCCCGTCAACCTGCAGCCGACCCTGGACAAGCTCCAAGGCAGGCCCCCGCAGGCCCGCCTGGGCCGGACGGAGCAGGAGTTGTAGACCGACAACAGCCTGCCCCCAGGCCTGAACAAGCTCCAAGGCAGGCCCCCGCAGGCCCGCCTGGGCCGGACGGAGCAGGAGTTGTAGACCGACAACAGCCTGCCCCCAGGCCTGGACAAGCTCCAAGGCAGGCCCCACAAGGCCCGCCTGGGCCGGAGCCGGATCCGGGATCGGGGTCGGAGTCAGAATCGGAATCCGATGAGGAGGCCGAGGAGGCCGAGGAGGGCGACGCGAAGAAAGGTCGGGAGAAAACCCCTGAACCGGATGCTGACTGGTTCGAGGCCAGTCGTCAGGACATTGCGGCCAGACTGGAAGGGGATGTCCCGTTCGTGGCTGACTCGGTGCGGGGTGTCCTCATGGCGGACTCTACTCTGGAAATGAAGAAAAAGGCTATAGAGGAGAAAGATGTGCTGCAGATGATCAGGTGGCATTATCAAGACTATATGGTTCCCCCTAATTCTCCCCTAGACGAGACTATGATTCGAGTTAACGATAACTGTCAAAAGCTGGTGGACTTATACAGAGTAAGTTCCCGATTCAACCCAGTCAGTAATTTGGCAGTTCACTGCATCTTGAAGGAGCTTAAAATTCATTTAATCCTAGCATTGCATGACGTCACCTGAGGATTACCGAAAGCTTTTCGGATCAAGCTTAGATATACAAAGCACACAAAAGGTGTCGAAATATGCGGCCTGTCAAAGTGCGGCTGGAGAAGTTTTCTATTTCTCCCATAAACCAGCGTACTTCACTAGCCCAATGTTCTCATCATCACCAGATCGCGTCACGGTGAATGATTTAAATGCGAGGAAAAGACCTCATGGCCCAACCTTTATACTTCTATGCTCGATTATTTCATGCAGTGGCAAGGCCTCATGTCAATAATTGTGTAATAGCCTGACACTGATCCGGGAGTCATGTCATAAGATCGGATGTGTATCTTGTAGATGCGAATCATCAATCGACCTCGACACGTCAAAGCAAGCTGCGATGAGCAAGTCGATCCACGTCGTTGTTGCTGGAATAAACATTTCAAGCTCATTGAGGAGGAGCCGGATGAGGATAAAAAGAAAGAAATGATCCTACTTTGGTTCAGGCGGGTAAGTAAAAGAATAGAAGACCATGAAGAAGCTCAAGTGTAGAATGGTCACGCTCACGACGAATTAATCACCCAACAAGAGAGAATTAAAATGATCGATGGTCTAGTCTTTCTGAATCATGCAGCTCGTCATCTTTGGCTGTGGATTTTTGAAGTAGATACAAAGCTACAGATCCTTCAACATTTTCTGTACATTTTCAGGAGATGATCGGAACCATTATGGGGAGCCTGAAAACGGATCCCAAATGGGGTAAAGGAGTAAAAATCAAATATTGGCCACAATTTTGTCTCAACAAACTCACGTAAGTTACTCAGCCATAACACAGCACAAACAATACCAATTTAGTCAGATGAATTTGTGCAACAACCGGAGCCTACTCACTTCTTGTGACATGACACTGTACAGTACATTTTATGAAGTGAACGAGTTCAATCCATATGCTTTTCGATTGACGCCGGCTCTTGCAGAAGAGACAGGAATGCATCTAGATGGTGTACGTTCACCTTCTCTCACATTCCTAGTTGTCATTATCCAAAAGAAAGGGACGCTTTGCTAATGGCAATCCAAATCTCAATTCAATCGCCTTTCAATTCAAGCTTTCAGAGATATTGGCATTTTTTTGGAATAATTCACAGTGAGAAAAGAGCCTAACACATGATAATGATTTTGTTACATTTGAGTAAATTCTAAGAAAACGTTCAAATACGAGTATAAAGCCTTCTGCTTGCATTCTAGATCGTGATCATCATGAAAAAACTCTTGCCCCTATACATGTCGCTTTCATATGCTCTGTATGCATGTGGAAGCAATAAAAGATTTAAACTATCTTAAATAACATTTTACCAATCTGCCAAGTGCCTACGCTGCTGTTCACAATAGTCAGTGTTCACCCGTCTAAGGTGCTTATACGGCCTAGCATATTGTTGCTGGTTCGGCTATTGATTATTTATACAGAAATTTCCGGTTTCTATAAACGTCCATATAAGAGTACAGAGAGCTCTTGCATGAGACTCACCATTTCCTGGACTGTACGTATTGTTTTTTTTACTGCGAATCTTTCCTACATGCTAAATATCCCAACCGTCGTGTCTATCTGAACACTTTTATGCGAACAGATAAAGAACTGGATAAGGAATCGCAGGGCGAAGGCTGCACGTCTGAGAGGGTCTGTACAGAAGCAGCGATTATTCACAAAACAAATAAGGGATATTATGAAGTAAATTCCTGAACTAACCTCGATGTGAAACCAGGATCATATTTCATTGATCTCGTTACAATCGGTTGCTGATATACAGAGGTTCTGATGGAAGTCAAATGGTGCTCATGTATCACATATGCCGATATGTATGTCAACACATTTCTCGGTGTTTCTAGGTTAAGATGGTTCTCCAGTTCTGTTTCTTCAGAGTCATTCACTCATGTTCAGTCTATATCGTCAAGTCTGTGAAGACATGAAATTAACAGTACTTGGACTTATATTGGCAGACAATGGATTATGGGAAGATTGGACGACCCATTTCTTTATCCACTTGATGTCATTGCACTGAATGCCCAGACGAATTTGACAGAGAGGCAGGTAAGAAGATAAGAAGAATCTTTCTTTTATTTCAGTTCTGATTTGCAACTTGCAGCGTGTGCCATAACATAGTTCTGTCGTCAAATCCCAAAATGAAGAGACAATTTTTTTCATTCGTATGATTGAAATTGTGACCGCAGATCAAAGATTGGCTCAAAGACTTTAAGAAAGCTCACAAAAATCTGATTAACCCGGCTCTCAAGCATAATCCCGCCAAAAGAAGGGCCCAAGTGAAGCAGATAGCAGAAGGGCAGATTGCACCGCAACCCCCTGATCCATAGGTGGCTGATGAGTACCCCTCAGGCGACAAATAGAGTCCTCATACACCAATATCATGTGTAGGAACATTTACCAGACCTTAACGTGTCAGAAGATTTTCCAAATGTACGGACTAGTGTTTAATTTCTTCAAAACATTTCCCAACTCGAGAAGTTTGATGTGATATATGCGTGGCATTGTGTTGACAATCTCAACCATCCATAGTCTAGAGCTAATAAGCTCTAGACTATGAATACTACACTATATGAGAGAGTTTTGACTGTTCAGTTTTATTTAATTATTATTTTAAGTATATTCATAAGATCCAAATAAGTTGATCTTGAATTCTAATTTTTTGCTCAAAACAGGAATCAATCATTTTCATTTTTATTCATATTCTTTAATTTGGACATTATGAATGCACATTTTCAAGCCGCTGTAGCAATATCACCATTCAAGGAGATAAGTCAGGGATGGGCTCGTTTAAGCACCTTGCTGGACCCCCTCGATCAAGGTCTTTTAGCAATGTTCATAGAGGAAGTTACTGGGAAATGATTTCATCGATAATGAAAGGGCTGCTCATGAAGCAGCAAGATTTATCAAGGGACCAGATGGTTCATGAAAGATGACCAATCGCGACCAGAAAAATTGGAGACGCAGTTCCAGTCTGAGAAGTCCAACATCGTGGCTCATTAAGTGATTCTGAGATGGATACACTCTCTAACGGCAATGGAGGAGATATCACTCCGTCAGCTGCTGGCAGCGCCTTTTTCGTCCGAATGAAATGTTCTTGCCATGCTTTTGGAAATCTGATGTAAGTTTCATTCTCCGGGCAGGCACGAGAAGGTTTGCATTCCTGCAAATTGAGCGCCCGTGATATAAAATTTGTTTCCGTATTTTTGCAAATGTCATCCTTGCATTCCGTTCGTCGCGGTGATAGTTTGGCTGATAGAATTCAGAAAACGCCTGCAGAACAACGCTGTTCCATGAATGTCGTCGTTGTATGAAAGCTACTGATTCATCCAACTTAATCCAAATGCAACGTTGCGGAAGAGTGCTTGAGCTACAAGAGTACAATCCTTGCAGGCGGAATCAGTTCCCCAGCATCTCTTAATTGCGTCTGATCCGAGAGGATTGGAACTGAGGGTGTCCTTCATGTCCGGATCGTGCAGTTCAGGGCAATGTTGGAGATGTTATGACAGCGACTTCGACGGCGCCAGAGAGATGAGATCGGACTCTTCCAACCGAAGACTATCACGGAGCAAGTCGTGCCATGTTTAGAATTCCCCATTTTCGACTCGAGCCTGAACCTGTACGATCCAATCTACGCTGGAGGCTCGAAAGGCGCCTGCGGAGCTTACGATCAGACAACCATCTCCATCACCATGATTACGATGTAAAATCAGTCAATCTATGTATGAAATTCTAATTAAGCGGACTCTACTAATTATTCCACTCGAACGGCACCGATTTGACATGCGCTTTTGGCCGAGAGAAATATCAAAACGATCTGCAGGATCATGTCCACGGGAACTCTAGGTGCACAGTTCGTGGCACGAGTGGACGCCACCGTCTGACTTACCTTTTCTCGTCCCGGTCATTTCCCAACCAGATCTAGCTTTGTTTTATTCACGTCATCACTCATTTTCACAGTTTTCTCTATGAAGTACTGTTTAAATTAATGACATGAAAAGAAATTTGTTAGAAAGTAAAATTTATCAGATTCATTGTAAAAGCAATCCTGACAATGAACTGCGAGCGAACAGAAGGTTATATTGAAAGATGACTCGGGGAGAAGAATCAGGGTTTTGTGAAGGGGACTGAAAAGATCGAGTGCTGCACTATATTTGGAGCGATATCTCGGTGTATATAATTTTATAATGCAAAATTTATTATAATGGAAAGATTTCAAATATCATAACTGAATATGCACAATGACATTCAAGTTAATGAAATAAACAATACACTACCGATGTTGTTAGATCCTCCATAGGAGAAATTTTCAGTATTCTTGATTTTACTAAATTTTTATATAAGAAATCACCTTTTGGTAGGAAACATGAACATCAAAATGATATTCTACATGCACATAATGATGAACATGATTTCTTTCTCAAAGTGATCCATTGTCGTGTAATCTTTTTATATGTCTTAATAAATTTTAGAAGGACTGCCCTCATGTACAGATATTTTCTTGGAAAGTTCCTAAGAGAACAATTTATGAAGTTATAGTACGTGTTCAACATAATCGTTGCAAAACTTCCATTGAACCCACCAAAAAAACGCATCTATGCAAGTGAATAGCATCATCCAAGACTGTAAATAAACAGAGGTTGAGCAGGTTTGGGTCTTCTAAAAGAGTATGTGTTTATGTTTTACAAGGATTTTTCTCTCTTCATTGATTCCTATTTACTATTGATGTCTTTGCTTTCTTCTCTCCTCAACATAATGCATAACCTGCAATTATAAAATATTCACAAATCAGTGTTGTTATTAAGATTTATAGTTTCTAGACTTGTTGACTATATCCCAAAGATATGTTAACTTTTCATTGTGATTTTTATTATAAACGCATAGCTGATAACTTAAAGAGATCAACTATATTTTCACTAATCTAGATCTCAAGGCCATCAATAAAGCTAAGTACATATCAAAGTCCTAGCATACATAAAGTGAGCAAATTTGCTGACTAAGACAGTGCCGAAACGGGAGGGTCACTGTCAAAACAATTAAGTCAAACCCTCCATAAGCATACTGGCTATAATAAATGTGTGTTAAAAAAGATGAAAACGACATAAATTACCCCTTCGCTACCAAGACCAGTCTCTTTTCCACAACGCCTGTAGTCTTCGCCGCTGGGATTTTTGCAAGTATCATAAAATTTTCTGCAAACACAATCAAATCCACTTCAATGGTCTTTATAATAAGATGCACTAAATTTCTTCAGCATTGAGGACATTTCCTCCTTTTTCCGGTCTATGAAATCAAGAGATCACCTGCTTGAAACGTTCTACTTCCCAACGTATCTCATTACATTGAATATCTCGGAACTGATTTGATGCTTTGCCATTGATTTTATCTTAACTTAGGCAACATTTGAAAAACTCGAGTCCATCTATATGAAATTTAAGCACAGTAAATGAGTAAAGCAATTGATATAGTTTGTTTTTGTATTGCTTAGGACAGGTATAAACGAAATCAAGACTTACTCAAGTTCATCATAGAGGTCATCTGGATAATTTTCCGGCCACAACTCATTACGCCTTATGTGCTTGAATACGGTTGATCTGATATCCTGGTGGAGAGTACAATCATACTTAAGAATGAATCAATCGATACCATCTAATTTATTCTTATGAAGCCATAGTGAGTCAGAATATCAAATCTTGGCAGCACCTCAGATCATTTGTATGGGAAGAGTTTCACGTGGGTTGAAAAATTACCCTCGTGTACTGGTTAAGAATCAATTGTTTTTTTTCATCTGGATCTTGCTGTTGCTCCACTTCTGCCCACTTACTTTTCCAGCAGCATGTTATTGGGTCTTTTGTCGTATCGCATGACATATCACAGTGTCGAGCTTGTCCATACAAACGTTGCTACATCCACGAGTTTACGAAGTGTATGTCAGAATAGATCATAAACTGATCTACAGGAGGCAGCTGGACGCGCAACTAATGATGGTTATGTCCCTGGCAACAACTCGTAGAGCTCAAATTCTATGACTTGGATAGTTCAGCATTGAACTGCAATTCACATAACAAGCCTACAGTCTGCAAAGACAATAAGTGATGCTGCTTGGCAAGCAACGACGGTGAGCATTGTTGAATTCTAGTTAAAAAGGTTCGAGTAATCCTTACCTTATATAATTCATACACGAATTGCAGCTCTTCATCCATATCCGCTGAGTTTACAAGTTGCAGCTCACCAAGCATATCTTGGCGAGTGTAAAATCTGATCTCACCTAGAGCCATATTATCTTCGTAATGTGGATCAGACGCGTTTGTTAATGCGTTTTTCTTTCGTCTCTCCTCAATATAATGAACAACCTGCAATTATAAAATATTCACAAATCAGTGTTGTTATCAAGATTTATAGTTTCTAGACTTGTTGACTGCATCCCAAAAATATGTTACCTTTTTTTTGTAATTTGTATTATAAACGCAGAACTGAAAACTTAATGAGATCAACTATATTTTCACTAATCTAGATTTCAAGGCCACCAATAAGGCGGATATTAAAGCCAAGTTGATTTCAAGGAATGCACAGAAAAAAAAAAGAGTACTAGCATACACAAAGTGACCAAATTTCTGACTAAGACAATGCTGAAACGGGAGGGTCACTTTCAAAACAGTTAAGTCAAACCCTCCACATTTTTTTGAATACTATTCTCTAGACTTTGTTTCATACTAAGTTTTACAGAAAGAGATATTTCGTGCAACGCAAACACAGAAAGACACAGAAAAAAAAAGAGTACTAGCATACACAAAGTGACCAAATTTCTGACTAAGACAATGCCGAAACGGGAGAGTCACTGTCAAAACAATTAAGTCAAACCCTCCACATTTTTTGGAATACTATTCTCTAGACTTTGTTTCATACTAAGTTTTACAGAAAGAGATGTTTCGTACAACGCAAACGTACTGGCTATGATACATGTGTGTTAAAAAAGATGAAAACGAGATAAATTACCCCTTCGCTACCAAGACCAGTCTCTTTTCCACAACGCCAGTAGTCTTCGCCGCTGGGATTTTTGCAAGTATGATAAAATTTTCTGCAAACACAATCAAATCCACTTCAATGGTCTGTATAATAAGATGCACTAAATTTCTTCAGCATTGAGGAAATTTCCTCCTTTTTCCGTTCTATGAATTCAAGAGATCAACTGCTTGAGGCGTTTTACTTCCAAACGCATCTCATTACATTGAGTGACTCGGAACTGATTTGATGCTTTGCAATTAATTCTATCTTAACTTAGGCAACATTTGAAAAACTCGAGTCCATCTATGTGAAATTTAAGCACAGTAAATGAATAAAGCAATGGATACAGTTTGTTTTTGGATGGCTTAGGAAGGGTATAAACAAAATTAAGACTTACTCAAGTTCCATTTCGAGGTCTTTTGGATATTGTTCCGGCCACATCTGCGCACGCCTTATGTGCTTGAATACGGTGAATCTGATATCCTGGTAGAGAGTACAATCATACTTAAGAATGAATCAATCGATACCATCTAATTTATTCTTAGGAAGCCCTAGTGAGTCAGAATATCAAATCTTGGCAGCACCTCAGATCCTTTTGTATGGGAGTTTCACGTGGGTTGGAAAATTACCCTCGTGTACTGGTCAAGAATCAATTTTCTTCTTATATGTGAATCTGGCTCAGAGGTCCTCATCTTTTGCTCCATTTCTGCCCACTTACTTTTCCAGCAGCAAGTTATTGGGTCTTTTGTCGTATCGCATGACATATCACAGTGTTGAGCTTGTCCATACAAACGTTGCTACATCCACGAGTTTACGAAGTGTATGTCAGAATAAATTATAAACTGATTTACAGGAGGCAGCTGGACGCGCAACTAATGATGGTTATGTCCCTGGCAACAACTCGTAGAGCTCAAAATCTATGACCTGGATAGCTCAGAATTGAACTGCAATTCACATAACAAGCCTACAGTCTGCAAAGACAATAAGTGATGCTGCTTGGCAAGCAACGACGGTGAGCATTGTTGAAGTCTAGTTGAAAATGGTTCGAGTATTCCTCACCTGATATAATTTATACACGAATTGCAGCTCTTCATCTATTTCCGCTTGGTTTGGAAGTTCCAGGTCACCAAGCATATCTTGGCGAGTGTAAAATCTGATCTCACCTAGAGCCATATTATCTTGGAAATGTGGATCAGACGAGTCTTGGTAATGTCGATCAGACGAGTTCGAGGATTCAGGAGAAGCCGGGGCATCAAAACGATCTGGGCGATCTCCTGGACCCAGAGGGCCCTTACCATCGTAATGTACTCGACCGGGTCGAGAGTTTCTGGAAGTGGTACTGTCTTCAGGATGGAGGTCAAACATAATCAGGTCTCCTGGTGCTTCTAGTTCAGGCTGATGTGGTGGATATGGCAAATGGGGTGGCGGCCGGCTGTAGAAACAATACTCGGTGAAATCCATACCATCGGACCAATGTGGTTTTCTCGGGGATGTTGGTGGCGGCGCGCTGTCATAGGAAGAACCTGTGCTGGTGCTTGAGTCATACATGTAACCGCCGTTCCATGAAGGGGTAGGGGTACGGGTAGGGGTAGGCTGTTGGCTAGGGGCTCGAACAGGAGGAATATCTCGTCTCTGAGGATATCCAGCAACATGCTGCGGAGGTGGTACATGGTTATTGTACTGAACTGCCTCGTTTGCGTCCTGCCTCTGAGCTAACAGTCTCAGAGCTCTTTGAAAAGCTTCCTGTCTAGCAGCGGGAGTTGAAGCAAGTTGGCCTTGCAGAAGCCTCTCGGCTTCGCCCACAAACCTCACAAAGTTCCCGGACGACTGGCTTTGCTCGTACCCGAATGAGGGCAAGTCTTCTCTTTCCGTAGCCACGTATTGTTGTAGGTCTCTAACTTCCAGCTGGCGTCCACCGCCTCTGCAGAAACTCTCAAGCAGTTCTCAAACACATATGCGTGTTCTGGTTTTCTCCCAAGAGAACAATCTATGGCTCCTAACCTACTGCAGGCTCACTATGGCCTCGACATTGCAACTAGCTTCTCTGGCGAGCCACACACCCTTTCTACTGAAAAAAATGGGTTCTATCGGGGAGTGGTATAAGTAGAGCCGATGGTTTGATGTCCGAGCAACTTCAAATCTCATTATGCTCGAGGTCACAGACTCTTGTCTCGTGACTTCAAAATTGTAAGTGTCGTTTGACTCTGACTTTTAATGAAATATATTCCGCTTGCCAGTTTCTTTCAAATCATGTACCCAATCTGACTTCCTAATCTATAAAACATTATCATGATCAAGGGTTCACTACGCAATTTTCTGACTGCAAGTGCTAGAACTAGATTCAATTACATTTACCTGTTGGCCATGGCTGAAAGGTACTGGGAGCTTCTCACTCAGCAATAGCTATTTCAGAACCGTAAATTATCCCGTGGTTTTATGGAGTCTCATAATGATTCACTTTTATCGAAACAATTGTATACAATCTGTGTCAGCTTCATTCATGGCGTTGACGATGACACCTCGTTTCGTTAGAACACCGTTCGATTGTGTTACATCATCAATGAATTGGATGTTTATGCCTCTTATATCATCAACATCAAATTCAGCGCAAGAAGAAAAGAGTACGGCAGCATTATGTGCTGACTGAATTTCCTACATAGATAATCTCCATTTGGTAGCAAAGAAATTCTTGCACTTACCTTGTAGGCCCTGATGGGTCGCAGTCACTGACCTGCTGAAAGAGTTGTGCACCGAATTCTGTTCAGAGATATTTAAAACTCACGGGCAACCGCTAACGACGATCGGTTTTGGGGTGATGGAAGAACTTTTCCAGAGTAAGACTCCGTAATCGGGCCTTCACTCTCCATCTGACCCTGTTTCTGATGGGATCCGTTCGAATTCGAGTAACAAACCCACGGCGCATTTGTTGTTCCAAAGACCATGACGATCGCACGATTGCATGACTCTGTTTCTCCTTCGGCTTCGATCTCCCGAACATTCTCGCATGTCTTTATTTATTGGAAGGAAACGAATTCGGAATTTGGCCAACAACTGTGATGATGGACGATCCTGAACAGGCACAACGCTTCGACAAATTATGGCTAGTGGTCTGATTCTGCGGTACTCTCTCTTCTTCTCGATTCACGTATCGGGCCGCATACATTCACCCAATCATGTTCAGTTCTCAATACAGTCCAGATGAAACTACAATTATGATTTTCTTCTTCGCTAAAAACCCAGCAGAGTTCTCGTGTCAAACATTCATTCCTTTCCGGCTTTGCGTGCGAAGCTGATTAAGCTAGTCAGATATCAACAATTTCCGGAATGTTATTCAGGAGTATTGATGGATGTGACTTCGCAATTGGCCACTCCCGGTACAGTCATCAAATGATCGATCTATCCAATTCACGAGTTCATTTCTCCACAGTTTGACGTTAATGAAAAACCCTTTGACGAGGCCTCCAATCACGTGAGCCAGAAGAGTTCCAAATTCTGAGTCCGGATTTTCAGCCAGATTTTCGGACCACTGAGGAGAAGAATACAATGCAAATATGGCAGAATTTATCGGACACTCACACTCGTCCCAATGATTCCTCCATTCATGGGCTGTCTGAAGACATGCATCTTCGACTCTGCCACAGGACGAAGAAGACGGCGGTGAGTGGGTCGCGAGCTGACGAGCATGCCAATTGTCACGTTCCGATCGGATTTCTCGAGCTCAGTCGAGCAGGAAACAGCGAGAGAGTACGATGTTCTTGTTCCGAGCGTCGCTGTTTCACGATCCGATGGAGATCGAGAGCTCGCCTCGGTGCTAGTGCGAAAGCGTTCTTATAGCGAGAGTTGAGACTATTCCGCACAACAAGGTGAAAGCGTCCAAATGTACGATCTTCGTTCATGTCGTTTCAAGGTCGATCGAACTTTATGGACGACCCAGAGTTTCGATTTCAATGGTCCGCGGACAGATTTGGCGCCCTCGCAGGCGGGAGCGTGGGAAATTTAGGGTTAAGAATTTCGGAATTGTCTCCTCGTATTTATAGGAGCGATCGTGGCCATGGCTTCCTTTCCTTCTTGCAGTATGCAAATGTGGCACTGGCACTGGAGTGGATATTCGCATCGACCCCGTTTGATTTAAATCACGCCATGTGTGCCACCATCGACCGCATTGTGTAATCGAAAAAACCCGCCCGACTTCATTTATCATTCATGGTGAAATTCGGGCTTTCAGGTTCAGCACCGCAAAACTCTCACTCCAACAATTTGGTAATTTTCCATATACTCTTTTGTTAGTCGACTGATCAGATTGATTTGAGGAATGCAGTGATAGCGTGGAAGGATGAGTAGAACAACGTGCATCCGCCTCTTCCACGATGCAATCCGGGAAGTGTTCTACCCTGCGTCTCGTTACTTTTGGTACATTTGATTATCGTATCGTGACTCGCATGTGGCTCAGATTGTAGCACTCACCATTCGTCTTCTATTCTGTGTTCCGTGCACATTAGGAACTAATATGGCTAATTTGGCTCCGTAATTTGGGTCCGCTGCCAACATTCACCACACGCTTTCCATTGTGGTGAATGTCACAACCGCGAAGCTGCAAACCAATTTGTAGGTTTTAAAGTGTTGATCTTCTCAGTCTGCTAATCATGTAGAGCTAGCTTTGACAAAAACTGACCTTCAGATTTTCCTATTGATGTTTCGAATCATTACTTCACGGATTCTCTGCGTTGTGTCATTGCACGAAGATTCATCCTATTAGAGAATTCTTGTAAAGAAGTTCGAACCAGAGATGTACTACAACCTACTTACTCCGAGCTGCGATGACGAGTCCCGAACCTGATCCGAAGGATCGAGGAAAAAAACCGGAAGTCAGAGAAATATCTCCAGCCAGAAGACCTTTGGCTCGAGGTTCGGGCTCGCTCTTGAATACACTTCTCGGTTGTGCGACCTTTGCGGAGGCGATCTGTAAAACAGCGCGGAGGACTGATGTCATCGAACCTTTGAGGTAATTATGAATCTCCACTAGGCTGGTGAAGAATGGCAAGACTGAAGTAGGTCGGAACATCTGGCATCTGAACTGGTTAATATTTCAAAGCAAGGGAGCACTGTCAAAGTATCTTCCATCTTGGAAATTGCTTGGAAGTGCTCTGTGAATCTTCACGACAAAACAATTCTCCTCTTTACTTTGAGGTTACAGGTTGAGAAATTTCCAGGGTTTGCATCTACGACTCTTGTCCAGGATGGAGATACGCTTAGAATATTGTGCTCCAGAACTGCAAAGACAGTACCATACCCCGCCATTTCTGGATGTGGATTTGTCGATGTCAAACCTTGATTTCTCTCTTTGAGGATTGCCCGAAATTGGAACTAAACTTCTTTCATAGACCTTGACCACCATCTTACCACTTGAATCTCCACTTAGAAGAGGTGTCGCCCCTGAATGGATGCTAGTTGCAATGAACGCGTGGACGTGAACTGGAGCGTTTCTGCTATAACATGAAATTGTCCTGACTCACCACCATGAATCTGTCAGGCTACCTGCGCCCAGCTCCAGAGATCCTCAGTCTCAGACACCTCCTTCTCAAAGTCAGGTGCAGTATTCTCCAGGACAGAAAAATTTCCTTGAACTCTCCCTGGGCGCAGCTAAAAAGACACTAACTTCAAGAGACAATAGTCCGTCGACTCACTCTGCAAAAGATGTACCTCGTGCTCCAACTCTACAACTACTGTCTACTTCCCCGGCAGGCACGAGATCCCCTTACAATGTCCGAGCTTCATCTCCAGTTCGAGCGTCATCTCCAGTCCGAGCGACATCTCCAGTCCGTGCGTCAACTCCAGTCCGAGCGACATCTCCAGTCCCAGCGACAACTCCAGTCCGAGCGACATCTCCAGTCCCAGCGACAACTCCAGTCCGTGCGTCAACTCCAGTCCGAGCGACATCTCCAGTCCCAGCGACAACTCCAGTCCCAGCGACATCTCCAGTTCGAGCGGCAACTCCAGTGCGGCCCTCATCGCCGCCGCCGCCGCCGCCGTCGCCGTCCCAAGGGGGAGCTGAGGCCAACTATCCAAACGTCATGGATAGATATGGCCACATTCCAACGCTCGCAGATGGAACTATCGACGCTGGCTGGGTTGGAAGGAACCTCGGCGGTGGACACGAGGAAAATGCCAGACAGAGACAGATGATGGGCATGCCCCCGAGAGACCCTATCGTGAGAAATCCGAGATCAACTGGAAGTGTCACGAAAGCGCCATCTCCAGTGAGGCCGGCAACATCTCCTCCCCGCGCGATAGCTCAGGACACGGACTCAGACTCAGACTCAGACGACTCAGAACGATTTAGCAAAAGTCCAACGCACCACAGCCAAGACCAGTCGCCCACGCGACCCCGAGCGATGTCTTACGATCCTCAAACACAAGGACTTTTGGACGGTATACAGAGATCAAGAGAAACGACTCCAGTCATTGATCTAGCTCATGATACTGACACTTCATCAGACACAGAGCGCGAAGGTGCTGAAGCCGTGGACAATCCTCAGTTGGCTGCGGAGAAACGTCATGTTGAAGCACTGAAGCACTTTGCCAAACAGGAGGTGACCAGAAGGCAGGTTTTGTGGTCCCGGGGACAATATCCGCAGCATCCACAAGTCAGACCTGAGATGGAAATTCTGGAAGCGATAGACGAAGAAGCTGATGATATAATAAAAACCATGGTCTCAGGTTCCAAGAAGCTAACCACTGCGGCAACTGCTCAGCCGTCAGTCATTGCAATTGTATTTCACAAGAGCCTACCCACACAGCGACAAGCTGACCACCTCATTAAACTGTATAAGGTATTTCTGCATCAGATTTTATCTCCCTACCTTGCAGAGAAACTATTAGCTTTTGACGTCATCCACACCGTCATGTCTTTAGCAAATTGTGGATCTCCACATTCTTATTCGATGACGTTCGCTATAATCTCATTGTGAAGGGTGTTCACTTGCAATCTAGGGAGAACAGTAGAAACAGCTTATGAACGGGTTTCAAAAATCCGAATGTTTTAACTCCTATTAAGGGTTGTATACATATGCTTCAAGCTTTCTATAAAATGTGTGACAAGTAATGAAAACCGACCGTTGTGCGTGCTCAGTAATTAAAAGCAATTCTTCTGATTCTTCTAGATTTTGAGGCTATCTAGGCTCCTAAATTTGCGGGAATCTGTAATTTGTATTTAAACCCTCCAGTTCTACGAGCGTTTATGATCTGTTTAATGTTGAAACATATATATGACTGATCTTTGTAAGAATTTTAGTACACCTGTAAAATGCTTTAGATTTGATCTGTAGTCCAACAAGATCGAGGTTTGAATTTTGACACACAGTTCTGATCATAAGAAGTTGATCTTATATATCAGAGTCTCGGGACTTTTAATTTCATCTCATCTAATCACTGGCATACTGAATCGACTAACTCAGTTTCTCTGGCAACCGGAAATGCAGAATTTTTGGAGAGGAATCCCTTTTCATGAATCTGTAAGGTGTGATCAACAGAGTGATGCTTTTGACTGCTGCTGGTTCGATTATTTTGGGACATTGGCCTTATTACCTCCAGAACATGACGATATCAGGGAATATCACATGTTCAAAAGATTGAGAGCGGTAAAACTCTCGTACTGAGATATCCTCCATCCTTCGCTTGACTTCCGTTCATGCATAACAAACGGTCCAAACGCAGTTGTAAATCTAGTAAGGCTCTTATCTCCTGGTCGAGACCGTCTTCTCTGTCAACGTATATATAGTTCGTTAGGTATAAACGCGAAGATATTATCCTTCGTATTACGGAGTTAATGGACTCTGGACACTTTGCGGCTTTCCATGTCTCTGGATATACCTCAGAAACATGTCGCTACGAAGCTTACTCATTATAGAAATACCCCAATGGACATAGCAAATTAGGATAGTTCACAGCTGGAAAATTTCCAAACAGTTGATCATCATTCCTAGCACAAGGCTTTTGTTCTGCTTAACTTGAATGACCCAATGTGCGAACGACGAGAATTTATGGTAAAGCATTACAAGAGGCTTGCTTTCAAGGGCAGAGTTAGTAAGCTGTATTACTTGATTACGAAGTGATTTGTGTGTACTTCAAATCGTGAGACTGGAATCTGAAATTTTACTTTTGTGATATCTATACAGGATATTACAAGAATCTGTTCAAGATACATAGAAGATACTCCAGGAGCATTTGTGTGGAGTTTTCCGAACTTCGCTCGAGAAATTCTATGGTATGCTAGCCTAAATCACTTGAGTACATTTTTATTTTATTTTCCAATGAAACATTTACGTTTTATCGATTCTCAAACTCATCACTACTATAAGAAGTGGACAAGAATCACAAGAAGAAGTTGCTAGTTCAACTCTTCCCAGCTTGAGAGGTTGTGGCCCCACAAGTTGGTCCTTTTTCCGCATTTTCTGACTTCACTGTTGACTCTCTTGTTTCTGTTGAATGTCAATAGAGGACTGAACAATAAATCTGGGATTTTTTCATGACTTTTCCCCAGAGTTATCTTGGGCTTCTCTTTTTCTAAATATTATAATGTATCATTGCTTATTTAAGCACTTTCGTATCAATATATAGGCTTATGATGCTCAAGAAAGGGTCAAATCATATGTTTTATTTAGACAAGAGTTTTGAAAGCATGACCTGACGATCCTATAAGTCGCCTGATCGTTGTAGTTATCTTGACAATTTACCATTAACCAATATCAATACAATTTCTGTTTACGTAAACGACAATGGTTCACATTAAACTTCGGCTTTTAATGTGTTTCTGCATTACTACTCTTCTCTATGATCTATTATCAAAGACAACCTTGTGTTCTGTTTTTCATATTCTAAAAAACCTTGACTTCTGATTCATATTTTGGACCACACATTTTCTTTCGTGTATTCCTATGACAGGTTCAAATACACTAACAGTTGGACAAACAGATCAATCCCGAGTATCTATTTGTTTGAGCTTCCCTGTCATAAGAGTAAAAATAATTCTAATAGACAAGCCCGATTTGGGATGTACAAGCCGTTTATAATCTCAATGCTTGACGTAAACACTGTTAGTTACATTCAAGTGGCAGTGAATAGTCTCTAGCGACACATCTTTTCAGACTTTCCTTTACTAATCCGCAGGGATTGGAGGATGCAACATCTAGATGTGGATCCAGCTTCACCGACTTTCGAATTTCTCGTCAAGTTCCCACCAGAGAATGACCAAGCAAGATTGTCGAGAGAGACCGGGCTCTCGAGAAAAGATGTAAGTTCTTCAATGGGGATCCACTGGATCTATGACACAACTGTCATAGATTTTTCAAATGTCAACAAATGTCAAATGTCAAATTTCAGCTGTGTGATCGATTCTATCACACAACAGACATTTGACATATCGAGAATAACTTCCACTCATTCAAAGAGCTTCGGGCCACGAAGGTGTACCAGCCTTATATTCTCAAGTTATAAGGAAAGATGATTTTTTAGTGGAAGAAAAATATACATGAAATAAGTAAACACGTCTGGAGGTGAAGAAAATATCAGAGAGCTAAGCTGGTGTGTAGGAGTCTAAAGCCGATGAGGGACCAAATTGCTTAACGGTTTGAAGTTTTGGTGCACCTTGAGAAAATGCGAGTCGTATCTCGAATTCGCTAAGAACTGCCATTATATCTTTAGTCTCATTTATCATATGGGACTTCTCTTTGATCCTATCTGCATAGACTCCTAGAGTGAAATCTAAGGCGTGATGCCTGTATGAGATCGCATGAGGACAGGAAATTCAGTTGAAATGAACCAGTAATCGAGGATACCACTAGATGTTCTATCATGTACCAATAGATGATATAACATCTATGATCTTCATCTATCATTCAACAAAATCAAATGTCGAGAATGAAAGTGTTTAAATTAGAGCTGAACTAAAACTTGCTGAGTCCCGCAAGAAGTGCGATTAGTTCTAGCGATCAAGAGTTGGTTTCATGGTATTAATATTTAACATTGCTCTACGCTTGCCGCCCAGTTGATGTACTTTTACAGTGACAAAGCTGCGAAGAGGACTGCAAGGGAACCTGCCCCGCCAAAACCTGGCATGGTGTATGATCTGCCAGAACAAGTTCGGAAAGGTCTCAGGTAATCATGAAGCACTAGAAACCAGCTCCTCAGCGTCACTCGATCTGTCATAGACACAACATCCCCGTGTCCTTTCAGTAGTCCTTGAATATATCTATGCACGGGCTCTGTCACTGGATTCCCGTGTCCTGGGATTCAGCACAGGCCAAGAGGCATCCAAAAATTCCATTCCCATCTCAGTCGTTTCTCATCACCTACTCCACTCAGTGCATTGTCCAAGCTTCGGTTGTGATGAGGTCTACACTTACATCTTGTGAGCTTTCGGACGTTCACTTCTCCAAAGTCTGAATGGATGTTAGTTTTCCATGGCATTCCTCGTTGTGGAATGATTTCTGTCCTAGATATGAATCCGAGTGTTACCGACCGCAGGAGCTAGTAGTGGGACATCGTTGACGCGGAAAGTACCGATGTTCTGTTAAAGTGTTTACATTCCAGAAGTGATATTAATGTCCGAGCTGTTGCACTTTCAGGGATTTCGCAATCGACAACCCTGAGCCGGGCACTCAAATTCATTCAATCCACATTTCACACATCCGCATGGAAGCCGGATTGCCCCAATCGGGGGGCATGCAGCCGAGGGAAGTAAGTAAACTGCACATTCCCTTCTATCTTCTTCAGTCTGCAGTATTGACACCGGCAGCAATGGTCATCTTGTCGACGAATCACAAAGTCGGCTCCATCGTCGTCGAGACAGCCACGTCGACGTAGAAGTCAGAGGGTGTAGATGCAAAGCTTGTGAGCACATAAATCAAAATATAATGTCGTCGACAGTGCTCAGAATCTCTGCTGTTGTACGCGTGAGGTTTCCAAATCAGGATCCAGATGCAGATTAGTTAATCAGCGTCAGCGTCGCCGACGATTTTCTGGAACCTACAAACGAAATGTCTGATTCGTTGGCATGCGGATGCAGATACGGAAGCAAGTCGAAATATTCCGACTGCGAAACCAGAGAAATAGGGATTTGATAGATGAGTTCAGGGCCAGACCGCTACCTCCGGGAGCGGACATGCCACGGCTGCGGAATAGAGGATTGGGGTACGAGCTGGCTGTGGCTCTGGCGAAGGTGAGAAAGGACTTCCCGGACGCAACGCTGCAGATGACTCTGAACGTCGACGAGGCCGTCCGGCACCGAGAGTACAGGCGCCAGCTCCACGAGACTAGCAAGGAGTACGCGAAGCTGACGCCGGAGCAGAGGGCCAAGCTCGACGCTGAGCGCAGGGAACGCCTGCTCGCGAGCTGCCGCGAGATTCGCTACATGCTCGATCTGGCCGACGCCGAGTCGGATGAAGATCGCGCGAGGCCTTTCACGTCGACTTGGAGGACGCGAGCCCCAGAAACGTCCAGCTCAGGCAGCGACTATCTTCCGGGCTCTGAGGCGGATGCAGATGCCACTTCTTCTTCGAGGTTGACAGATTCCGGCTCTGATTATTTGTCTGATGGCAATAGCCCTTGGCCGCCCAGCAGAAATTTCTATCTTGAGGTCGCGGTGCCGCCAGACAGCAACAAAAGGCAGAGAATTGGCGACGGAGAAGATGCACCAAGGTCGCCGGGAGGAGGCAACCAACCTCCCAGCCCTCCCAGCCCTCCCAGCCCTCCCAGCCCTCCCAGAGATTCGTCACCAAAAACTGCCAGACAACGATCGGTCTCGGATGAGGCTGGAGAGAGCGGCAGAAGCAAAAGGCAGAGAGTCGGCGACGGAGTTGATGGATCTATGTCTCCGCCGAGAGGTGACCAGAATTTAAGCCCTTCCGGACAACCTCACCCAGCTCCCAGCCCTCCCCACAATACCGGACAACTTCCTGGAACAAATCCCAGCCCTACACGATCAGAGACGCCTACAATGATTCTTGACAGTTCACAGTCTACACTGAAACCTTGGTCAGATTCTAGTTCTTCTATTCGACAGGGTGGAAAATCTGGTCGCTCGAAACAAGCATCTACGAGCGAGGTGGTGAATCAGCCCGCTCCATCGCGAGGAAATCAAGGAGCTGACCCGAATTTCAGCCCTTCCACACAACCTCACCCAGCTCCCAGCCCTCCCCACAATACCGGACAACTACCTGGAACGATTCCCAGCCCTACACGATCAGAGACGCCTACAATGATTCTTGACAGTTCACAGTCTTCACTGAAACCTTGGCGGTCACATTCGTCGGGTTCTGATTCTTCTACGAAACCCCCTCCAGGTTCTGGTCACTCCAAACAAGCATCTACGAGCGTGGTGGTGGATCAGCCCGCTCCATCGCAAGGAAGTCGAGGAAATCGAGGAAGTCGACGAAGTAGCGAAGAGAAAGGAAGCCCTGGGCCTGCGGGGTCTCGGGGGTCTCGGGGGTCTCAGGGGTCCGCAGCAGCATCCATGGCCCCGCCTCCCTCGGCCAACCTGGCTGCGTACCTTAAACTTGGTAGCGACTTGTTACGCCGTCAGGATCTGCAGAGACAGGCGTTTTTAGCGAACCTCGTAGGCGCGCAGCCGATGTCGTCCACCACCTCCTCCGCTCAGCTGTCTGACATCCTTCGACGTGGTAGCTACGAGCTGGCCCAACCGCAGCACTGGTCGCAGTCCGCCATTGCGGACTTCGTCAACGCCGCAAACATTTACTTGCCGCCTGACTCCGCCGGAGAGCTTTTCGACCTCCTCCGACGCGCAGCGGAAGTGGTGATGCGGCGAGAGCAGTCGCGGTATACCGGACTGACGGATTTCATCTTGCGTGAAGTCGCCAGGAGGCACCCGGCGGCGGCCAAGTTGGTGGACCAGGTGGCGGAATTCGACCGGCGACAACGAGAAGACGATATCTGGCGAATCGCCAACGCAATGTACCACGACGAACACGGCGACTCGGGGATTCGCGATTTCAGGGAGGAGTATAACAACGCCCTCTCGAGCTCTTCGCAGGGAAGCACCGGCCAGACAGATGCGAATGCTGGTGCCATAGTGGTAGCAAGCCAGTCAGGATCGTCAGGATCTTCCGGAGGCACGAATTCAGGAGCACGGCCCAGGAATTTGGTGCCTCAAGAGATTCTCGACAGGATGATGACCGAAGATGACTCCATGATAGAGCTCGTCTCGCAAGTCTTGGTCGATCGCCTGTTCGGGCAGAGGTTAGCGGGACAAGCCTTCGTGAGACATCAAACGAATCCGGGGCAGTGGAGAGCAAATCGGGCGTCACAATTGGACTACAATGCACAATCGGGTTTAGTTGGTGATTACGAATTCCTTGCAGGGACTGCAGATTTTAACGAGCAGCCAAATCAGAATCCACTCGTCAGGTTTGAATTGCAGTCGTCTTCAGAAACACAAAGTGAAGACTTGCCTGCAGACCAAAAGCAAAGACCCCAAACCAGTAGTATTGTTGTCGGTGATGTGCGTATTTTACCTGCAGATCATACGTACCTGAACAAAACTCCTGCCCTGGAACTAACCTTTCGAGGTGAAGGAGGACCATCACCATTCTCTCCCGCACCTGATGAAATTCCAGGATATACGCGCGCTTCTGACGTTTACGCCCCACCCGATTTAATTAAGGGCTTTGAGGATAATGGTGTTCTTAGCCTGGCAACACCCGTTCCCGGCAGCTTTTCCAGACTCGTGAATCCAAATCCGGATGGTGACCCAGATGCTCCTATACAGGCGCTGGCAGATTTCTTTGATAAATGGAAATTTGGTAGCACCTTATTACAAGCCGTGTACAGCGAGTTGGATCGCCGGATTAGAGATGAAAACTTCATGCAGCAATCCTTGGGCAACATTTGGGATTTGGTGGAAAGACCGGTTGGTCTGAGCCCCCAAGGCTTTGAAGGACGGGTTTGGGCCCAGAAATCCAATTCCTCCGTAACGCTAGGCCAAAGCCCTCAAGGTAGTCAAGCTTCTCAAGCTTCGCAAGCTGGCGGAGGTGCTCGAGGGGTCATTCCTCCTCCTCCCAGATTGAGCATCTTACCCTCTGACCATATGGACTCCAGATCTGGTTACTATAATCCAAGCAAGTCCAGTCGAAGTTCTAGATCCGTCAGCCCTGACCAAGGTCCCAGAGCATCAGTAAGCTCAGTCAGCTCTGCTGGGTCCAGTAGCAACGTCAAACGAAAACCATCGGCCGCAGGTCCGCAGCTTTCAAGGAACAATCCTTCCGAGACTGCCACTTTTCTGCTGAATGAGGTGCAGACTTGTCCGGACGAAGCGAAGAGACAACTCGACGAAGCCGTGGCTACTCTTGCAGAGGAAATGGAAGATGCCTTGCGGCGTGATAGAGGTCGATATCCATACTCTGAATCGTAGAGGCATTTCACCGACTGTTCACGAGCGTGTAAGAAATCCTGCAAACTGGTTCGTCGCCAACCCCAACGCTGCACACTGAATCTTGTATAATAACGAGCGGAAAAAGGTAATCCTCTGTTCTTAGGACCTGTCCTTTTCTGAAACCTGAATCTTTGAATCTGGCACTTATATTGAAGCACATTCAGATTCTGTAACTGTACAATCTGAATTCCGAGGTAAGTCAGAAAGTACTTAGAAATCTTTGTTTTGAACTAAAACAATATTGACGGGTGGATGCATTCTCTTTTTGGGCCAGCCATCGTAAGCAAGTACAGGACAGGTTATTCTCCTCATTATATTTTTTGGAATATGTTTGTGGAGGGAACCATTTTGCTGTGACAGGGTCCCTTCTACGTCGCATGCTGTTTCAAAACACAAAACAGATAAATTTTACCCAAGAAGAACAAAGTGCGAAAAGCTCACAATAGTCGACCGTTGAAAGAGAAAGAAAAGAACTAGATAGAACAAACCACGACCAGGTGACTTGTAACATAGATGAAGATAAAGGAGTAAGATGGGGCTGGCTCCAATGCACTCAAAACGTATAGCAACCATTTAGTCCAAATGTGACACCAACTGTAGTAGCATACTAAGATGCATCAAAAATCCTGATTTTTTTATTGCAACGGCTAGAGCTCTCTCAAGAGTAAAGAGTAACTTATACACATGATGTTAAAAGTACACAAGGTTTTTTAAATTCGGGTCATTTTAATCTTATGGTACGGAAGATTCTAGGCACATAATCTTATAAGCTTGTCAAATTTGGCTAACATAGTTGCATGTATCTCCATGGAAGTAAACAACAAAGAGTGAATTTTAATACATTGATGTAAAGGAAAACCTTGTGTTCCATCCATGAGGATATGTAATCTCAATAAAGTATAAACTTTGTAATCACAACTAATATGATACAAAAATTTGTAACTCAAATAAGATAAACCAAGTAAATCTTATACTAGTTTTGTATCAACCTCGTTTGCATTGACTGTTTCACTCTCTTGCCATGGCAAACACCACATGCATCATGAATGCATAAATCTCCTATAATCATTTTTAGTTGCTAAAACAAAGGTTGTGCAAGGTGGAGATACATCATCTTTATTTTCATCTTTTTGGATTGATTGTGACTGTACTCTTTAAAAGCATCACATAGAAATCTGAATGGATATTAATTTCTGATTTGAGTGTGTATGGTAGAGTAACATGTCAATAATATGTTGATTTTTGTCTGTTGCAAACGCACCTTTCGGACAAAATAGAGACATAATTGAAGGTATATCTCAAAATGAAACAGGAACAAGGTTGAAGTAGACTTAGAGTTTATAATAGCAAGAGTGGGATACAACTGGTGTTGACGAGAAAGAGTACAATGTACCGAGACTCTCTATATATACTAAAGCCAGCCCAATGACTACTAGGACTTTGCAATTAGAAAGAATCACCGCCATTGCTAGTAGGACTCCGAGGCTGAAAAGAGACATTGACCTCGCTACTAAAATTTTAAAATTAAAAAAAAATCGCTCGTATCGTTGCTAAGACTTCAAAGTTGGTTATGTTTTTTATGTGAGTGACATCAACTTCCTTCAAGTAATGAGTTACACAAATTGTTCTGTTTCTCTTATCTAAAACTAAAACTAAAAATCTGATACAAGAAGGTCATGTGATAGTCACATGGCTATAGTCCGATTCGGTGCTGGTTTTCGTCCTGACATGTTGGATTTAAACATTTTTTGCACTCGAATTTGTCGGTGATCAACGATGAAATTTTTCGATCATTTTGGAAATGTAACCAAGATTTGTGGCGAGTTTTCAAGTTTGTTCGCTTATTTCATAACCTTGCCAATGTATAAGATATTTTAATATTCTTCAATTGATGTAGAGGTCAAGTATAATTAAACTTCAAATTTCTCTCTACTTTTAGACATGAAATATTTAAGGTTTCCAACGTGTTTGTTGCGGATTCAATATTTTTGCAGACATGAAATAATCAAGGTTCTTGTGATTGATGTAAATCGGAATAGGATGTTGAGCTCCTTCAAGAAGATGTCGCCATTCTTGAAAAAAAACCAACGATGTCAAAAAACTCTACAATGCATTATCAAGTTTTATTTGCAAATGAAACATGATAAGTTGGAGTAGTTTGTTTTCATCACATCTTGAAACAACCGCTTCAAGTACAAAATTAGAGGCTTCATTTTCAAGGAAAAAAACTTTGGAAAGTTAGGATGTATCAAGATAAACATAGGAATAAATGCTGCTTTAATGATTTTAAATGCTTGTGCTGCTGTTATACTGCATTCAAACTTGCATGCAAGTGAGTTGCGTTAACAAAGAATCAATTCTGAAATAGTACTGATGAAAATTCTATAAAAATTTGCGCAGCAAAAAAGACATTGAACATCTTGAACTGTTGTTGGTTTGTTTACTTTGAAAATTGTCTGAATTTTCTTGACATCCATGGATATAGACTCTCTAGAGATGATATAATCAAGAAAATTAACTTAATGTTGATGAAACACTCACTTTTCTAGCTTGAATTAAAGTCCATTATTGCGCAATTTCTTCAAATACTAATTGAATGTGTCTCTTTTTATATATTTCAATATTCCAATTTGTAAGACCAGAAGACATGAAGTTGAAAAGTTCATACCTTGTTTAAAACACGATTTTTCAATTGTCATATTCTTTTCTTTGCACTAGATTTGAGTTCAGCAAGTGATTATCATCAACTATTCACGTCAACATCCATCAACCAATGTTGTATCCGAGGCATATGTATCAAATATATTGTTTAACAACAAAGATTCAAATTCAGTTGAGCCGTTATTGTTATTATTATAACAAGCCACGCATGTTGTGAAGAGAAACACATTGATCAAAACTTGTGTCTTTCATCTTGAATTTAAGCATTTTTTAGAGTTGAATATAAAACTAGAGCTTCTCAAAAAAAGTTGTCACTTGTAACGTACGTGAAGGCTTCAAAAAATTTGATACTTAAAATCTTTAATCTGTCTTTTTTTATAGAGGAGAGAAGGAGCCATTCACTACATACAGTTTGAAGTTCTACTTTGAGACTTAGTAGGAGAAAAGAGAGTTCGGCTATGAAGATCATGTATACATATGTGCTTTGGTGAAGTTTCTACTCTTGCTCGTGGACATTGTCTCTAGATTATGAATCACACTATCTTTACGTGTTAGTGTGCTGATGAATCTTGATTTTTGGACTTTAAAATTAGTATCAAAGCTAGTTTAATGCACGCAAATTTTTCATTGATTTTCATAATTTTCTTGGAGACTAGTAAGCCGGAAGTGATTTCAAAATTTGTATTCACAATTTGAAGTAATTGTTGGCAAAATCTCTATGAAATAGTAGTTAGAGTCAATGATTACATTTTGATGAAAGGACTTGATCATTTCATTAAGTGATCACAAAGATTTTTGAAATCTGAAGTAATCTATCATAATCTACAATAAAAAAACTGTTTTGTTGTCTCAAAATTCAAATTTTTCATCATTGTATTTTTTGATAGACTTGATACACTCTTTGAGACAATCATTTTGATCTAAATGTTGTTAAATTTGTCAAGAAGTTGTGAAGTTATGATCGTTAAACATTATTGATCAAAATTGGCTATGATGATCGCACAGTGAAAACGGAAGCAAATTTGGAGCGACAAATGTCAAAATTTAGGGTTTAAAGAAATTTTAGAGAGGACGCGAACGATCCCGGCGAGACTCCGGATTACTCAATTGGAAGGTCATAGAAAGTGTCACCTACGCTCCATAGGGAAAAATGTTCACTCTAAAAAATCTTGGCAAAAAAATAATCAAACAGAGTGTGTTTTTCTATTAAATCAAGAAAATTAGTTTTGTTTGAGCTCAAATTTTGCAAGATGGTTTTCAAGCAATTTAAGCACGCTATACAATAGATGGTTTTGGAAACAAATTTCGTGTAAATTTTTGGTACTAAAAATTCCTTCGGGGTTTTTAATTCAAGTTTTTATATCCCTTTATTTTGGGATTAATAATATTTTAGTCGCAAATGATTTTGACACATTCTAATGAAATACCTTGTGGGCTACAGGTGAATGGTGTCAAATGTTAGTTTTGGGAATTTTCATTTTTTGACGATGGTTGAGAATTGTTAACATTGTGAGCACTTTTTGGACATGAGTAGCTTGAAGTAAGGAGCAAAACTTGTTTCAATTGTTGCGCTAGATGTTGAAGTCATGCATTCAGACAACAAAAGTGAGCAGTCAAGCTTTCCAAAACGTACTCAAATTGGAAATCGACCAATCAAAGCTATGATGTTAACTAAGGTTGGTGGACCGAGGTTTGAAATTGAGCGCTTTGATGGCCGTACCGACTATTTTCTATGGAAACATTTAGTGGCTTGAAGAAGATTCTCGAATCGAAACTCTTGAATGTTGATGACGAAAATTGGAATGAGATTCAAGATAAAGTTGTGAGTTTTGTGACTTTCTATTTGAAACTGAATGTGTTGAAACAAGTTGAGGAATTCGAGACAGTGACAGATTTGTTTCAAGAGCTTCAACAAAATATCACATGAAGGAGTTATCAAATGGGCTTTTCACATAGTTAAAACTGATGAGTTTCAAAATGATTGAAATTACAAAGATCCAAGATCACATTGATGATTTCAATGATTTACTCGTGGATCTTTTAAACCTGGATGGAAATTTGAGTGATGAGAAAAAGACATTGCAGCTTTTGACATACTTGTCAACTTCATCATATTACATTCTATCTCGTGTGTTGTTTCATTAAGACAAAGAGAGCATCGATTACAATAAAGTAGTGACAGCTTTGTTAACGGACGAGATCCAATAAAAGCTAGTTTATTCTTCTACACCTTCTTCGTCTTCTTCTACTGCCCTCCATGTCACTTGTGGAAAATTGTAAAGGCGATCCACCAATGTGAGCACGTCGTGAAATTGATCCAAAATAAAGGAATGCAACAAGAAGAAGATGAAGTGTTGAAAGTGTGACAAGTTGGATCACATGAAAAAGGATTGTCGTAGTAAGCCGCAAGAGAAGAGAGAGTAATATGTTGAAACCTCTGCAAATGTTGCGACCAACAATGATAAAGTTTATGTCTTGTGAACATCTTTACTCACTAAGAGAAATGAATGGATTTTGGACTCTGCTTGCTATTATCACATGTGTTTTATCTGAAAATATTTTACTACTTACGCATGAGTTTTAGTTTTAATGGCAAATGATCACTAATGTAAGATTGATGGTATTGCATTCATTTGGTACTATCATTGATGAATGTTTTAAACATTTTTAGTAAAAGTAAAAATTTAATTCTACTCGGGGAGGTTGAAATGAAAGTCTTTCATTCTAAAGTTATTGATGGATTTCATTGTAGAGAAAGTTTCTAGCGTGATAATGAAAACTCATAAGCGGAAAAATCTATACATAATCTCAATCTCCTTTTTTTTCTTCAATGCCACAGCCTTTTGAAAAACATACTCAGCCACATGAACGTATTTCATGGCTGGAATTTTCATAAGTATATACTAGCTTAGCATACACTAATCAACATATAAAAATGTTTGAAATCGATTTGAACAATAATTGGAATTAGAAGACTGATTATGGTATTGACTCATGTTTTTACTAACCTTGATCACTAGAATTTGAGATCGATTCTAGAATATTGACCTTGTTGCTCAAGGAAATTTTATTTTTTTAATCCATAGGTTATAAAACATTTTACTACTTTGTCTATTGTAATCGGTGATTAAAATTGGACTTAAATTTTCAATGTGTTGGCAAATTCCAAGAAGAGAAGACTACAACTCTCAATGCCAATACCTTTTTTCTAGACTTGTTTTAAAGTTTTACCAGATTCACCAGATCTTGAAGATGAGTGCTCTTGAAGCTTACAAAATTCAGTCACTTTAGGGGTCAAAACTACAAATGTTCAGCGGTGTGAAAAAGTGTACAAGGTGCAACTCACAAGGTTGACTGGCTCACTTGACTGACTTTGAGTTGGATAAAGAATACTTGATTTCAGTTGGAGCGGAAAAGGAACCTCAAGCCCTTAAAAAGTCTTCTTTACGTCAGGTTTTCACTGTGATCGTTGAATTAACATACCACTATCGATGTAAATTTATGGACATGCAAAATGAATTTACATGAATTAGCTGGAATGTGTGCATGTGATTGGGAACCTAAATAAAGAAGAAGAGCCAGAAAGCTAAACCGCAATAGTATAATATACGCCAAGTTGGCACCCGTGATGGATGTCACCTACATTTTCTCTTGACAGAATCTCACTCGATGGTAAGAACCACAAAAGGGTACATGCTTAGTGGGAATAGTAATGACGAGAGCGAGCGTCCCCGGCAAACGCCTGTTCGCAAGTGGATTTACATGGCAGTATATTAATTAACGAAAGATTGACACATTATATATAATCACATGTCGAAGCAACAAAAGTTGGAGGCTTTACTGGAGTTTGTCAGTATTGGTGCATTCCACGGCACCTTCTCATCGATTGGCTCTAGAAGCAGAAGCAGCTGCAAGTACGCCACGCGGTTTCTTCACACTGATTCTAAACAGAGAAACGAGACGAGAGTCTGTAATGGACACGAAGCCAACCAAATTGGCAAATGCATCAAACACGCCGCCAGCAGGGGGTAAAGGACGGAGGGTCGAGGAACGTGTCCGCTGCTGAAGGACGACAGGGCCCGACTCGCATGCAGCTGGTAACCGGCGATCCCCGGATCCAGGTCCGGTGACTGGTTGAAACGGTCGCCGAAAATCGCCGGTGAGTGGAATCAAAGCTTAGCTCGTCCCTTTGGAGGGCGTTCGATGAAGAGTCTACGAATCAAGCTTCGAGAGTTCGCATCAATTTTGCCGACGAGCACCGGGAAGTCATAAAGCTAATCTTGGCGAGGCCGGGAATTTAGGCATGCGATTAAAGGGATGGCTCAGGAATCCGAAGACCCTCGAACAGCCAGCACAGAGGACTTTCTCGCGTTGAGCTCTCCTCGGCCACCCAACAAACAGTGAGAGACTTCTTCCCGATTAGCAGTTCCATCTGATGCTTGCCGATCCTCCAATCGCGTCACTCACTCACTCGATCTAACCACAACGCGAAAACGAGCGAGTCTCCTTCCCCCGGCGATTCTATGAGTTCTCGTCGCGGCCTCATTGCTCAAGATAGCAAACGAGACCTGGCATGTGTTACAGCCCAGACGTGTTCGGAAGCTGGAGGAGTGAACCAGGTCTCGTCCCTCCCATATCCATAAGTGTGAAAAGGATATGGGAGGGATGTTATCTCCGCGTCCCCGCGTCCCCCATGTTTCCCCAGGGCAAATGTCAATGATGCCTCGATGGGTCTCACAGCCCAGCGAACCAAAGCGTGGGGCAAAATGTCAACAGACTGTACCACCACCACCGCATCTGCTCTTGACCGAGTGTTCAAGCCACACTTGTGCTGGAATCGAACTTTCCGAGCTACTCCCGACGACGTCCGTTCTGGCCATTCGGGTCTTCCCTCAGAGCGAGAGGGTGCCATGGTGCCAGGGGTTCACCAGGCAGGAAGGGCAGGAAGGACCCACGAGATGGACATGTAAATGTTCTGGTAAAAGACAAGAGGCTATTCGTAAGTCTGTCCTCTTTGCCAATCCTGGATTTCCGAGGTGCCAGGAAGTGGACCCGTTCCTTCGAGCCCCACCAGTCGACGCGACTTACTATGTCGATCGGCAGAACGCGATTGCAGAAGGTGTGAAATGTAACTCTGGCCACAAACTCGTCCGTCGTCCCGCGCGGTCCATATTTGTAATGGGGGCTCTGTCTCCGCTGGACACGTTCATGGTTCTTAATTAAATCGACGTGACGTACTAATAGGACGTAAGCGCAGGAAGAAGAACATTACTTAACTCTGTTGACGAACGCGGTTCCCACCTGGAAGTGCTGCTTTTCTTTGGCTTCTAGCGGTCACAGGAAAGTCTACCAACATGCGATCGGAAATTTCCCAAAGATTAGGCGGACCAGTTAGAGAAGTGAAACCGAATTTAGAAAATAGTCGTTCAGATGAATTGCACGTACCGATCTTTATTCCATCGACGAAGAAGGTGTTCAGAGCAGAGCAGAGCAGAGATCCAGAGCAGTATGCGCTGGATGCTTGTATCTGCTTCGGACGCCCGATTTGAAGCTATTGGGGCAGTCTAGTTTGGTGATAGATACGTGGACAAGATTACGCAGCTTGAAAGTTTGTTTGTTAAATGTCTAAATCGGAAGTGGAATGGTTTACTATTTTGTGTGGTGTGAAAATTGAGCCTTTTTTCTTGTCAGAGTTGGAGAGGTAAGCTTTGCTCATTTTTGTTATGAGCACGTGGTGTGACAGTTCGTACATAGTGCATGATTTGAATGCTCATTTCACAGCATATGACGACAATTTCGACATGTCATGTTCACCGAGTCATTACAGATTTGATTGAAATGGTTTACAATAATCCGGTTGATGGAGCAGTTGAATGGAAGAAAAACTTTTACTTTCTTGTGGCTGGCTGCATTAAGGTGCAAATAACGTTGTTTTTTTGTCTATAAACATCTTTGGACAAATGATGATGTCACACTCTGATTTCAGATATACCATTTTTCAAACCTCGCAGATACCACCTTGCGGGTAACAAAGAAATGATAATTTTCTCTAAAACTCGTGGTACTGTATATAATCAGTTTGAAAATTTCAATCGACATAGATTGGAAGCATATACGATAGAATGTTCTTGCGAACAAAATTCTAGAACAGTTTATAACATTTCAGCTTATAAATTGCCGCGTAAGCAATAATATGGGCAATTCACTTTTTCAAGTGCAAATTTTGGATTTGCAAAATAGCTTATCAGTAAAAATCCTGTCGCGTTTCATTCACGAGATCGGGTTACATTTCACCGCAGATGACATTCGATACACTGAAGGAGACATCTTATTTGGTTCCAATTCCCTAACTTACAACAAAACATCCAGGACCGTTTATCCAGATGCTGATCTACTTACAGTACTCATGGTCAAAACGTTTTACAACTAAAGACGAGCCAAGACGGCGAATGATGCACCGCTTGCCAAAGACCTTCCGGTGGGATCGAAGTTGCAAATCTGTCCAATCTTCGTGGCGCAAAAGATTCTGGGTTTCTCGGCGTTGTAGGGACAGACCTGCAACTAAGATTCGCAAATCCTTCATACAGATAAACCCCAATTTTGAGTTTTTTCGATATACTGTACCTGTCTCATTATGTACACAAAAATGTAGAACAATTTTCTAGAGTACTACTAGGTCGGTCGATTGAAGCAGCTAGAGGAGAGAAGAACTGCGCTCTGAGTGGAAGATTCAGGTCTGATGTTCAATTTACAATCCACTGGAGTATCGAAGCTGCCCATTTTGATTCCGATGATTTTGAAATGGCCCTCCGCCATTCCCCTGAATTCCATCCTCACATTCCCATTGGAGACGTCCGTCTTAAGAGCTTGCGCGTCGGCTGCATCCGAGACAGGGACGGAAGTCTCGCTCAATTGGGCTTCGATCAGCGTCAAATTCTTCTCTTGCTGCTTGAGCCCGTTCGCGGCCACCACCGAAACAGAGCCCAGAGCTGTTGTTTTGTAAGTCAGTAGAACCTCCAATTTGTCGTAGACAACCTCGGCGAACTTGTTCGGGTTTCTCAGCCTGACTGTGAAATTCATCGTTGTTTCGACTCTCATGGATCCGTCTCCATCGTCCACCAGCTTGAACCCACTGATCGAGACGGACTCCATGCTCGTTGTTGGGTCCTTTGGAGTCAAAATGACGAAGTACAAAGTCAGGAGGACGATCAGTATCGGGACGAGAAGCATCAAAGTGCACCAGAATCGCTCTGCGCTGCAGCAGAGATATCTCTTCTTCCTACGTCTCTTCGTCAGCTTTTCGTCGGGGGCGTACGACTCCTCGTCGACTTTCTTCGCGACGTAAGGGAACATTTCTGGGGTGGAGGAGTCGACGACGACGTCCACAAACCCATCAGCTGCGAGCGCTTTATCCCTCGCCCGCAATTCAGACGCTTTCCTGACTTCTTCTGGCGAATTCGCCCATTCACCCTGCGCTTCGACCCTCGCCGGAGTGTTATCTACCCTTTTCGAGCTGGACAGGCCTCTGAACAGACTCTCGGCCTGCTCCTTCGACTCGACATTTTTCATGGAATTGTAAATTTTCTTCCAGAAATCCTCGGCCTGCACCTGGGATTTGATCACCTCCGCAGTCTTCTCTTTCTTCTCCGGGGATCTCTTCCGAGCACGACCCCGGGCTTCCGGCTCCGAGCTGGAGGGGCTATCGGCGTTGATCGGTTGGTCCTGAGATTCCACATCCTTGTCTGCAACTTGCCCGTCCTTGGAATTCTCCATCGCAGCTGCGTCAATTCACACTCTCCACGACGAAACCAGATGATCCTCCTGGTTTCAAGAATGCAATCGATTTGTAGCTATCCGAGCGCTAGAGCATCTCGAGCGATCACCCTTGAGACGAAGACCTGTCAGAAATCAGCCCCAGAACAGACACAGAGACAGAAGAGGTCAGCTGGAGCGAGATCAGTCTTGAGAACCTGGAGCCTGATCTGCGAGAGGCTCGATTTTTATGTATTTATGAGATCGGATGTCACAACCCCACCGCGCGACTGGCACGAAGAAGTCTAGCACAACCGAGGAAGAGCTCTCGGAATGTGATAGATATCTTGAGCGCGTCATTCAGCTCGGGATGGTCAAGAATGGCATCGACGAAGGAGGGAGTCAAACGATGTGAAGCTATAGCGGCGAAGAAGCCGAGTTTTATATGGAGCGCTCTCGATGGCTGGATCTACGCAGATGCCCCTCGATCGCGTCCCCGCCAGATCAGGACGTGGTCGGTCTCTGAACTGCTCACGAAGGAACAAGTCATAATTACTCCAGCCAGTCCCAGCCGTGTCAACAAGACGGCTCGCAAGTAGCACTAACGGGGAACCTTACGTAGAGATCCTCCGCCGATCATTTGTGCGACCCCTTTCGATGTAAGCATTTGTCATGTGTCAGGTCCAGATGGAATGCAGTGAAAATCTCAAGCGAGTTATGAGAACGCGAAGTATGTTGGCCAGAAATGCACACAGTATATGTTGTTGGTAGATCTATTTTTCCCCTGATGGTCTATCTTTGTGATATTCAGATATTTTAGAAATTTGATTTTTTCATGTGCATTCAGGCGTGATCTGTACCCGAAATGTCATTCAAAGCTAATTACTATCTATACGCTGTGGCTTGTATCCTCACAATTATTCGAATCTAAAATACTCGTAGAAGAAGATTTGATGACAATTAATAGACAATTCGACAGGGTGGTAACACTGGGTCTCATTCCAGGCAGCCAGATATTTCAAAAGTGCATTAATGCTCAGCTTGAACAAGATTTACTTTCATGCCCGAAGGCAAACAAGCAAAACTCATGCGTAACAAACATATTATGGCTTCAGACAAGAGTTAGGTGTTCCCTAAGGCACCAACTCTTTACAGCAAGCATCCGCATGCCGAAAATAGGGCCTGTCAAATAGGAGATTTTCATCAAACTCGGTCAAATTTACATAGATATCAACAAATTTTACAAATGCATGCCGCGTAAATTAAATGCCAAAAAATATTTCACTAGGCTCCTTGCAGCAGATGGTACAGTACAGCAAGCATGAAAACAATATCCCATTATCATATTTCCCCGGATTTTGTTGCACAAAGCACAATCTTCATTCTTATCTTTGCGTCGTTAAGCTTTTGCATGGCTAAAGAGAATTCAAAGCCCTACGAGCGTGGAATTTTCGAGAGGGACAAAGGCTCCATTGGGTGTAAGAATCCAAGTCAAATTGCATATCTTATTGAGTAAGATATGCAATTTGACTTGGATTCTTACATTCTTCAAAGTAAGACTTACTGTGATAAAAATGGGACCACTCCATGTCAACAATTCTCCTTAACGTGTCGGAGTTTGGATACATTTTGCGTAATTATCCTTTTCGCTAATCATATTCGATGTACGAACGGTTGTAAAAGAGAAGGAGGAGGGTCAACGGAGCCCCGGAAAGGGCATCCATCCGGCGCCTAGTGTGTGGTCCACGGCATGGACGATACACTCTGGACCGTGCAGCTCGATTTGTCGTCGCCGTGATCGGGAAGGAACGAGTACGGGAGTCGGCCGATGAGCGGGTCTACAGCTGGAAATAGGGGAAAGCTCAACCTGCACACGCTGAATTTCCAGCTCGTGAAAGGCTGGACCGAGATCCTGCGTCGATCGGGTCCTCTGGAGGGGGGGGGGGGGGGGGGGGGTTACCGTTAGTTACCATCATGGCCCGTGACCTGGAGCACTGTTAATGCAGGATCAGGACATTTTCGGCAGTTCGAGGGGTAGGAATGGATGCTCTCGAGATTCGCGACAAATGCCCGTTGTTTATACCTGCCGGTTCCTGTGAGCTGGAACATGCCCCGGTTTCTCAGCCCCCCGAAACCGGCTCTTTACCGACTGTAGCACGTTATCCACTTATCGTACGCCACAATCGCGAATAAATGGGGAAGAATGTGTACATTTAGCCCGTCCGCCCGAGTAAGCAGCCGGTTCGTTCTCCTCCATCGAGGGGTCAAGTCTCCTCACCCCCGTTATCCCATTATTACACATTTGGGGCCTCGACTCTCGTTACCCGTTTCGTTGTCCGGCTTGATGGAGTGAGTCTCTCCATCCTTTGCCTATCTACTTGCCCTCTGTCATGATCTGAGAATCCTCTCCGTCCCTTGAGCCATTTATTCCTCATTTTGTTTTCATAAGTCATCCACTCGAGTTGGGATTGTTCACGTGATCGATCATTGCTCCTATTACGTGTACTTTGGATGCTTTCTTTCATGAATTTTGCCCTGGGTCTGCCTTGGGTCTGCTTTGGGTTAATCTAGTTCTCTTGCGACACGTTCTAACCTGGAAGCTATGTCGGATACAGCGGAAGCATATGTATCTTTTCGAGAAGGAGCCTTGTCAAAAGCTGAGAGAGACGAAAATATGTTATGGTAGCGAAACGCCGAGAGTCAATTTACTGAGGACAATAAGATGCTCGTTGCCATGCCTGGATGATGATGCATCAAGGAGGAGCATAGACTGAACGATCTGACCTCTCGCGGAGCTCGTTTTCTTCCTGTAAAATCTTTCGTTTCTCATTTACCTCTAGAACTCAAATCTTTCGTCTCGAAGTCTCTGCCAGGCTTGCGTATCAGAGATGTGACCTTATTTGATAGGCAAGGTTTCCAAAGTCCCCCATACTTATTAATGAAAACAACCAGATTACTGTGGCTCTTTAATTATGGACCGTCGAGTCTTGTGGACCTGTTCTCAAGCACAGTATTTAAAATTATCCAGTATCCGATCAAACGAGAAGCTGGACTCGCCAGTTTTAGCCGCTACCATGGACCTTGTCATATCCAGCCGGAGTCTTTTGTCCTCATGGACCATGAATATTGTTGGCACACTATAAGCCTCGCCCATGCAGGAGTTTCGAGTAGTGTCCGGTTTCCTCCAATTTCGAGAGAAATTGTCCTTTTCCTTACACAATAATCCAGAAAATGCCTTTGGGAAGGAGTCAAGGAAAAATCTAAAGCCGAAGAGGTGAATTATGTGTGTCTTGTGTCGTAGAAGTAACAGACGGGAGAAACGATGCAAACGCATGCGACTAACTCCTAAAGCAACTTGTGTGTCTTGTGTCATGGAAGTGAAGAAGACCAACCGAAATTTCTATCCAGCAAGCAGTGTCTACCTTGCGGGTTCCATCCCATGACGTAATGGCTAATTTGGAATTGATACTCTCACAGTGGTGAAAAATAGCTGAAAACGAGAAAAGGAGCCAATTGATTTTCAACAACCATGAGAATACCCCGTCAAGCCCAACAAGGAAGAAAGTAGACAAGCAAGTATTTACATCTTAACATCAATTCCAATATCTGAACCATCTACATTAAACGGTCTATCATCATTTGACCCCATATCAACTAAAGTAATCACCTTGGTTGATTCATCATTAAATGTTTACAATATTATTATTTTTGACTAAAATGAACAATACAGTAGTTTAGAAAGGTGATACACACTGTCACTTAGTTCAATAAACTTTTGCTTATTCATTCTCAGAATATGCAAAATCTGCATCCAACACTTCATATACTTTCAATGGTATTGCAACATAGCCGTATCTTTCATCCTAGCCCTATACTTGAATACCTTGGGTTGTCCTTACACACTCTCCGCTCATCCATGAATATCACTAATCATCCTATTATAATCTGTGATGATTTCTGCAAAAGTCTACTCTCAAATCCAATTTTGATTATGCAAATGGAACACATACCAGTGTTTCCTCGACGAGAGATATATAACCTCGCAAGCCATCGAAAACATGACTTGCCTAATTGCATCTTGGATGGATATTTCCTCACTCCAAATCAACGTAGATTCGTGTTAATTATTGTCATAGGCCGGACAAAAACACATTCATACAATCTATTTCAGTCGGAAACTCGTGGGATGTGCAAAAAGTAAAGGTGGGGGACGAATATGAAAGTAGGATAGAGGTTTTTCTCGCATCCTTGCTTCATGTGCGGAAGATGTAGGTCCATCTCTCCACACGGTCGGTTTCTTTTGCACCATCCGTTCTCCTCGCGGTTCTTTTTGTTGAGGTGGATTTGAGTTCGGCAAGTGATGGTCGTCCGACCTTTTCACGTCAACATCCATCCACCAATGTCGTACCTGAGGCATGTTTACCAACTATGTTGCTTAACGACGAAGATTCAGGTTCTAGATTCCTACCCCCATTAGATGGCCCCACAAAATCCACTCTGACGCCAGAACAAGCACACGCAGCATAGGCCACAGGATCAATACGAACTCATGCACACGATTGGAAACTTCGTTTGGAAGCTTTTCTACCATTTCCTTAGGGCCCACTCCGAACCCATTCTTGAGTTGTTGGCGTTCCTGACGAATCGAAGTTGACAAGGTTGGATTTGAGGTCAACCCGGACATGACGTTAGGTCCGCTGGATTGTTCTTTTCTTGTTGGACCTTCGAGTACTTTTTCTAAAAAGTGGTCGTCCACACGACGACGGGTTTATCACGCTCCTCGACTTCTCAAAACGTCGGGAATAATTAATTTCTCCCAAGTATAAACGCAGACGTGAGTGGAGAGCTGAAAAGTAGCTAATCATCGAACGCATGAAGTTCATTTGTTGCATGGAAAGGTAACCTTTGGGCTTTATTACTTCGTCAAGAAGAGCAGATGATCTTGGACTTCTAGTTGCACCCTTTAGACTCCGTTGCATTGCTGAAGGACAATCCAGGCCTTCGTCTCAACAGCAAACACT